CGGGCCACCCGGTTGTGGCTCCTTATGCCTACAACCCGAACATGGCCCAATCCACCGTCCAAAATCGACAGTCTTGGACACCACATCTTCGCCCAGAACATCGCACCTTTTCCGCACCTACTACCCCTCAAGTGCCGGTGAATCCGACATACACCGGTGCCAGCCCCCGATCCCCCCATCCTGCAGCTGGTTCTGTATCCAATCCCTCCAACCCTTCATCCCGTTCCTATGTTTCCAAGGACGACAGCGCACTTCCCTCACGAAAACCCAGGAGCGACCAGCCGCTCCGTCCCCTGTCTACGGCCAACCTTCCCTCCCCATCCATCATGAACATTTCCTCCCCGAAACCCTCCCCGAATCGATATCGTCGTACCCCCCAACGAGCGGAAGCCGCCGCACCATCATCCCCTGTCACTGCCGCTCCAATTCCGACCGTGATTATCGATGATTTTGGGGGCCCTCGACCACCCCGACAAAACGCTCACAATCGGGTTGCAAGTGTGGATGATTCATCTCATGTGGATAGGGCCCAGCCTGAACGATATCGACGACGAAGCCTGGGCAATATGGATGCCACAGCGTACCCAAACCTGTCGCTAGATTTCCCGACTTCAACCTCTCAATCTCCATCGGGGTCCTACGACTTCATCACATTTGATACGAATCAACGGCCTCCTTCCGCTCACTCTCAGCGGGACAGTGTGGGTAGCGTCCACTCGACACACTCGTCGGCTTCCTCGGTAGGTTAATTTACAAGGACTCATGGAATTATTGCGGAGCTAACGGTGTCTATTTCGCAGGCACGAGAAGGGACGCCATCGGACTCCAACTCGATCACTAGCAAGACCGGCAAGGCAGAAGAAAAACGTGCGAGCAAGCCATCGCCATTATCACAGCCAGTATCGACGGAACCCGAAGCCTCCAAACCCAACCCTCCAGCCGAAACTCAGAAGAAGCCAACACCGCCTCCATTGGATTCCCCCGCCGCAAAGCGTCTCAACGATTTGAAGAATGACACGAAGCGCCCCGGGAAATCACGCCTGAGACGGGCTTTCTCGTTCGGCAGTGCCTCCGAGCTCCTGAAGACCTCTGCACAGAGCAATGCCGCCAAGCGGGAAGCATTTGCCGCAGAACAGGCGCGCCGTGAAGCACTGAGGGAACAACTGGGCCCGGAACAGGCCGCCATTGCCGAGCAGCAGGAACTGAGCGGACTAGGTGAAAGCATCTACTCCCATCAAGGCCACTTCTTCTCTGGGTCCACCGATAACCTGTCAGTATCGTCGACCGCTTCATCGGCGTCGATGATGCTTCGCAAGATGGGTAAAGGCATGAAACGCTCCACTCGCTCCTTGGTTGGCATGTTCCGTCCCAAATCGGTGGCCAGCATCAGTTCCATGGAGGGGGCGGGCCCCGAAGTTTCGCCCCCGCAGATCACCGTGGTGAATGTGGAGGCGGAACGGGAGAATGTCACTGTCAACCCCGACGCTGCAGATCTGTCCCGAGGGGCTACTGTCTTCCCCAAGGTTGAAGGCAATGCATCGGAGATGAGACGATCCGCTTCCATTCGTGAAAGAGCCGCAGCCGAGAACTCCCAGGCGCGTAAGAGCATCGTGGGAGGAGACCGAGAACGGGCGGAGATCCTCGCGGCCGTCCGGAAGGGTATCTTGAAGAGTGCGTATTTCTACACAAATACACTTGATGTTTTAGCATACTGACTGACCTGATTAGAAACTCACTCGGACCTGGGCGCCTCTTCGCCTGCACAGGGACTGGCCGGCGGGGACTCACCGCACTCCAGTGCTCCTCCGACACCTGATGAGTCGTCACGATCCCCAGCCCAACAAAATGACCCGGTGAAGATTGCAGGCGAGGACTACTTCCTCTCAAACGCAGGGCGCTTCTCGTCTTCTGAAACAAAGAGTGCACCCATCACCCCGTCAGCTGTTGGTGGTAGAAATATCGTCTTCAGTCCTCGCATCCAGTTCCATGAAACATGGCCTAGTGGCGAGTATGATCGACGGGGAGAGATTGCGACTTGCAACCGTCTCACCCCGCTGCTTGCTCAGCAGATTCGGGAGGAGATCAATAACTTTAAGATGGTGAGTTGCTTGCTTTGGTTCTATACTTCGATTGTGATAATACTAACAAATAGTATAGGAGATGGAAGTTCATGAGAATTCCAAGATCTACACACACTTCATTTAAGTTTTGGGCGGGAGTCTCTTGCATCGCTCAGTGGCCTGAATTTGGCCGTCTCTGGTCAGGGTTCTATCCACTGAGCCTGCGTTCTTGTCTAGACATGCATCAATTCCGGCGAAATAAGGTGTTTGATGATTTCTTCATCGCATGAACAGAAGCTGTGCTGTCCGGGCGGATCTTAATTGATTCCATGGATTGGTGTATGCTCTATTCAGGGCGATTTGACCAATACAATCGTGCTTCTGGCGGATATTCCGCCAACCCAAAAATGGTGCGGCTCTTTTCGAAAAATCTCAGTCTCTAGCCAGGCGCTGCTAGCGCCTGTCCATCCTAAAACCTAAGATATTCCTCAACCACCTCAAGGATATTGTCTTGGGTGTCGATCTAATGAATGTTCCTCCTACCATCTAATCGGTGTGGCGGTGCATATTCCTTACTTGTTCTCTGCCGTCATTTTCTTTTCTAAATTTTGTTCTCTTTTTTTCTGCATCGTGTGCATCTGAGTCATTGTCATTGAGTATTATTGGGAGCGTGGGTTACTGGGCTGTTTTTGTTCCTTCATTTTATTTCCATTTTCTCTCCTTATTCTCCTGTCCTTCTAGCACATCGTTCCTCATGGTCATCTCTAGGCCCATTTCATACTTATCACTCACTAAGCTCCTCTGAATCCAATGTCTAAGCCTTGTTGCATTCTGTCTTGACATCTCCTCTTTGGTATCTCTTCGGCTGCTGTGTTGGGTAATTATGTTTAATGGGCGGTTATAGTCGTCTGCACAGATTCAATTTATGTCGTTCCTTGTGACTATACTTCGACTATTTACTGTAGTGTAGGGCTGTTCTTGATAATACATAGAATACAAGTAGATACATGAGCTCTTATTGGGTCAAATAGTTGACGGCCATGATTCTCTTATAAATATATATATTTCTTGTTCTATCTTGAGACTGGGCAGGTTGCCAGGTAACCTGAGCAAAGCAATGACTTGAATAACATCAAAATATGAGTGAAATATAGAAGAGTCTGTCAAGAAAATATCTGAACATTTTTGACTCGCCACATGGACAAGTGGTAGATCCAGTATCGGTTATTACTAGTAGGAACCAGACGATGACTTGATTCTTCATTGTAAATACTACAAAAATCTATATTTTTTTCAAGATTGCCAAGTTATTAGGTCAGTTATATTGGGTGGTGGGATTTTACCAGTAAATCATACTAATTACTAGTCACAGTTTGGTCTATAGCTTCAAAACTCTCGACTTTTTTTTTTACTGTCAGGTTGTCAGGTTGTCAGGTTGTCAGGTCACTTGGGATATTATGCTTCTGGTAGTTACTAATAGCTACTAGGAAAATCCACAAGATTGAAGGGTAGAAATTGAATAGTTATGAACAAGGTTGGCTCTTGATTAGGACAGGATGTACCCTGAAAGCATGACCTAGCAAGTAGTTACTAGTAGAAATTAAAACGCCATGCACAGTATACATTGCCACTTGAATCGTCAAGTCCCCTGGTTTTCAGCTTAGTCCCAACCACGACTAGTTATTGAACTACGGAGGGCTACTATAACCTAGTTTTGAAATTTTCGGAATACCAGAGCACCAGACAGCTGCTTAGTAGGACGGTATGTCAGACATCGCTCAATGGTTGTGCCGAATGAGTCATTCATGAGCAGGAATCGCATCATAATTAGAACGTTGTGGTATAACCAGTTTCATATTATAGTTGAGCTATTTATAGCTTCTTGATGGTGGTTCTGACAGCAAGGGCAACATCAGCATTATGTTTTGGGATTCCTTTAGCCTCGTAACCGACGATTTGGTGCACCGCCTGATGGGACGGGATCTTTTTGAAGGCCAGGTATGACTTCAGGATCGAGCCATTCTTGGTCTGGATCTACGTTTGTAGGTGCAGGGAGGTTGAAGTTGAGTCGTCGGCTAATCCACGGCTTTGCATTCTTCATAGTTATTGTCTAATCTATATTTTTACATTCTCTCTTTAGGCCAGAATGTCTTTTCGGTCTGAAATGGAAAATCCCCGAGAGGAATGAAGGGATCGGGAAACCGAGAATATTGGGATCGGAACGATATTACAATAGGAACAGCATATTTCTATTAGAATGCGTGGGGGTCGAATGCAGTACTGAACTAGGGTTGATATTGGGTTCTCCACCTTTGAATCTAATTAAAAGCTTAGCGCCTCAATACATTGCTATAAGACATTATATAGACGTTAGACCTGAGTGAGCCTGACTTCTGCCGTTTAGAAATGTTTTGTGAGAATGAATATGATAATAATTTAGTCTTGATATTCATTATTGAAACATGCTGCCCATGATGGCCATAGAATAATGTCAGCTACTATATATGAGTGGACTGCCTAGATAATTTCTATAACCCTAACTTGACCAGGGAGAAACCGAGACATCCCCAACCTCAAGGATTAGCTGCACCTATTCTTCCACCTATCCCTCACTTTGAAATGCCGGGCAAGAAATCACTCATATTAGACCGAGACTCACCCCCACGCCGTGTTACCTTAGGTTAGCCCACAAATACGCTTAAACACGAGAAGCATACCCCACGCGGGGAGATGATCTTTTCTACATCCAACCACATCCCCTGTCACTTCTCCCCGCAAAAATCCGGTAAAATTATGATTGGGATAACTCCGGAGTCTGATATTTCCCCAGTATTTTCCAAGTCCTCTGCGGGGAAAGATATTTGTTTGTTGTGCCGTCTTTCAACATGGGCTTGATTGGTACGACATTTATAGCCTGGCAAGTTTTGGATACTACTCCATATGTCGTACTACTCTCGGGTGAATAGACATCAACGTCACATATCTCACCCCTGCAAAAGGCAGAAGATTCCAAACTCGCAATTCGCAAGTCGTCCCGACTTGCCGCCGAGTCTCACTTCCCACGTGTGCGCGTTTTTCCTTCTTCTCCCTTCTTATATCCCTTGCTTACTCCGGTATCTTCTTATCCACTTTGGCTTAGATTCACCCACTAAGTGAGTTGGTGTAGTCTCGGTACTTAGTTCAGTCATTATCTCACTTTCCTAACAATTCATCCTTTCTCACGCCGGAAAAGCAAACAACAGAGATGTCTCCTAGAAACCCGGACATCGAAGTGGAAGATATTGACAAATCTCGCACTGATAATGTTGAAATTGTCGCCAATGCCGACAGGCCCAACCCTCAGAAGGAAGCCCCAGCCTACGTTGCCAACCTGACCCCCGAAGAACGCAGGAAAGCCGAGAAAGCCCTCGTCCGCAAGATTGACATGCGCCTTCTACCCATGATAATTGTTATGTATATTCTCAATTACCTCGATAGAAACAACATTGCATCTTCTCGCCTAGCAGGCCTCGAGGAAGACCTAGGTCTTGTAGGTGACCAGTTCGCGACTTGCGTCAGCATATTGTTCGTTGGTTATCTGTTGATGCAGATCCCATCCAACCTGATGCTCAACAAATTTGGCAAGCCAGCTCTATACCTTCCTATTGCTATGATTCTCTGGGGTATTATTTCCACCGCTACCGCCGCTGCCCAAGGCTACGCCGGTCTCGTGGTCATTCGCTTCTTCCTGGGTTTCGTCGAGGCCGCCTACTTCCCAGGCTGCTTGTACTTCTTGAGTGTTTGGTACACCCGCAAGGAGCTGGGCTTCCGCACCGCAGCACTGTACTCTGGATCCTTGCTCTCGGGTGCTTTCTCGGGTCTGATTGCAGCAGGTATCACTAGCAACATGGACAACGTGCTAGGACTGCGTGCTTGGCGATGGCTATTTATTATCGAAGGTGCTGTCACTATTGTGGTTGCGTTTATTGCAATCTTCGTTCTCCCCAACTTCCCTCGCACAACCAGCTGGCTTTCGGAGGAAGAGAAGCAACTGGCTGTGTGGCGTCTGGAAGAAGACATCGGCGAAGACGATTGGATGGACAGCGAGCAGCAGACCTTCCTGCATGGAGCCAAGCTCGCCTTTACAGACATCAAGACTTGGGTTTTGATGCTCATGATCCTCTGTATTGTCTCCTCCGCCTCAGTGACCAACTTCTTCCCGACAGTAGTCAAAACACTCCAATATGGCAACATCGAGACTCTACTCCTGACAGCCCCACCCTATTGCCTGGCTGTTATCTGCGCTTTTGGAAACGCATGGCATGCAGACCGTACCGGAGAGCGGTACTTCCATGTCACCGCACCGCTATACATTTCCGTCGTGGCATTCATCATTGCTGCTACTACCACAGCTACTGCACCCCGTTATATAGCGATGATGCTCATGGTACCATCTTTCTACTCCAGCTACGTTGTCGCCCTCGGCTGGATCTCGAATACCCTGCCCCGTCCGGCCGCGAAGCGTGCTGCTGCTCTGGCTGCCATTAATTGTGTTAGCAATGCTAGCAGTATCTATGCTAGCTATATGTATCCCAATTCTCAAGCTCCAAGATTTGGTATGTGTTTATCTACCGCTGGTTTTGTTTCTAGAAATCTCGGCTAATGATCTTCTAGTTCCTGCCATGTCTGTCAACTGCGCAACGGCTTTCATCGCTATTGTCTCCGCAACGGTGCTCCGGTTTATCCTCGTACGCCTCAATAAGCAGCTCGATCGTGGTGAGGAGGCCGAGGGTGCTGTCCCTGGTGAAGGAAGTCGTCGTGGTTTCCGCTTCTTGGTTTAAGAGTATATAAGTTTGGATTCGCCCAGGTGGGCTTTATGTCGCGGGAAAATCAAGGGGTTTGGCTCATGATCATAATGATCTTCTTGTTTTTGATGCTTGTCTGGTCATAGTATATCAAATTAAATAGATATTGAGAATACCACAAAATGACCACGTAAGACATTCATGGTATGTACTAGATAAAACGTTGAATGCTAGATGTTAAATGTGTAGATCTAATCATTTCACCACAGTCACCTTTTAAACCACCGAACTCAGGCATATTTCACCCTCTCCTCGGTCCACCCAGATCTCAAATACTTGGTATCAAACGAAGCCACATCCAAGGAACTATCAGCAAGATAATTAACTCTCCAGTCAATCCCAATACTAGCACCCTCCTCACTCTGTGCCCAAACCGCCACACCAATCGTATTCTCCCCGGTGTAATCCAAAATTCCCACAGGCACAGGATAAACAACCTGGTTCCCAATATAAGGATTATACCTGCCATACTGGTACCCATTAACAAACAACTGAGCCCGATAATTCGTCGTCGTACCAGCCGGCGTAGAGAGAACAAACGAAATAGACACATCAGTGTGTGCGGGGATAGAAAGGGGAATGGTAGTACGGAAGAAGCGAACCGTCGCGCCCTTGAAGCTAAGAACAGATGTTGTTGAATCCTTAGTGGATTCCTCCCCTCCCCAGGCTGAATCGTCAAAGCCGGGGAGATGCCATCCAACACGCTCGGCAAATAGTCCGTCCTCGTTGTACACACCGCGAACCGGGTCCAGGTCTGATTCCCCACCTGCGGTTCCGGCTAGACGCCAGTGCGTGAAGCCTGAGTCCGAGCCGAGAAGGTTCGCATCCATGATACCGCGTGGGTTGAGGGCACCGGTGGTTTGGTCGTGACCTGTGTCGTCGTGGACGATTAGGAGGACATTTGGCGTGCTGGTGTGCAGGGTTGCGTTTGTGAAGGACAGGGTTAGGTTTGCTTGGGATGTGGTTGCATTGCCGAGGTAGGAGGTTAGGAACTTGCCATTTAGCCAGGCGGACCAGCCACTGTAAGTAACAGGTCAGTTTTGTGTTGGTACTATGTGGTTGTTATGGAACTTACAATGCAGATCCTCCTTGGACGTTGATGAAGGCTCCCGTCGCTGTTCCGTTGAAATATCCGCGCCACAGACGGACGCCGTTGTGGAATCCGTATTGATCGGCGTAGAGGACGGGTAGACTTGTCGGGGTCCGCGGATTTAGTGTCGTCATGTGGTTCGCATCTTCGAATGTCAGATACTTTTTTCCTCGTATGATTCTCATATACTAGTGAGTAACTCACCAACCCATGCCACACCAGAATCATCATAATCCGTGAACCGCTCTGGCAGACTGTCGTTCGATTTCCAGGAAGTGAAAGCTGGCAGCTTGATAGATTTCGGGGCATCGAGCGAGCCCTTGAGACTGCCGTACTCGGTCGAGTGGGTGTGAACCTTCTTTCCATTCCAGGTCACAGACTTGACACCCGTTGGTGCAAAGACATCTAGTGTTGTTGCGTTGACAACATCGCCGGTTATTGCGAGCTCGGATCCGGACAGCTTAGCATCGCGGACGAGATACGGACCCTGAACAAGAACTGTAGCGATAATTAGCCTTTTGAGTATGAGAGGAATAATAAAGAGAACGCACCACTCTCTGTCTCTGGGACAAATGGATCATTTGTCAGCGCGGGAGCCCAGAAATCATACGCTGACTTTCTATCAAGCACGATAACTCTAACACCATCATCAAATTCCAGAACAGTCGTGCCGGTGGATTGAGTGAACGAGGTCGTCAGGCCGCCATGTTCTTTGATGAATTTGACCCGCGAACATCCTTGGCATTTCTTGATCGAACCCTTCTTAGCTCCCTTGATAGAGAACTCGCCAGACTCGCCAGTCGGAACCCAGAGGACCAGTGTAGGCTTCTTATCGAAGACAGTATACGTCAGCACCTCGGCTGTGGAGTACAGCAGCGTCTCCGAGCCGAAGGTGAAGTCCGTCACGATGATCTTCGACTGATGCCCATTCAAGCGAATAGTGCTGGCATATTTAGGGATAGTCAGAGCACCCACCGAAGTATTGACCTTCAAGTGGAACGGCTCATTCGTCGAGATAGAAGTGTTCGAGTGGAAAGTAGCATAGAACGCAGCATTTGTCTCCGGATTCCGGAGCTCATAAGCCCTCACAGCGGAGTTATCAGTATACTGCGTTCCATTACCAACCCACTCCGTCATGGTCAGATCCTTTGCAGAGCGAGTGAACAACGCCAGCAATTTGGTCTCGTGGTATTTCGACCAGATAGACCGATCCTCTGAGATCGGTGCCGAGTAATCGTAGCTGGTAGCCGTTACTGGCGCAGCCATAGCACCGTGGTTTTGACCACCGAACATCATGTACAAGGACATTGCCGTCACACGCTGCCCGATGTTCCAGCGGTAGAACAGGTTGGCAAAGTCATCGCCGATATCAGTGGGGCAACCGCCCTCTGGTCCACCCCAGGGGTTGTACGAACCGCCCTGGAACTCGGGCATGAAACCGGGCATACTGGGCTGGGATTCTTGGAAGTAATCGTGGTACTCCAGAACTTGGAAGGGAACGTATGCGCCATTGGTGGAGGTGCACTGGCTGAGATCGCAGGTCCAACACTGACAAACAAGGTAATTAGTTTTTTGTTGCTTTTTCTCTTCTTTCTCCGTCTTCAGTCCTACCGGAGAGATAGAAAGACACATACCGAAGGATACGAGTCCAGACCAGGGACATCAACATTCCCACCCGCATCAGACCAGTCCTTCCCCCACGAATGAGTGGCCATATTAGGATCATTCACAGTCAGCGGCAGCGTAATACCATTCTTACGAGCATTAGCCTTAAGCAGATCCATGTAAGCAATAGCCGTCTCATTCGGCACACGCAGGGAAGGATCACCCAGCCACTGATTTCCGTACTCGTTCTCAATCTGATAGACGATGGAGTTATGGCCATCAGTCACCTGGTAGCGACTAGTGATCTCCGTCACTTCAGTAAAGTACGGGGTCCAAGCATTCGTATAGCGGGTATCGTTATTGCGGAGGGTACCGTACTCGCCCGTAGTCAGCCACAACGGGAAGCCACCAGCATTGGCTTCCGCGTTGACGTACGGGCCGGGCCGGACGATGATGTACAAGCCCAATTCCTTGGCGAGCTCGAAAATGGGGGTGATATCGCGGGGGCCGGTTGTAAAGTCCACGGTTGCGTTGTTCGGTGCGTGGTACGCCCAGCTAGAGTAGAAGGCGAAGGCTGTGAAGCCGGCGGCTTTAATTTTCTCGAGGATATCACGCCAAAGGGCTGGGACGGGGATGCGCCAGTAGTGGAATTCACCGGAGAAGATGAAGATGCGTTGACCATTTACTTGGAAGCTGTAGTGATCCCATTGCACGACGGTGTTCAGGCCATTATCCTGCAGTGGCCATTGCGTAACGGCTTGGTCGTCTGCTATGGTGGAGGCTCCGAGACAAGCTAGGAGGACTAGCAGACAATTGAAGATGCGCGTCATGTTGGGTCGTGGTCCACTCTTTGCCAAATGCTTTGGAGCATTGTCGGGGTGGCCATGATTAATTTATAGTTGTTTCTCAATTAGCCACTGGGATTTAGAATGAAATGCAGCGTTTGGCAGGGTCTAAGCATGGCGGGTGTTTATTTCCCCTTTTGTGCGGGAATTGTGGAATCTCCGGTGCTTGGCCAGTGGTTTTTCCTCCAACGAGATTACTCCGGAGGACGGGAAGCATACAGATGAAATCATAGTACTCCGTAGTATCTGCACTTTTTATAAAAATATACCGTCATTTCATTGAACAATAAACGGGTGGTGATAAAGATATACAAAAATAATATATGCTGATACAGCAAAAAAGACAAAGACGCTGTAAAATTAAATCCACGGCTGTCCCTCTAGTTCCCCCTCCATATGGAACTCGGATAGCCGAGTCCGGGGAAAATATTCTGGGGTGAAGGCCCCCGTCCGAACACACCGGGCCGTTCGGTACGTAGAGGGCAAGGCTTGCAGGGGAAGACAACGGCACGTGAAGACAAAGCAAAGCTATCAAATATCATAGCCGACAATAGTTTTTTTAAAACCCCAAACTCCAAATTTATGCCGCATAGGAATATGCCAAACTTCTAAGGTTGCATTCAAGCATTGCTATCCAATACCCCGAATGGGTTCTCACCCTTTGTGCTCGGGCTGGATGAAGACTCCTTCTCGGCCTTTTGCTTCTTAGCCCCCTTCTTGGCGGGGACCTTGGCGAAGCCCTCTTCGGACTCCGACCGACTGACCGATGCCGAGGTAGTCTTGGCCTTGGAAGCGGCGGCTGAGCGGGTGCGGACCGGCGAGTCGGGGATGACCTTCGTGGCGATCTTCTGGACCTGAGCCTTGAGAACCTCATCATCGGTGGTAACCTCGCTGTTCTCGCCCTCAATGGCAGCCTTGCGGATCTCGCGGCTCAAACTCTTCAGAGCGTCCATGCCGGCCTTCTCAGCGGCTTCCATGTGCGTGGGCTGCTTCACACCGGGGTCCTTGCGGTTTAGGTACGAGCGGACGAAGAAGCGCGCGAAGAGGTATGTGAGGGGAAGGAGGTAGCAGACGTTCAGCCAGATGGCGAATGCCTGTCCGGTGGTGTCCGCACAAGTCACCATCTGTTGGGAGTAGCCGGATTGCTGGACGGGGGCAGCGTGGAAAGATGTGCCCACATTCTCGGCAAGCCCTTCTGCGCCTGCAGCCCGGAATGCCAGCTTCTTCAACCAGGAGATCGAACCAACCTCGACGGTAGCAGAGGCGGCGGCGGAAGCGGCGTTGGTCAGCTGTTGCAGGGCAGCACTGCCGGACGGGTAAGGGATGGTATAGTGGACGAATAGGTAGGCGGCGGCCATGTTGGTTCCGAAGACGAACTGGGTGATTTGCATGGTGGTCAAGCTACGCTTGATGGCGTTAGGGACGCGAATGCGTAGAGCCGTGATGGTGTAGTAGGTGTACTAGAGCGAAGAGAAAGTTAGTAGCTTCCCTTGACAAATCAAAAGCAATGCGATTATCCGACTTACCATCATCGCGTGAATAGCCGAGTTAACCAGGCAGAAGATCCAAATCGGAGCTGCCATGTAGCGGATACCAGCCCACATGCACATCATAGCTCCTGCATGGTGGTAGGTCTGTAGGGTGGAGCTCTTCTTGCCCTTGGCCAGAATGATCGCGGTATCGACAACCTCGTAGAACTTGGACAGATAGAAGAACCAACCAAAGTAAGCCAAACCCTGGTTCCACAGACGGCCGGCATCCGTGGGGTCTGGCATACCGTTGGTGAGGTGGTAGGCGGGGTTGGGAATCGACCACTCGTCGGTAATGGGGCTATAGATAGCGGCATTGCCGTAACCGCGGGGTCCATTGATCTTGCACAGGGAGTCCACAACTCCAATTAGTCCGTGAGGGTCGTCACTATCTGGGAAAGAGCTCCTGAATGCCTGGAACATGCCCACGAAGGTCCATGCAGAGTACACAGCTAGGAAGACATTGTGGAGAACGACGAACAGCTTGAACAAGCGGGTGTTGCTGAAGGCATATGGTTTATATCCGCGGCTCTTATTGATGCGATTGATCAGGACCACAGTGATAGCATAGACACTGGCGATTGTGATTGGTAGTCGGACGTCCAGAACCTGGTTGTAGAGATCGTTCGGGATGTTGAAGGGCTGCTTCCATGTCGGGGAGTCGACGTGAGGCGCAGGGATGGTGACTGGAAGCTCGTGGGGAGGGAATGCGAGGAGAGAGGAAGGAGGAAAGGCAATGCGAACAATGGCCTGGCCAAACTTGGTAGGCACGTTGAAATCGTGCATGTTGATCGCCACGCGGAAGCGTTCAATTCAACGCGTCAACTCGAGAGAGCTATACTGAAAGAATATACGAAAAAGGATATGTGATCTCTAAAGAGAAAAAGGGAAAATAAGAAAGAAAAAAAAGAAAAAAAAAAAAAAAAATAGATAGCAAACGGTTGAAGTGTTGAAGTCCAGTGGGTCCCCCCGATAAACTGCCCTTTGAATTTCTCAACAAGGGCAATGGCTGACGATCTCGATCCGCCCGCGTTTAGTTTGTTGGGAATTCCAAGGCTTGGCTATCAAACGTGCCGAGGTTCAAAGGTTCCAAGGTTGATATCGCCACTTTCCTAGAAGGGTAAACCTTTGACGTCCACTTGTATGTTGTATACCAATGTACGGGTTTCTCAATTTCATACATGTATTTTAGGAATCTTTCACATGGAGGCGATAAGCGAATTGATTAATTCTCCAATATTTCTTAGACGAATAAACCAGAAGTTTTGTACAAGTACACCTCTTTACCTGCACAGCCCTGTACAGCCCTGCCGAGGAAGGACCACCTGAGCACCCACCTACAAAAATACCTAGGTAAGTAGATTAGGTTGGATGTAACTGGGAGAAAAAAAACCGCTGAGTCAGCCAAACAAAGTTCCACCAAGGTTCCCGGGTTCCCTGGAACGTTTCAAAGTTTGATCTTCGAGCGAAATAGAAAGCTTGGAAGCTCGGAACCTTCAAATGTGATGACCTCAGACTATCGCTCGGGATCAGCTGCTTGTTGGGATATTTGAACCACTATAATCGTCCCAACGTGTTGGGGATATGCAATCAGATATAAAAAAGCCTAACTGGATCACATGCAGCCTCGGTTTTAACTCTATGTTGAAAATGCATACTTCGTATGAGACTCACCGATATACAACATAGAAGTGACTATGTATGATTGTACAACACAACTCTTGTACATAGTACAGATAGATCTGCACGTATCGTCATCATGATAGAATTGTTCGATTTCTCCTCCTGTTTAATATTGTAAAACAAAACACCCATCAACGCCAGGAATGCACAACATACACATATACACGGTTAAGACAACAGTCCTTAGCGGGGCTTGGTGTTATGGGGAATGGGAGGAGGCCCCGGAACTGATGGCGACGAAGCGTCAACCGGGGATGCACGAAATTCAGCCCGCTTGGGCGGAGGTGCCGGAGGGGCCTTCTTGCGTTGGGCTTGGGTCTGGATATCGGGCTCTGCGGGTGACGCCGCTGGAGAGTTCGACTGCGCCATGGAGATGGGACGAGAAAGTGGGGGTGGACGTGGAATCCGTTTGTTGGCTTCGGCGGAGAACTTGCGGTCCTCTACAAATGTGTTAAAGCGCGATGTGACTCCACTCCACTTCTCTTTACCCATGTCGATCTTGTCCGCATGGCGTTCGCGGAAATCTTGCACAGAGGAGGTGCCCCGCGCGGGCTCGGCCGGTTCCAAGTTCATAGAAGTATTCGATGCGGGCCGGGCCGGTGGGCTAGGCGCTGCTGGAGAAGAGCCAGTGAGCCGCGACGCGTAACCACTCAACTTCTGTTTGCCTGAATCGATTGAGTCGGCGTGACGCTCACGGAAATCACCGTATTTCTGCTTTCCCGAATCGATGCTATCTGCGTGGCGCTCACGGAAGTTGTGGAGAGAGGATGTGCTGCCTGCAGACTGCGAGTCGATGTTCGTCGACGCCTGAGCAGGCAGGGTGGGTGCCGATGGAGATCCCGAGGTGTTCATCTGGGAGAAGCGTGACTGTAGCTCATTGACAGGCGTGTGTGCAGACGATGAAGATTTCTCCTGACCAATCCCAAATCCAGGAACCGAGATGCCGGCGTTTGCTAGACGAGACGTAGCATCTTGATTGATATAATCGTGGGAGAGCACCGGTGCGGAGGAATAAGCGGGGGGTGGGTCGGAGCTGGGGGATCCATTGCGGGCAGGAAGTCGTGGCGGGGGTTTTGGTGGCTTTGACTTCGAGATCGAGCTTGTTGAGGCGGAACTTTCTGAGTCTAATCGTCGCACTGGTGGTGGAGGGAGATTGTCTGTAGATAGGCCGCTTGTGTTGACGCGATACGGTACCGGAGGCGGGGCGGGCTTTTGGAACTGTTCGTCTGCTTCGGCTGCTTGCTGTCGATGGGAATTCTGGGCGTTGATTTGATCTTGGGACAGCGGAGCTCCTACACCCCGGCGGTCGGGTGTTGTCTGATTTGGCACCGCGGCTGCTCCATGGTAATTGATATGTTTGGGAGGGGGCCCAAAGGAAGATGGGTCTTTAAGGGATGACAATGGTTGCGAGACATGGTCAGAGCGGTTGGAGTTGGATTCGTTGCCCTTTCCCATCCAGCCAGCCTAAAAGCGAGCAAAGGTTAATACCAATGGACGAGTCGTTAAGACACGAGGTGTGAGCCTACCACTTGGCCCCTGAGTCCCCCCTGTCCAGAGCCAGAAACGGAAGAGTCACCTTCCTTGCCCTTTCCCATCCACCCAGACTAATAGCAAGTATAAGTCAGCATCAATGGCCAAGGTGCGAGTCCGAGAGGGGTGAGAGGAGAGCTTACCACTGAACCTCTGATACCCCCTTGTGGTTCGGAGGTCTGTTTAGAGCCAGAGCTAGAGGATTCGCTTTCCTTGCCCTTCCCCATCCACCCAGCCTAATAGCAGGTGTAAATCAGCATCAATGTTCATTGGGGATACGCGTCTGCGAGGTGAGGGGTGAACTTACCACTTGGTTAATACCTTTGAAATCACCACGCCAGCTTTCCTTTCCACCTTCCTTACCTTCAGGGTGCCAGCCACCCTTCATGGTATTGCGTAAACCACTCATTATGCTGCAGACCTCGGGAGTGCGGGGATGACAGTTGCCAAGTGGTCGGAGAAACCCTTCTGTGACGACAATGTGCTTCCGAGAGGTTTGCAGGGTTTGCATACTCTCGGTGCCTAAGGTAACACTTCTTCCTGTGCAGATGCCTTAGGCCACAGTACGATTGAGTACTCGGCCGAGTACCAGCACTAATGCATACCCTTTTGACGGAATTATAAGCATGACGAGCGTATGGGTTAAATACAATGGCTCGGACTGCGCAGCTCGCATGTGGAATACGTTAGTAGTTAAGAATTGTGGTGTCTAACAATTATTGGACGACCTCGGGAGAATACATTATTACCTAAGCGTGCAGTCAAGACGGGTCCACGCTAATTCTAGCCAAAACAAAGGCCACCCTTATAAGTACGGAGTAATCTACCATCGACAGTCCACTACGCTTGGTGTTCTAGTCCCTCCAGGACTATTGGCCACTTCTCCTAACTATATATATCCCCTGTTGTATTTAGTTCACTAGAAACGACCCTTTCTTTGGTGATATCTCTTTTAGTAGCCCCGATGGTCACACATCCTCGTCTCTCTCGTACCAACCCGGTGTCGGAGCCCCCCAAGGACCACCACCAGTTAACTAAGTCACGAAAACAGGCGTGTTTAGTATGTTACCACATCTGATCTGCCTACACTGAATTCGGAGCTAAAGAATGGTCCCCCATCAAGGCATGTCGTCGACGAAAGAAGCGTTGTGATATAAGCCCCAAGCCGACCACCTGCACCCCACCGGTAGAATCCAGGTGCCGAGGCTGACTCTAGTGATACAGGGCAATCAGCCCGCCTGTTCGGCATGCAGTGGCTGGAAGATGGAATGTGTCTATGCTTCAGGCTCCCAGACCCCGTTGGATCATAGGTTTCCCACCCCTAACAGCGCCATGGGGAGAGACCTGGCCTTTGTTCAAGACCTACCTAATACATCTTTTGATTTCCTATCGGAAATCCTCCCACTTGCCCCGGATACTACCTATGGGGTATTAGGGCATGGCGAACAATCTCTAGATGGTTTGACGCTGGTCGATACCTCTCGGCCATCATCAGCGAACCTCTCTAGCTATCCTACGGTCCCACTACCGTCCCCCGAGCAAAAGATCCAACTGATAAATGAGTTCTTTGATCGTTCTCATCATCTCTTACCATGTATGCATAAGGAAACTATTCTAAATTGTTCGCGGGGATCGCAGGGCCTAGCCTTGTCGACGCCGTTAGAATGGGCTATCTTAGCCACTGCTATAAGGACCACTCGTGGCGCGATGGTCTCTCGAGCAGATTTCTTTCTGCAAACTGCCGTCGATTCACTTGCGCAAAGCCCTATTATACAGGTGGGTAGTTAAGATACACAGTTTTATTTTTCACAAAACTGATATAATGGCAGGAGAATGTATTACGGGATTTACAAGCAGCTGTGTGGTGTGTATTTTCGCTCTATCATTCGGGTGCGATTACCAAGGCCGTCGTGTTGCTGGCGCAGGCATACTCCCTAGCATGCTTAAATGGATTAAACAGACTGGATGATCCTAACCGGAGTATGCTGGCGACCATACAGTTCTCCCTATTAGAAGAGGAAGAATGCCGCTGCACTATATGGGCCCTCTTTATCCTCGATCGGCAAATAAACTACCTGGTGGGCCGCCACTTCGTGATTGACGACATGCTCTGGTGCGTGAATTACCCTTTAGATAACCGGTCTCTTCAAAATGGTCTACGCGCAGACCGCGAGGGCTACGATCGAGACCTTGCAGCACTAGCGTCGGAGAAAATCAACGTTCCAATCGGGGCTTGTTTGACTCGTCTAGTATGCAAGGCTAACGTCATTCTCGGCCGCATTGTTACATACAAGAACATCAAGCCTATGCCTATATGTGCCGACGGCGCCCAGAGCCGCCTGGCGGAATTCCATGAGCTCCAGTCTGCCCTCGCATGCTTCTGGCTGTCCCTACCGCCCTACGTTCATAATATTGCCGAAGTGCCACCTGAGAACGCCAGCCAAACTTTCTGGTTGTTGATTGTTGCCCACACCTGCTCCACAATTCTTTTCTACATCACCGAGGTAGAGCGCCGCAGCCCCGGAGGTGCCAATCTTCCGACCGAACGGGAGAATTTTATCTGTACCTATAAATCTGTGGACAAGGTTGTGGCTGGGCTTCGTCAGGTCTCGAGCCTCGCAATCGATGCGGTCTTGAACCCGATGCTAGCACCGTCATACTTTATGTGTTGTCGCTTCATTCTGGCGCAGTGGCGCCTGTCGCAGCAGGGGTCGTACTGCTTGGATCTGAACCTCGTTTTAAAATTGCTGGAACAGATGTCCCAGGAACAGGCGCAACTGCCGCGGATCTATAAAGATATTATTGACCAGGAGGTGGGTAGGCATGTGCAGCCAGGAGGGCCCGTTGTTCAGTCCCTCTTACGCATGGATTATTGCTTCATGATTTAGGGCGTTGTATCCGATTTACGATCCTCAATAACCGATGATTGATTCTTTATGTCATGGACCTGGCTAAGTGCGGTGTGATAATGCAAAAATAATAGTCGCAAAGGGCTTCATGTTTATGATGGACATCTCCACGGGGATTGTGTTACAAAAGTCGAAAGTATGGAAGTATTGGGCGCATATGACTAAAGGAATGACATTGGCGAAACAATCATTCCAAGAGAGAACGAAGTAAGGTGTTCATTGATCAAACAAATGCACAGTTTGTATCTACGGCCCCAAACGATATTGAAGGCTTCCTCCTACCCCCTCCCTGCAAGAATTCTCCAGATCAAATGGGAGCTCAACATTCCATCTCTGGATACTACTCAACGTTTCAAATGCATCGCGGGAGTCTTGGGCGGTCTGGCTATCAATATAGTCGCCACTCAGGACATTTCGCGACCCAACGGTGTATCCACCCAGTGGCTTTTCAAAATAGCTGAGCGCCAGACGCCCAGTGTCACCATTGCCCGGATCCAGGGCAGTGGCCACATATTCAGAATCAATGGATGGTTTCGATGGGTCCTTGACCAGGTAATTGACGGCACAGACGCGGCATTCTACCGCCGTGCAATTGCCCGTAGAGGTGTACTCGAACCAGTCGATTTGACGGGGCTTGGGAGAGCAATGTAAAGTATCAACTTTTGGCGTGGGATCAAGCCACCTGTCAATATCAGTATAGAGACTACTTGCCTTTGGCGGATGCTTAACCCCGAAACTAAAGGCAGCCGGCAGGTCTTCTACCCCGATACTTGGGTATGATAACTACGTGATTGATCCGTCTGATTTCTTCATGAAACTACAGCTTCCTGAATTGGTCCTTTTGGTCTCAAGGCTCCCTGCTACCTACCGCCTTCATGAGATTGAGGTGCTGTGGCTAGATATCACCATGCCTGGGATTGAGAATGGGTCATTTCCCTTGGAGTTTCCTACCCGGAACACAAGCGGTGGAAAGGCTGATCTGGCTCTCCATGGAGAAATCCAGGGCTGGACTGGCCGCTCGGGGTATGTGCCTACAGCAGCAACAGGTGATCCAGAGGGACCCTCTACTGAAGTCTATGTTTTACATGCGCATGATACAGCCCGATACAACCCGTCTGCCGAACACAATTCCCTTGCATATTACAGATGCTACGGAGCTTGTCACTAAAAAATGGCACGAGCGATATCGGAATGATAAACCTTGACTCGTCAATTGCAGCCATCCTCGAGTCCGGTCTACGTGGGTTGGAATCCCACAAACGGTCGAGATTCCGCTCGTTGAACGTGGTAGGCAGCAATTACGTGAAACCCTCAAGTCGCGTCAGAAAGTTGGATCATTTTGACGGCACTATTAAGCTGCACTTTCTTATTGGAAAAGCTCCGGATGTCTGGTCTGCTGTGTCTAGTCTGTTGTAGAATGGTATTGCTTGTGCACTGTTAGAAGACGAGAAGGAGCCGGCTTTCTTCCAGAAGGCCTTTGACCATATCTGCGACGTTAATGGGCTGGAGGGAAGCAGTTTGATGGTCGGACGTTTCCGGCCAATTGCAAATGAAGCAGTGTTTCCAGAGAACGCTAGCAATTATCTCCTTCATTTACTAAGATTAAGTAGATAACCCTTGCCCCAAAGGTCAATTTTCCGCCAAAGTCTATAGTTTCCGCTGCTTCGCACACGCCGAGCTGATCAACAAACATACCGCACAGGCAAACAACCACCACCAACCATTCTGCAAGCTCTCTGCATACACCTCGATGATTGACTGGTGCATCTCACCCCTGAACTGCATCTTCACCTTCTGTATATCCGAAAGAATGGTTTCAATCTGCTCGACAGTCAAGGCCAGGTGGTGAAGCTTGGTTCGCAGCACGTTCTGGTAGAGTGCGGCGTATATAGCGATACCGAAGATATTACCGACAGTCTGGACGAAGATAACCAACCCCGTGATGATACCGATGTGCATAGGCTCGACTGAGAACTGCGCTCCGACCAGCAGACCTTCCATGACGGCACCCTGCCCTATACCAAGGATTATCAGCTCCACGATCGCTTCTGCGCGGCTTGTTCCCGCTGCCCAGCGCGTGATCAGACCGCTGCTTAATACGGCCAGTGCTGCGCCAATCCATGCGTTGGACAGACTGAGGCCGTACTTACTGGTAAGCCAACCGGCGATAGGGTTACCAATCGCCAGACCCAGCATCATTGGCAATAGAGCGACGCCTGAAATTGTGGCGGAGTCGCCGTAGACCAGTTGGAAGAACTGTGGCACGTAGTACATCATTCCTAGTAAGTTTGTACCGTAAAAGAACTCGGCGAAGAAGATAGCGACGATAGCGCGGCTCCGGAGGAACACAGGCGGCATAAAAGGATCCTTAGCCCAGTGCTCCCAGACCACAAAGATCATAAGCAATAAAATTCCACCAACCAAACAGCCAATCACGCGAGAGTCGTTCCATAGGAAGTTGTTCCCGCCCCAGGAGATACCTAGGAGGAGACATGTGGTACCACCGATAAGGGTGATACTTCCAATGACGTCGAAGTTTTGAATGCGCTCCTTGTCGACTTTGGGGGTCGGGATGCGGAGAAAGATAATAGTGATGATGAGACTGATTGGGGAGATACATAGGTTAATATAGAAGCACCAGCGCCAGGTAACGTATCTGTCCAATATTGTTAGGTATTGACTGCCCTACTGAAATAGATTATAAGGTACTCACTGACTAAATACGCCGCCCAGAAGTGGACCAGCAACATCGGCAAGAGCCCAGACCAGTCCTGTAAACGAGATATACTTTCCGACATCACGAAGGGGAACAAGGTCGGTACAATGATCTGTTCCGAGACAGTCAGGTTATAAACTTCCGTATCCTCTCGATATTTTAATTTAATCAACTCACATTAACCAGGCCGTAGATACCACCGCCTCCAATACCCTGGACCACACGGGACCAAATCAACATATTCATAGTCCTAGCACCGCCGCAGAGGCCGCTTCCAAGAATAAAAATAAGGGTTCCCACAACGAACATATTCCGCCGCCCAAAAATATCACCAAGCTTGCCATAGATAGGTAGAACAAGGGCAAATGTAACGAGAAATTCAGTGCCTAGCCAGGAGGAATTGCTATAGGCATTGAATTCCGACGAGATAATAGGAACAGCTGTGGCGACAATGTTGAAATCCAACGCGGTCAAAAGCATTCCCATATTCAATCTGGTAGACAATGTACTTAGATCACACCGTAACCATCATATAAAGAATCTAGAGAGCTTACCCGAACATAACAATCCAGAACTGTCTCAGTGACAGCCCAGCCTTTGCTCCCGGCCGCATCTCTTCCTCGGGGAGTGTAAGCGGGAGGTCAGTTGCTCCTTTTTCGAGATCGGTGGAAGGGGTGACTTGGTCGGAAGCTTCCAAAGTGCTTTCGCCATTTTCTGTCTCTGTGTGCGATGCCATCATGAAGCTTTGCTTCCTGGTAGTTGATCCTGTAGAACTGGGATTTCTTCGACTGAACCAGCGAAGAGAAGACAAGACAAAGTTGAAGATAGCGAGCTAGTCAGGGAAGATAGGGAAATAAATAGAAGAAGACATTTCTATGGTCTTGAACCTCTTATGTCTATTGGGGTAGAAGAACTAATTGCTCCTTGGTCGGCCCTGACAAATAGGAGTAGATTCCTTGTCGTATCATGGGCGGCGGATGGCGGGACCCACAGATCTCCCCGACATCCCTGCTACATACTAAGCCTTTCATTGGATATACAGACAGTGGGGCCGCTCATTCTACCTGGGTAACCAATGAATGTATGTCTAGCAGCGGTCGATCTGTAAGCCCGCGCGGGCGTACTGGATGCTTAATCATATCCCCTCCAATGTCAGGCGATTGATATTGATCCTAGAGCATTCTTCCTGTAAACGCACTCATGGGGGATTTCTCACCCCCAACACCGTGTGTAAGGTTACCGACGATCGCAGGCTAGTTTAGACACTCGACAGGGCTTATAGGATGCGACTCTTGGTGGCCGCTGTGTCTGGGCACCTCTTGAATGACTAGGCATATTTACTACAAGGTTACCCGTGGATACAAAGGCATTTATTAACAAGAGACGTAGCGGCGGAGAAAGCAAAGCTGTCAAAAAGGGAAACAACATCAAGCTAGCGACAGGTGGAGGCGAGTCAGATACTGACAGCCCCATCAGCATAGATGCCATGCCGGCAATGGAATCACAGGCGCAGATCATCATTCGGTAGTTCTTTACTCTATCTTAATTTGTTTGATACTCTCAGATGCCACATGGTCTGTAATCTTATAGTTTTATAGACATTATACTTAGGCTTCTAGGGGATATTAGGGAAGTAGTTAGCGTGTTAATAAGCTTCGAGGGTGGTGAAGTTCGATGCAATACCGCTCTCGTACGACGCGTCGATTGGAAGATAGGGTATACCTAGATTACGACATTGCCCGTCTATAGGCAATTTGGATTTTCGAGTGCCCGTCTATAGCGCCTATCGCCTATAGGTATACCTACTATTATATAAAGTCACCTAAAATAGACGTATAACTTGCTAACCTCTCTAGGGTAGGGGGGTTTACTGGATAGGAAAAGAGATAAATCTATTAAAATTAAGTACTGGCATAGTTGTATAATGACAACCAGGATCTAGATTGATGAACAAACCGTCTTTAGTCAAGGCTTTCTTGGAGGAATCGTCGCGTAAGATCGTTCTCAATCCATTGCTCAATTAGTCCAACACAACCTCCAACAAGGTGGTCGTAGTTTGCACCATGTGGGATAAACATAGACTGATGTGCCACGACTTCGTCCATGTTCTCCATTAATATCGGCTCCCAATGGGAGTTATCGTTGTACTTCCAATGATGTGATGGTAAGAGGATAAATTTGCGAAGGTGTTGTTTATTAGGGTCTGAGGGCTCCGTGGTTATGATGGAGCCATTCTCGGTTGAGAGGGAAATGCTCCCCGAGAGGGACTGGCTGTCGATTTGGTCGACTGAAGTTGATGAAGACAGCGCGGCACTTGTATGATCCACTAGCAGTGTATCCTTGTAATCGTTGGCTCTTTTGGATGCCAGGGAAGAATGAGAAATGGTGGCCTTCAAGGGCTTTCTTGTTATTGTCATGTTGCTCATGGAAGTGGTTACTTCGGTGTCTTCGGAAAGACTCGAGGTCTCTGAATATTCGTGCGAATGAATTTTCGTTGCATCTTCGTCCAGATCAATTTCGGTTTCGGCCTTTCTTGCGGACTTTTCGTCTTTCTTCGCAGACTTCCTAGCTTTTTTTTCGGCTTTCGTCTTGTGTTTTCGCGGGTTGCGACCAGTGCTCGCGGTATAGTAATTGACAAATCGTACTCTCCAGGGACTGGACTCAGCAACTTCCAGCTCCATTAAGTGCCGGTACCGCCGACGAAGTTCAGTGTAATTATTGACACAACCAGCAAATTTAAAGGGTGATACGATGCGGTCGACGATAGATCGTGAGAGATTATCGGCGTTTTTGTTGACAAAATGCATAATGCCCTTGAGGAAGCCACGGTCAACCAGCCGCACATCATTCATGAATGGTGGGTCAAAGTTGGGATTGAAAGGAGCCGGTTTGAGAACTGGTTCCAAGCCTAAGGATTCTTGTTCTGTCGCAATCTTCTCTTCATCTGCCGGGTCTTTCTTGGGAATCAAGCCCATGGTCCCTGTTGCTATTACGCGGGGATGGACTCCCAGAAAGGGGACATCGAATCCCACTACTCCCAAAATTCGATGCTTTTGTTGCGCGCCTTGTTGTAAACGAGCAACGTCTGCAGCTATGATTCCGCCGAGACTATGTCCCAGCAAGATGACATCCAGGTCATCCGCTTCATGTGGCGATAGCCTGCAAGGAATGCTATTAGCATGTGTGCCTAGTTTAAAATTTAGGGAAAACAGGATTCCTGTGGCGCGATCACATACCAGGCACTGAATTGATCCACAGCTGTCTGAATTTCGCCTTGAGACTTGTATCTAGGATACATGCGGGTGTACACCACGTGTGACTCGGCCAATAAATCCGTTAACAGATCATGAACATGCAAAGGAAGGTCATGAAAGCTAGCTTCTGATCCCATGAAGCCATGGATATAAATCAGCAATAGCCTGCGCTTTTCTGTAGTCTCATGTCCTCCGGGCTGAGGTAGTGACAGTGTGGAGCGAGAGCCATCGATGTAAGTATGAATATTCCCTTCGATCTCCATCGCTAAATCAACCAAGAGTGAAGCTGAGATAGGAAACTGAACAACAGAATTCCCTTTTTGGCTACTCGCTAGGTTCCAAGAATGCGGGGGGCCTGGAATTGCCAAGCTTACTAAGTCAGGGGGCTCAACCAGACCAGGAGATCATATCCACCCGGAGAAGCCCTGGAGAGAGGGAAAAGATCGAAGAGAGTAGAATAATTGAATAATTATTTGAAGATGTCTTTCATGTCTTTCCACATTTTTTTCACATATTTTGTTAAGGTATTGAAATTTCTGACAGGTTTTCTGTGTTGACCCGCATAGACTCGTACTCGTATTCATTTGTCTAAGCCACATCGACACATCCATGGATTCCGAGGTTGTGGGAAACAAGCTAAAACTCCACTTTATCAGTTTAAATATGTACATGCGGAGTACGGAGTACATATGTACATATTGCACCCCCTTACTATGTACAGCCATATCCCTCTATCTGACATGGAATCATCGCACAAAACATCTATACCGCTTGGTGTCCAATCACTTGCCTCGAGACAGGCATAGAACTATCCTGCACTCCCCATTCCCCGCCTTCGATCTCTTGCGCTTTGAATCGAACTAGGAGACCGACGGTAACTGGGCCAATGATGGTATTCAAGAGAATGGCCCAGACGCCAGTAATGAATCCTTCATCACTAACGTACGGAGTTTCGTTGCGTCCGATTTCGATTATCAAAAGCCCAATCTCACCGCGTGCTACCATGGCAGATCCTAAAAGTGTTGCGGCGAGCCAGGCCCGGTTCCACGTGTGACCCTCCCTTTGCTCGCTTTGTTTTTTGTGCCTCATATTATTATCTTCACGTTTTGACTGTCCCTTCATTTTCTGCTGTGCAGGTGACTCTTTCTTATGGGATTTACCACCTAGAACGAGTTGCCATATGGGGATCCACATTCCGACAATGCACTAGATAGAATTTGTTAACTCGGTTTCTGGGAGAGGGTATTTAAGGGTATTTGTATACCTTTGCAAATGCCATTAGGAGGGTGTAAACCACCCCTCTCCAAATTCGTTTCCCCGTCCACAGCTTCAAGAACGGAATTGCAAATCCGATACTTGCGAAGAACAATGGTTCCATCAAATACTGCTGAGGTCCCAACAGATATTTGTCGAAGGTATGAACAAAAGTGGGACTTTTATCCGCCTCACGCTCGCCTTCCTCCCGGCTCATGACAACAAATGGTCCTTCGGGGTGCTTGCTCGGTATATATGTGAGAAATACGCCCCCCAGAAAGGCACCAAACAAAACAGATGTACCAGTAAAGCCAGCGATGGAAATAAACGCCGAAAGAACCAGGGTCATAAGAATAATGTTGGAGATATGATCGAAGCGCGCAAAACGGTATTCAATGAACCTTCGGAAAAAAGGTGCAAATACCCATTTGGTGACGACGGGCGTTACGATGGCCATGCCTATTGATGCCACTATGGGACGCCCAATAAGCCAGCCCAGATTGACATTATTGCCCTCTTCTGAAAGTTTGCCCAAGTCGCTAATCACACTATATACCTGTTAGCTTGATGCATCGACCGCACACCGACTGTCATATCAAAAATTAACACACCTCAACATAACAAGCCCTACAACATCGTCGATGACAGCAGCGCTCACTAAAACTGATCCTACTCGAGTCTCGGCGAGATTGACCGATTCAGACGCAGAGCTGATCACAGCAAATGTAGTCCCTGGTGTTTCTCAGCAATTGTTTCAACGTGCATAGCTAGCGGGGGGTGATTTACCTAGTGAAGTAGCGGAAAGAGATGCCCCGATGATGAAAGTCTCAACCGCGCCTGTGCCAGGTTAGTTTTGACCATCGGAATTGGGCAAACAAAACTAACCATATCCAAAGCCAAAATAGAGCAATAGGTATGAAAGACCAATAGGAAACAAGACGCCAGTTGCAGCGCCAACCATACTCAAAGTGAAGTTCTGCTTAAGCAAGTCCAAACGAGTGCCAAGACCGCCTGGAATGGATGACATCAGTATCCAAGAAGCCAAGCACCTCGGCAACCAAGCAGCCAAGATAAAAACATTTTGCCACTGACCTTCGAAAATGATTAAAATCAGACCGACATATCCTAGAGTGACAAAAGTCTCTTGCCAGTGATGTTTAAGGATATTGGCCAATGGTACACCGTAGACGATTCCGACGGCGATTTGACCTATAATTCCGGCCTGGATTATCTTCGCAGAGACCCATTTTGCAAGAGAAAGGAAAAAGAAGAAGGAAATGACGATGAGGATATCGACAGCTGCAATTGATCAGTGAGGAAATGAGCAGAGATCAATTGGGATATGCTTGGGTACATACTTCCAGGTTCGTGGTATGGAAGGAAGCTGTTGTCCATACCGGAGTTATGCGTTTAACTTTGTAAGCCGCAAGATATAAGAGCAAGGGAAGGGCAGCATTTAAGTACATTTATTAGTATTAAATGTGATGACTCGCGTATGGTCCTCGCAGTCTGGGCAGTCTGGGCATGATCTGGGCATCCGCTGGGTGGATTCAAAGAAGCGTAGACATTGGATGACCAAAAATGAAAACTTCTCCTCACAGCTCTCTTCTGCGACTTCTATGGCTTGGGAAGGAACCATACAGTCACTCATTACGTTGTAATAGTTACCTCATACACTATCTACCGTGAAATTATCCTGAGCCAAAGGCCTGAAACCCCAGGCATCGTCAACTAACACGTACTTCCCGAGCTGCGCACCCCACCCCAAAACTCGTCCATGAGTTAGCACTTATGAATAAGATGGTTTCTTAAAAAATGTGTATGTTTCCCCCGAAAATCTGTTGAAACGATCCAAGAGTATCTACTGCGTGTTACGACACAGTCCTTTCGGTATGACCCTAATTACCATATGGCCATGTGAGCGCTGAGTAACTAAATACAAAAGTAGAGTGTGTACAATACAAGACATTTTACCCCCATCCCCATCTGAGTCCACAAAAATTCACTAATCAACATGAATGCGCCGTAAGCAGCGATCCGAGTTTCCTGTGAAGGAACTCCGCGTATGCATCGTGGTCACATTATCGCTGATGAGCCAATCCCCTTCTTCCCAACAGTGCCACAAAGCCACCCGCCGATCATGCAAGAGACTGTCCAGGACACGACACATCTGAGTCGAATCTGGGGTACCTTGGATGGTAATCTTTGTTGGAGTAAAGTTGGTTTTTTCCTGAGGCCAGGGCTCATGGTAGCGCAGGCAGGGTCGGTGATGAGCAAAGTGATCCTCAACCAGAGGCAATCCAGACACTTTGGCTTGGTCGAAAGCGGTAGTCTCCACTGTCCAGGACAGTGTGCGGAGATAGTCTACCGAGTATTCTGTGGGCAGGTATTGCCATATCAGATGAGACGTGGAGAAGAGTGTAAACCCCGTATCTTTCGGAGAGGGAGTCATGCTCGTGAAAAATTGAAATCTTGACACACGATCAGTTATTAGGTCCTTGCAATCTTTGGATCTGGGTGAAGAGGGTACTTACTTGGGGGGGCATGATCGAACAATTTCTTTCCCATCAACATCTTGAGATTTCTCGATCTTGAATAACCCGTCATAGTGGAATGGCATCCATTCCGATGAGAGCACGTTGTTCAACCCCTGTCCGTCACTTCCATGATCCTTGACTTCAAGGATCAAACCAAATTTCCACGGCATGGGCGTGCCCATCTCCTCCGCCTTCTTGACAAACAACTCACGATCCCGGGTGTCTTCGAAGCCGCGAAGGATTACCGGAGAGATCTCCTGGGCTAGCTCCCGCACTATGCGCATGTCCACATCCTTGGCCGACATAGTTCCCACAGGGCGAATCATCAAACCGCATGGGTATAAGGGCTCAAACTCCACTGGCTGGGACCATGAATAAAGGGGCGACTTGTATCGATAGTACCAGGGCTGTCCGTTCTTCTGAACCAGCTCGACATCTGGGTTTCGGTCAAATGTCTCGCGCAAGCCATATTCCACTTGGCCATCAACGGTAAAACATGGTGCCGAGTGCCATGGAGTCGTTGTGAAGGTTGCGAGCGGCAAGACCCGAATGGAGATCTTTGTGGATCCGCATGATGGGTGGATTGAGAGTCGGACATGATCGGGGTAATTCTTTCTGATAGCTTCTGCGTAAGCCTGCATAGTATAGCGATATTAGTGGCAAATACAATTTTCAGTGTGATCAAGTGGAATTCACCTTCCCCCGCGCGATCATCTTTTTCGCGATAGCTTCCAGTTTTTGCTTGTGGGACCGTTTCGACACTTCTCCCTCTACAAAGGTGTGCTCCAAGTCTTTAGTCAGGAACTTGATATATCCTCGGTATGTTGTGCAAACATCCTCATCCGCTAGGATACTTTCACGGCAATCGTAGTCTAGTGGCGTGAAGTTGTCAATCAATCTCTGGCGGAAATCACCTGCAAACTTCTCAAAGGTAGCGGCATCAAGTGGAGTGTCGGTTTTCCAGTGGACGAGGTCTCGAAGACGAATAAATGTTATGTGCTTGTACCCTTCATTCTTGACCATTTGACGCAGACTTTCTCCATAAGCAAAAACCTCTGCATCAGGCACTCCTAAAAGGTCTGTCTCATGTTAGTGTCAGGATAGGTAGATATATTCACATAGCGATTAACAAAAAGTGAGGGCCAGTTACCATTGTACACAAGACCGTCGGACGCAATGGTCAACTTAGCACCGGGCTCATAGATGTCCGAAATAGCCGCACACAAGCCATTCAGATGCGCCATGGCAAGTTCCTCTCCTTTGTCGGGCAAGGCTCCCAGCGTCTTGCCCACTCGATTAGGCGACTTGAATGGGAACGCGGGTAGGATCATTTGGATCTCACTCGAAGACTTGACCTGAGAGTAGATGATATACAGAAACTTCAGTTTGCCTTCATCACTGCGATCTACCGTCGTAAGCGGAGTAGGCAAGCGATACTGGTATATGACATCCAAGACCTCCCATGCCTTCCGGAGTGTGATTGAATCAAAGAGAGGTGTCGCTGCCGTCAAAGTCAACGATGTCGACTGGGTTGTAAGAAGTTGTTGCATGGCTGCGCTCATTTTGTAAAATAGGCTGGATTTGGGAGAGCCCTTTGGGATCTTTTAAAGATTATAACATAATTTAGTGGTTTGGTCTTCTAACCCTCCTTTTGAAGATGTCATGAATCTTACAAAATTGCAATTGAATTTTCATGGCGTCCCCTTAGGCCATACCCACTAGCCCTGAGTCGGAACAAGTACTTCTGCATGGCACCATACTCCATACTCCATATTGTATTATCTTTCATACTACTCCGTATACCAAGGATCTCCAATATCATGAAATGTCTCACAAGGTTTTGGGTCACTAACACATGACTAATTACCTAAACGGTAATTCCGCTAATATACCTGGGTATTACTAATTCAAGTCTAAATCCACCTGGGCGTAGATGGCTGAACTATGTTGCAACCGCACGGATAATTTGTCTCTTGGTTGAACTATGGGCTGACTACGGAGTATAATCCATATAATAGCTATAGTAATCAGCTGAAGTTCGGCCGGAATAATTCCGTCGGCCTAGACCTCTTCAAGTCCTATAGGAGTACTCCGTAGCATGTGTTAGGTCCCATTGCCGATACCAGCTTCTAAAGTTGGGTTAGTCCCAAGTCCTATCATTATGTTGTATGCATTTATGCATACCTAGACTCTTCTAGGATGATTATACATACTACTAACCTTTTTAGCGCCTTGGCAATCTGCAGGGGTTTAACAATGAAGTTCCGATAGTTGCAGTGGATTAAACCTATTTACAACATAGAGTGACCTTGTACGGAGTAATGAACCCTCAATTATCTGGCTTTCTCTTTGGTCAACTATGTGGTTTAATTTCGCACCTGCATACGTATGCAGAGTTGCCTGAGGAAGAGGATAGAATACAATTAGCGTGCCACGCTAGCGTATCGAAAATATTCGGCATCACGCTGACTGAGGTCCTAGCTTTCAGTCAGCGTGAAACCAAGTGGGTAGTAATTTCGGAAAACCTTCGGAACACCGAGGAATTGACTTAAATAAGATTTATCAACATGGTGCCATGTGAGACCATATGTGGTCAGCCGATCTCGGGCCGATCTAGAAGTCTTGCCTTAGGGTGTTACTTACCTTTCGAGTCCTTGAGTCTGCAGTAAAATTTCAAAAGTAATATAGTATCTCCCTCTCCTTCGCCATTCACTTGCATGGAAACTCTACCGACATACAAATATCATGGGTTACTCTCAACAAGCACGTCATGTTGATCTGGTTATCGTGGGAGGTGGACCAACGGGATTGCTATCCGCTGTCCTCGCCCGTTCTTTAGGCCTGTCAGTGTATATAGTTGGTATGAGATACCACGCCCTTTGATGATAATTCATGGTTAAATTAACCACGTGAATTGTCTTTCAGATGCAAAGGATACTTTCCTTGAGCTTGGTAGGGCTGATGCACTGAATGCCCGCACCCAGCAGTATCTTGAAGTATCCAAGACGCTACCATTACTCGAACCGTTTGGCTTGCCTTGCAATAGTAGGTATTCTGATGTGGGATAAGGGGGTCCATTCTAGCCCTCTCTTTCTAGCTTTACTGATACCCTTTACTCTTCTTGCAGCAAGCTCAACCTTCGAAAATGGACAGTTTACATCCCAGCAAAACCGTTGGTGGACATCATTGACCAATTGCCAGCGGCCCAATTTCTTGATGATCGGCCAGCCCCAGGTTGAGGAAGCTCTCCTACACCAGCTCGATGTGCCAGTCACATACAAAAACTCCGTCACATCCATCGCCGAGTTTGACTCTGGTGTGGTAGTGACGACCGATCATGGGAAAACGGTGGTGGCCAAGTATGCAATCGCTGCCGATGGTGCGCGTTCGTTTGTTCGTACTGCACTGGGGATTCCATTCCTAGGCACAAAGCCAGGGATGGTTTGGGCTGTATTGGATACCTTCATAGAGACAGACTTTCCCTGTTGTCCCGAAATCATCACCTTCCAGAAAGATGGACAGTCCCGCGTCTCATGGATCCCTAGGTATGTCTGCCTTTCCCCACCATGACGATTTATCTAACCATCATTCCCTCACGCGATAGAGAGCGGGGGATGAGCCGCTTTTATGTTTTGTTGGACGGAGAAATTACGCAGAAAAGGGCCGAGGTGTCCATTCAAGAGCACATGGCCCCGCACAAGATTGAGTTCAAGAAGACAGAGTGGTTCAGCTCTTTTGAAGGTAAATATTCAATCTATATAGAACTGGGCATACTTGTTTTCAGAAATCTAACAATGATAATGATCTTTAGTGAAAGAGCGTGTTGCCAGCACGTTTGTTTCAAGGGATGGAGAAGGACGGATCATTCTGGCGGGCGATGCAGCACACGTCCACGCCGTAAACGGTGGCCAGGGCCTCAATACGGGCATTGCAGATGCATTCAACCTGGTCTGGCGCATTGCATTTGCAGCCAAAGGGTTTGGAGGACCTGTTCTTCTGAAAAGCTACGATGAGGAGCGACGCGCGACAGCTGAGAAGGTTATTGATGTTGCTGCAAAACTGGTTCGCTCGACTGTCAAGACAGCGCTAGAATACGTCAACCTTATCGAGAAGAGCGCGAACTACATTACAGGTATCGGATTTTGGCACATTTTCTGTTTGTTCCGGTGACTGACATACTTCTCCCTTCAGGAATGGGTGTTTCATACCCACCGTCCAGCGCCTTGGTCCGAGCCTCTTCCTATGCTGACTTCGTGGCGGGAAGCCGGTGTCCGGACCTGTGGGTAAAAACTCTTCCTCCCACTTCGTTGTTCATCGATGCCACAAAGGAGTCTCAGTCGTTGTTCTCTTCGACGAAGAAGAGGCTCTATGAACTATTCGAGTATGGGCGATTCAAGATCTGTTTCCTTGGCAAGGAGCCCTCACTTCAGTGTCTGGAACAAGGAATTGAGATGCAACAGAAAGTGGAGTTCTGGCATGTCCACTCTGGTGACAAGCGTGTGACAAACCTAATCCATGAGTTCCAGGGTGACTGGGTTGGTGAGCAAGCGACGGTGGTGGTGATAAGACCAGACACGTATGTGGGCTATGTTGGTCCGGATTGGCAACAATACTTGGATTCCGTTTTTGCTTAACTTATATGCGGAAATATTAAACACAATATAAAAGCGAGTTTCAAATATCACATTGATATTAAGTAGGTCGAAGGATCATTACATCCTAGTCAAAAGTTATTAGCAGTTTCGCTTGATTTAAAAATGTGAGATTCTTAGACATATAGGCCTTACAGACTAAGCTACTTCTTTACTCTATCCTTTTTTTACCCTACCGGGGGGTGAGGGGATAAGGAGTACTTCGAACCACTTAGTTATATAGTACATAGTAAATGCGATAAATTACAACTTGATATCTTAATATGGTGGTCTATATGGACTTTTCCTTATAGACTAATGTTTCTTTTAGGTGATATCTAGCCTCTCTAGGAAGGTTAGAAAGTATTCACGACTTGGTGATTGGGATATATATATTTCTGGCTTAGAACAAGGTAACTTTCAACACCACGGTAATATAGGTTTCCAATTTTCTTGAAAGTAATGTATAGGGTTGGAAAGTCTTATCCATAGCTATTGAATAACAGTCAAGTCAAATTACAACATTGTTGTTGAGATATAAGTAAAGAAAATATCGCATTTACTATGTGTTTCGGACTGTGCCGCTTGTGTGTGCCACTCGCATGTGGAATACGTTAACTAGTTATGAATAGTTCATAGCCTGATAGTTGAGCTATGACTTTACATAATTCTATTGTACATTATACAAAAATAAACTTGAAGCTGTACTCTCGATTTTAGTGAATCCTTCTTAAATGTGGGCACCTACTATTGGCCCATTCAAATGCAAATGCCGCTTCTGTCAGCATTGGCGTCAAAGCATCATAATCCAATAATAAAATTCCCCATAAAATGTAAGCCTGATAGCCTATGAACTTCCCCGGGAAACTAAATAGAAAGCAGTTCGGGCTCGTGTTGATCCTACGTGGCCCCATATTAGCGCGAACGTCGTAAAAATAGCATCTCTGAGCATCTTCAAACCTCATGGATTTGAAGATTTACTAGTTATATCTTGGTAAATTATTTGCGCGATTGATATTTTCTTTGGGTAAATGTGTCAGTTCAAAGGGATCGGAGTAATGTGAACTTTTTCATTGACGCCGAGTCTAGTGCTGCATGTCGAAGCGCTTCTTTGTTAGAGCGTCTCATCTTGAGGGCAGTGCTTCAACCCCCACTCGGGGGCGGTTGGGTCTGTACTTCGTACTTTATCTGTGAATATTCGCTTTCTATTCTTCCAAAGCTTTTTGGGATTTCGCATTTTGCATTTCGCATTTTCTGTTGCCTTCCCACTTCTCTGCTCTCGAAGCTGGCTATATCTAATTATTTTATACAAAGACATCGGGGAGTTACCTAAAACGGGTATTGAATGAGAGAATTCTAGCGACAGTATCTTTTGTACTATCTTTTGTGGCGGTTCTTTGTCTTTGTCTTTGCTTTGCTTTGGAGCATTCACATAAGACAAAAGTGCCCCAAGAATTCAAACTTCAATCCACCATACCTGCTATGGTGAGACTCTTGGGATTCTTGCCATTTGCGATGTTGGATGCAGATACCCCGGACCCCATTAGAGTGGAAAATACCCCAACCTCGGTGGCATCAGCAGGCCAGGATGTGGCGATCACGACGACGCCCGGCGGAAACAACAAGAATCTTGCACTAGAAGCGTCAAGTTGGGTAGATCCAGCAGCGACAGTGACAGGTATCTATCCTGGAACGGTTTCATGGCCCTCAGCCAGCGACTTGACCACACCTCCAGCACCAAGTGGGACATCTACTGTCGATGGTATCAGTTCAGAAGCCATTCCAACCAGTACACTGGATGCAAGCTCACATAATCCACCATTATCATCAACACAAACAGCCTGGACCGCACTGTCAAGTTTAAACTCATCCTCTGTCACATCCACCCCAACAACAACTACAATCTCGGCCTCATCCTCATCTTCAGAAACAACATTAGCAGCTAGCGACTCAACCGCTTTCTCCGGCGGTCCATCAAAAACAACAAAAATCGCCATAGCAGTCCCAGTCTCAGTAATCGGTTTAGCTCTTATCCTAGCACTCCTGTTCTTCCTCTCCCGCCGACGACGCCGCGAAAAGGAACGCAATTCACTGCCACCACCTTACGATATAGCAACAGGCCATCGAAGCGCGGTATCAACACAAGAGCTAATGATATCTCCTAAATCCTCGACACCGGAACCAAGACGTTCAGTGCCGACCCCGGCAATGTCTTCAACGGCAACATCCATGCCCTTGCCCATGCCGCGGATCCCGATTATCAGTATCTCGCCGTCGACGGAAAGTCGGGGCCGAACGCCTACTCCTGATCCCAGTCCTGGCTCGGGCTCTGTGCACCGCATGCCTATGACCCATGGACCTGGTGACTCTGAGACGGAGCTTGGTGTTGCAGTTGCTGTTCCGATGGATCAGAGGCGGAGTGCTACAGAACAGGATTTGAGAGGTCGGGTTGCGTCTGTTACCTCATCGAGGGGTCCGTCGCAGTTGGCTAGGATGCCGTTTGAGGATTTTTCGGATGATGAGGTTGGTATTGGTGTTGCTGTCAGTGGTTCGGATGATGATGATGCTGTTTCTGATGTGTCGGATTTGGATGGACGCAGGAGGGAGAGGGAGTTTGATGAGGTTTCTGTAGTTTCGTCGTTCGATGAGGTGTCGCCGATAGGTGAGCAGGAGAGGAGGCGGTTTCGGGGAGTTTGAGGGTGTCAGTAAGATGATATGATATAATGAAGCTAAGCTTGGTCTAGAGCTTCTTTTATGTGGATTTCTTTTGGTCTACTGGCGTTTTCGTTAGTTCAATTGGGGTTTCATTGTGATAGGCTACAAGTTGTGTGTTTCAGACTATGTACATGAATCTTGGAATATGACTGCAATGATATCCTGACCACATTACTAGTCATAATACTGGGAACGTCGAGCCCATGTGCAGTGTAAAAATGAACTGTTGGTGCTGATTCTTATTCCGTTTGTCTTCCACCACCGAAGTCAGCCTTGTGGGCTGTGGCCTTTCCGTGAGTCAACTCCCGAAGAGCCATAGTGGCGTACTGGCTTGAGCCCAACTGGAATTTTAGAACAACGGCCAGCTTATCAGCCGGGGTCTCGTCGGTCATGGTGGTATCGGCATTCTCATCCTCAGACTTCAGCTTTTGCAATTCCGTCTTAACAAACTGCTCATCGTCCTTGGAATAAAGCTTCACGTCGAAAGAGTACTTGTCTCCGATCATACGGCTGAAAATCTTGCGGTAGCCGCCGCTCAGACTGATGTCCTTCCACTTGCGGCGCATGTTGGACGGGTCAAGGCCACCACCCTGCTCGCTTTCCATGAAGCGACGATAGAATTCCTTCATTTCGTTTTCTGGGTAGATAATGTCATATCCAGGCTGGGGAAGTACCAGGTCAAAGATGGTATATTTGCCACTGGCTGCCTCTTCGGCCGTCAGGGCACGTGCCCGCATGAACATGTCATCGGCCGCAACGGCACTGTCCTCGCCCTGAGGAACAACAATAATTTCACCGTCAGCATCGACAGTCTCGGGAATCTCTACTTCAGAGGCAGATTCCTTATCACGGTGCTCTTGGATGATGACGAGATCGCCTTCCACTACCCGATCGCCGTAGAGTCGCCAGCGCTCGCTGGCAGCAAAGTTCCACACAAGCGACTGGTATGCGTGTACGTACATCAATCGGAGGTTCCGGGGAATACTCTGCAGGGCACCCAAATAATCCTTGTTGCTCCTTCCGAGGTGGCGGATTAGATTGTTTTCAGCGGAGAACTTGCGCGGGATCTTTTGCAGAGCGTCTGTGACGCTACCGCCGGTCTGGAAGATATTAATGGCCATGGCGCGATCCTTGTCATCAGCACCGATGTTAGCAGTAGACATTTTCCCCTCCATTGCCGCTTGAAGAGACTCAGGAGCATACTGCAAAATAGCATCGCATGCGCCCTTGAAATCTCCCTGCAGCATCTTGACGCCGACTATGTCCGTTCGGGTTGCGAATGTTCCAAATCGCTGGAGACCGTAGTAGTTGAAGTATCCCCGCTGGTAGAGGTTCTTCAAAGAGGTACTGATGACCTCGGAGGCCTTGGCAATTGCAGCCTGGGGGTCACTCAGACTCACGCCGGGAATTTCAACGTCGCGCAGAGTAATCACAAACTCATTGCCCTGCAAGTCTCCAAGCTCCAGGCCTTGCTTGCGGTACTCAAAGTCTCCAATATAAGCATTGCGCAGTTCCGAGTTCACTTGTGCAAGGCGGTCGACCTGAACGCGCACAGCACAGGCACGCTGGACGGTCACACCCCGCCTATCCTTGGTTCCGGCGAATTGTAAAGCCTTGGGGTTCATTCTCAATGAGCGAGCGATGTAGCCGATAACTTCCATTGTGTCCTTGTTCTCCTTGTAGATGGTGAAATGCAGGTATGGCCCGCCGAGTTCTTCCCAGTTTGTTCGGTGGCCCTGAATCCGGCCATTGGCTCGTCCTGCGGTCGCACCGCGCTTGAAACGGTTGTTCGCTGCGGTGATTGCCATATTTCCATCTGCGTCGGTAGAAGACTCTAGCTGAGAGTTGAAAATGCGACGGATGGCCTGGTGGATCTTGGTGCGAAGGTCGCGATCAGACACGGCAACGGTGACGTTTCCAAATTCACTGGGTCGACCCTTTGGCTTAGCCATAGCGATCTTGTGGAGCGCAATTATTTCAGCGGCGTGTAGAGGGCCAAAGTATTCCTCCAGAAGAGTGTGATCCTCTTCCGAAACCTTGAACTCAGCTGGTGTTTCCGCTTCCTTGGCCGGAGTACTCTGGGTTTGCTGTGTAGCCTGGGGTTCCACCTCTGGGGCTTTTGGTGCAGGTGTCGGCTCACTCGTAGTAGGTGTAGAATTCTCGGGATTGCTGGGCGTATCGAGGCTTCGGAGGTGGACAACTTCGCCGGTGGTCATGATCTCGTTGACCATGAAATCCGTGTATCTGCGCATGAGTATTAGCGGAATCCTTAACTAGAGTCACGCGATAACTTACCTCTTTTTCAGGACACCCGAAAATCCCTCAGTGTCGTTGCTCACAAACTCGGTGATACCGACTTCGCCTTCCTTCAGAGCCTGCGCATCGGAGACTGTAGCGCTCGGAGTCTCAGTTGCGCCACTAAAGGCAACAGCGACCTCGGTTGAGCCTGCATCTTCGGTCTTCTGTCGCTTGCGCGGAGACTCCACGATATCTGGCTTCTCCATATTGTCTCAATCGTTCGTAATGGGTGGGGTTGGATGGAGAAGGTTGAGCTTCAGGAACTTTTCTTGACTGATTGGGTTTAGCGCAACAGGGCCAAGTGTGGATCAGCCCTACTTGTCGCATTGGGATGGGGGGCCTTATACTTCACTATACTTCACTTCTGCATTCACCTCATTGAATGTTTGACCCTTTCAGTTATCAATGGGCCCATTCAGAGGAGCCTAATTATAAACTTATCTTTATCTATCCAGTGTCATATCGTAATCGCAAACACAGTTTTGTGAATACAAACTATTCCCGATATCTTCAATGCCCCGAATAGAATTAATGTATTATAGCAGCGGTGTTACAATCAGTCAATAATGTACAGATAGAAAGAACCTCAAGTGCCAAAGCTAAGGATTTTTTTTACAGGTGGAACAAATTACTGAGAGTCATTGTAAAACAATCGCATGTGGACACTTCCGATGAAATTACTATCACGTAAAGTAGCTCTCGGATTTTGATATCATCCCCAGCTAACCATTGTCGCCATGCATAGGTCTGTTCCCCCAATTGATGTCTCGGATTACTGGAATAAGGTTCAGACGTTTATAGTTGACCAGGAATTTGGTGCCCACGATGATCATTTCTCCAAGTCTGTGAAGACTAATTTTGAAGGCCAATTGTTTCATATACTAGTATCGTATATTGGTTCTATCACGAGACAATTTTTATTCAAAGTTCTATAGATTCTCCTCAGGAAGAATGGCCACATCTAAATTGAACAAACTGCATAAGCTTACCTCAGATCGGATCGAGTTTTTCGCAAAATAGCTAGACGAATTTGAAAGCAGATATGGCTTCCTTTGGAGGTTTAGATGAGGATACTTAGTACCTTCGTGCTAGCTCCTTGAGTGCTAAACAAAATTGAATATAAACAAGAGAGCAAGACATAAGGAAACTATTCAGTTTAAAGAACCGACGCATATATTGCAAACGAAGGTACGCAAGACCTCAATATTATATGCTATGCATCGCCCAAATATAGAGGGGAATTCCCATCTCTAGGGTGTTGCTAAAAGCACTACGCGCCAGAACCAGGACAACCATGAATTCTAAATCAGACGTTCTGACAGCGCAACTGACTGGACGTTGCACATGCAACATACCGAAAAATTCGCTCAATCTCCGATTCCAGCTGAGAAGTTAGGCTAATTGGTCTTGTACTCTGGAAGGAAGATGAAGCCGAATCTCGAGGTATAAAATGGAGGTATTCGCCCGCTGTTCTGGATATCAGTTCTATAGGAATCAACCTTCCATCTCTACCAAGTTTAGCCTCCAAAGTGACTCGGTGAGACTTGCTACTACCCACCCTCATGACATAGGGCAATTGAGCTAATTATTGAATGTGATTACACAATAGCTCGATCTAAAATGAAGTCCAACTTCCTCATCGCACTCTTCAGCTTGGCTGTGGCCGCTGTTGCTGCTCCTACTGGTATCTCACCAACTATTTCCGCTCTTTATTTGTCTTCTAATTGAGTGATCATAATAGGTCCTGGCGGACTTGGCGGCGGTGGTGGTGCTGGCGGTTCCGTGAGCGGCGGCGGTGGTGGTGGCGGTTCAATCGGCGGAGGGCTTGGTGGTGGCTTTGGGGGTGGCTTCGGCGCCGGTGCCGGTGCCGGCGCTGGTGCCGGTGCTGGCGAGGGTATCTAAAAGGATCTTTTGAGGCTGGACTAATGCGTTTGGCATTGTGTAGTCCGTTGAAGCAGTCGCCTGATAGGATAATAGGATGTTAGGACTAGGAATAACAGTTTCAGCCCTACTTGATTTGCATCCATGAATTTGAAGAGTTCAGGTGATTTTTTCTGTGCTTTCGGCTGTGAAGTAGATGTTGTTTGTAGTACTAGAAAAAAAGAGGGACCAAAGATAATAAAACTGCTAACGCTCAGCCCAAACTCCATTGTGATTCTTTTTCTATCTTCCAGGATGTAGTGTGTGCATGATACATAGGTTGCGTTAGGATGAAATGCTCTGTACGAGTCAAGTGAAAAAAAAAGGAAACAAATGTAAAATGCATGGTGAAAAGAAACAAGGGGATGGTTATTTTACAGCTCATCTTTGGGAAGATCCTCCTTCTCCTTGGGCTGATCCTTGCCCTTGCCCTTCTCGGCCTCGGGCTTCTTCTTTTCCTTAGATCCCTTTTTACCACTGCTGCTGCTCTTCTTCTGCTGGCCAGCGTTTGCAGTCATCCTCTCGTACATGCGGTTAAGGATGCGCTCGAATTCGCGCAGCCGCGAGTCGACCTCCACAACGGTCAAAGTAGGGTCATCAGACTCAGAAAGCGTCTCCTGCAGACTGAGCTGGGTCTCGAGCCAAGGGTTCGTGGACTCGTAGGCCTGGGTGATGGCCGTGAGGTCAGCGGGAGTGAAGAGGGAGTACTTGGGACCTGTGGGCTTTGCCGCAGCAGCACTCTTGGTAGATGTGGTAGAAGATGAAGAAGCGGAATATGCGTCTTCATCCAGATCGTCGAGACCCTCGTCAGAGGCGGCGGGGGCTGGGGTCGATGTGGTGGTCTCGGTGGAGGTGGAGGTGGAGGTGGAGGAGGCGCTTGAGGCCGAGAGGGAAGAGGAGTAGATCTGCTCGTCATTGTCGATCTGGTTCTTAATCAATTCCTTCATGGACTCGGCGTTCTTGAGCATGTCCTTGAGCAACTGCACGCGTGCTGGGCGAGAAGAGCTCTCCTTCATCCGCTTCAGCGCAGGGTTGACGATGGACTTCAGATCCTTGAGCTTCGACTGGAAATCGGCAGTCTTGGCATTGTCGCCCTCTTCGTACAGCCAGTCGCTGGCTGCAGAGACTCTCTCGGAGAGAACAGTCAGCTGGTCGGGCTTGACTGCCTTGATGAACTCCTCATTATCGGCGAGGTCTCGGCTACGGTAGATGAAAGATTCCAATTCATTAAGAGCCTCTTCGCGCAGGATGCGATCACGGTCGGAATTATCGAAAGCAAGGAGGCGGCCGTTAATGCGACTGAGCTCTGCGACTGACGGCCGTGGAGTTCCAAGCGCTACAGACTTCAAGCTGATCGGGATGACTTCAAGCTTGACCTGAGGGGTGGCTTTTGCGTCCTTCTTCGCGTCCTTCTTCGCGTCCTTCTTTGCGTCCTTCTTTGCATCCTTGGTGGATGTGGTGGTGGACTTGGAACTGGCGGAGGATGTGGTGGAGGACTCTGTCTCGGGCTCGAGGGTGATCGATTCACGAGGCTCGCCATCTTCGCCGAGGGGCTCCTGCTCGTCCTTCTTGCCAAGGCCGAAGAATCCCTTAACGTCTTCGACAATTCCCTTCTTCTCAGGTTCCACCTCGCAGCTAACGGTACCAGCCACAACTTCGGGAAGACCGTCCACGGGGCTGAGGCGAATCGTAAACTTGGTGGTAATGTTTGCAGTGGTGCAGCCAAAGTTATCCTTGAGCTTGGCAACAGACGCAGTAAGGTTCTGAGTCTGGACGCTGAGGATAGGCTGTTCTTCATCCTGGGTAACATGCTGGCCGAAGCTGAATTCGAAATCCTCCAGGTTCTTCACAGTGACTTGCTTCTCAGGACCGACTTGGGAAGTGGCGGTGAATAGTTTCTGGTTTCTTTGCTTGCCGTCCGAGTTCCACTTCAAGGAGATGGGGTACGTAGCGGCGTCGCCGGTGCGAATATCCTTAACACGGAAGCTAGGGCTCAGAGCAGCTCCCTTGAAGGCAGCACCGAACACTGCCGCCTCATCAGCGTTAACATTTGTTCTGATCTTCTTAGAAGAACCGGCGAAGTTCTCCAATTGCTTCTGGACGAACGGAGTCCGAATGGCTCCACCGTGAAGCACGATAGATTCGATATCGCTCAATTGGAGGCCAGCCGCTGTCAAAGCCTGCTCCACTGGGGTTCCAATGCGGGCGACATGCTCAGCAGCCATTTTCTCGAAGTTGGCACGGCTCAGCTTGTACTTGAAGTTGACATTCTCGTCGTACAGTCCCTCAAAGCTGGTCGAAGTCTCGGTGTTGGCGCTCAGAACCTGTCGGAGCTTCTCCGCATCTTTCCAGAGCCTGGACATAGTCTTTCCATGGGCCTTGATCTCAGCTGGAGTAACCTTATCCTTGAGCTTCTTGTCCTCGACCAACTGGGCGACCATATCGTTCACAATGAGATCGTTCAGGGAGTCGCCTCCAAGTGACTTATCCCAACCAGCTCCAACAACATGAACTTCCTGGATAGTCTTGTTGAATTTACCAATGTCCTTGACCTTGCGGCTCTGGAACCGCAAAACACTCGCGGTCGTAGATCCAGCACCCATGTCATACACGATGTGGTATTCGGGCTTCTCGCCATCAGACACGCTGGGGAAAGTACGGCTGGTGGCGTAGTTCAAACCGACAGCCAATCCATCACTAACAAGAGCCTGGATCCTCAGACCGGCCAGCTCAGCCGCCAACTCGAGGCTGCGCTTCTCCTCCGCGGTGTAGAACACAGGATAGGTAATGACGACATCGCGGACATCGGATCCCTTTCCAGCCAACGTATCAGCATTAGCCTTAATCTGCTTCAACTGCATTGCCAGAATTTCCTCAACCAAGAATGCCTCTTTCTTTTGCGCCTCTCCTAGCCGGTTGCTGCGGAGAGCAACAGAGCCACGACCATCGGGGGCGGTCTCCAATTTCAATGCGGGGAACCTGCTCCAATAGGCCTTGACTGCCTCCTCGTTGCCATCATTGAACGGAACGCCCAACAGAGTCTTCAAGTTGATGTAAATGTCGTCCGGGTACCGAGCCGCGAGGGCGAGAGCATCACCGCCATAAAACCGTTCGGGGAAAGGCGCATCGCTCTCTCTTGTGGGCTTGAAAGCAACCGCAGCGGACTCCTTGCGTTTCGAATCTTTAGTGAGGACGATCTCGAGCGGAATGCCGGGTTTCACGAGAGCAGCCTTGAAATATTCCGTACCGATGTCGACGCCCAGAACGGCCGATCCGGCGGCAGAAGCTGGCCCAGCGAAGCCGAGAAGGAATACGAGGAATGGGAGGACCACGAGGGATAGCATTGGCGAGCTCGATAATTGTCGGCGATTTAAGAACGCCATGATCTATGTTTTGGCTCCGGGCTGCGGGAGTCAGCCAAATTGCCGATTCGGGGAGTTGTTTGTAGTTTCAACAGGAAAAATCACCCTTATGTGTACATATATAGACAAACTGACAGATATTCAATCACTCTACCGGTTCGCCGAATAGTGTTTCGGGGTTCGGGCTAGCTTTGCGCCAGATGGATGGTCGGACGGAGCTATGGGGTAGCTCGAAATTGGTGTTAGGTTGGCGGATGGGTAGTAGGGGAGGAGGAGCAGGAAAAGAAAACCAGGAGAATGACTCAAAAATTAGGCCATTTGAAAGCAAAGGGATACTGTGGCCACTTGGCAGTAACGTAACTTGAAGCCTAAAAGAGCTGTTGGATGAGGACACGGGTCATCATGCAAACACACCGGGAGATGTTTGATGTTTGCACCGCTTATCGTTATCGCATTATGTCACAGCCCTAATTTCGAACAGGGTTGAATTGTATACCAGACGACTTGTGAACGTTCTAATTATAATCATGATGGGAAATGCTGGTAATTATTTCAAATAAATATCAATTCATAGACTAATGTATATATGACTATAATTAGGGTTCCATAATTATGGATAAGGAGCGTCGAGTCATCAAGAAACCCATTAATAACCGCATCCTTCAAGGCCGGATATGCGAATACAATTTTTTTGCAAGTTTGTGTTGCTTTTTTCGTGCATAAAACCCATCGCTCGGTTTCTCACAAGTAACTGCCAAGACCGATGATATCATACCACGTCTGACATATTAACTTCCGTGTAGATCAATTAGAGCAAAGCAAACAGAAGAGCCAGGCCAGGTATGAAGGCCGCCGCAGATTTTTGGAGAGCTGGAGCACTGTTGAAAGCAGGAGAAGAGGAAGCAGGGGGGGCGGAGGTGGAAGAAGTGACGGGGCTCGACTGTGCTGGTGCAGTAGGCTCAGTAGCTGGAACACTGGTTTCAGTAGCGGGAATGCTGGGCTCGGTGGCTGGAGCGCTGGGCTCGGTAGCCGGAGCAGTGGTCTCAGTACCAGGGGAAGTAGGCTCAGTAGCTGGAACACTGGTCTCAGTAGCGGGAATGCTGGGCTCGGTGGCCGGAGCAGTGGTCTCAGTACCAGGGACAGTAAGCTCGGTGGCTGGAACACTGGGTTCAGTAGCCGGAGGAGGCACCACGACAGAAGTTGTGGAAATAACAGGGGGAATCGTGTGCTCGGTGGGAGGGGCTGTGGGCTGAGTGCAAGCCTCAGTGCAGGTGGAAACAGACGTCACGGTGATTGTGCTGGTTTGGGTCACGGGGTGGGTGTAAGTTGACGAGCCGCTTGTGACGGTACTCCAGGTGACTGGTTTTATTAGCAATTGTAACTGATGGAGTAGTCAACTTTTTACTCACTTGGGCAGGTAGTAGTAGTGTAGGTGGTTGTCACGATAACCGGAGGAGGAGTGCCTGTGGGGGTCTCGGTCTCGCAGGGAGTGGTAGAAGCGGGAGGTGTGGTGGGAGTTTCGGTCTCACCAGTCGTACTACTGACAGGGGGGGCAGTAGGAGTGTCCGTCTCACAGGGGGTTGAGCTCGGCGGAGGAGAAGTGGGAGTATCAGTTACATAGGGAGTTGAGGTCGGCGTCGTATAGGGAGGTAGAGTTGGAGGCAAGGTTGTGGTGTCAGTCTCACACGGGGTTGAGGTAGGTGTCACAACTGGGGGAACAGTAGGGGTGTCCGTCTCGCACGGGGTTGAGCTCTCAACGGGCGGGGTCGGAGTATCAGTTTCACATGGGGACGAGGTAGGTGTTACAACTGGGGGAACAGTAGGGGTGTCCGTCTCGCACGGGGTTGAGGTAGGTGTCACAACCGGGGGAGTGGTAGGCGTCACAACCGGGGGAACAGTAGGTGTGTCCGTCTCGCACGGGGTTGAGGTAGGTGTTACAACCGGGGGAGTGGTAGGCGTCACAACCGGGGGAACAGTAGGTGTGTCGGTCTCGCACGGAGTGGAGGTCTCAACCGGCGGAGTGGTAGGCGTCACAACTGGGGGAACAGTAGGGGTGTCCGTCTCGCACGGGGTTGAGGTAGGTGTTACAACCGGGGGAATAGTGGGCGTGTCGGTCTCGCATGGGGTTGAGGTATCAACAGGCGGGGGGGTCTCAACAGGCGGAGGAGTTTCAACTGGAGGAGTCTCAGTCTCGCAGGGAGTGGTCTCTTCAGGGGGACCACCGCCGCCGTGACCACCATCACCGTGATCTCCATGGTCGCCGCCCCACGAAGGACCACCGCCGTCATGGTCGTCACCACTGCCGCGGACAGCAATGTGAGCCTCACCAGCATGTCTGGGAGTAATGACCATGCCGGATGCCAAGGTTGCGGCGTAGAGCAGAATAATTGGAGCACCCCGCATCTTAACTAGCGAACGAGTGGTTGGTATGTACTGGAATAGATAGGGCTGATATGTTCCTTGAAACGAAGGACGATAGGAACCGTAGCGAGAGAGTTCCTAAACGGGCAATATAGACAATTGAAATATTTCTAGGACCGAGGCTGGGAGCAGACGGGGGAGTAGGGCAGGTTTATATGTGTATGCCTCCTCTGGGGTAAGGCCTCCTCGGAGGCCCAATTCCTGTTTGGCTGCTTCATTTCATAGCTCCATTCTGTTGGCCATTAGGCTAGTGTGGACCAACCTGTTCCATATTGGGCACTCAAAGCAGAAAGTCAGAAAAAAGTGGCGCTCATATTCTAACGCCAACCGGAATTGACATGAGCGCCCAGTATTCAGCAGTCGACCCGCATATTCACAGCCAAGAGGCTGGTCATGGTGTATAGTATACCAGAAACCAGATGCAGAGGTGAGAGCTAGCGCATGTACACGGGCCCGGTTGACTAGACGACCAGGTACTAGGGTTGAGCCAATGATAACTTGACAAGGTCTCAGATATTGACGTCAACCTGGAAAAGCAGAGTTGAAATATTCCGAAGTCAAATTGTCCACAGCCGGATGCATGGGCGGATCAGCCAATTGACTCTGATGATGCAGGTCGGTTCTTGGCAATGCGGGAGACAGCTCTAGGATTTTCCATCACAATACGGAGGACAGAGAACAGAGGACAGAGGACGTACGCAGGTTCGCGTAGGATTTGCCAGTTTTCTGCTTTTCTTGTTGCCTCTTTCCATTAGTCTTGATACTCCATAGCGATATGAAGCCTATGAAAATGTCTCTTCCACACGTCATGAGACTGAGCTATGAATAACTCTTAAGTTCAGCCCAACCCATGTGTCCAAGTATAAGTGTGGGGAAACATCACAAATGACAGACGTGGAAATTGGAAATATGTCTCGAGCAAAGTAAGTGAGAGTGAACCTTGGAACTCTGGTAAGGCATAGAAAGATCGGAGAGTAGCCCGGTATCAGTGCCTGTCTAGAATCCCGAGGTCTAGACTTGGGTCATCAGGGTCTATTCCAAGATGATCGCAAAATGGCCGATCGTTCTCTGTGGGTCGGTGGTAGTATGTTGGTAAATGTGAGTACACTACTCCGTACTCCCTACCCAGGTGTGTAGGTGCGGAGCACGGAGGAGTACGGAGCAGTCACAACCGACGTGCCCCTGGCCAAGTGTATGCAGGTGACGCGGGCCCCAACAATTGAAAGTGCCGTAAATGGGCCCATGTTAAGCCAATGCAGGACAGTGGATATTGTGGGACAGGGCCCTATTCTTCCCCAGGCTCTGCATTATATGTTGTAGGAAGTTTATCTACTTCAACATTCTCCTGGTCCAGACTGTTGGAATTTTAAATTCAACTGATGACGCTCTCAATCCTGTTTTGACAACAGAAAGAAGAATAATGGTGGGGTAGGTGAGTTGTTAGACATTAGGAATAAATCTACATGTCTGCCCCCGCTACTATATAATATAATATACACTGCACGGGCGTTGTACATTTACTTGCATTATTGCACAATAATCATATAAGAAGCCTTTGCAATCCTTGAAATTATTACCAGCCTTCTTCCCGGATATTCTTTTGAAAGGGGCGAGGTACGGAGTAGTCGTCCACCGTTCAGAAATGCGGGGGTATTGTTACCAAGGAAATATCTCATATGTCTTCCAAGGTTCAAATACCTTGGAAGTACCTAGAATTAGGACATATGTCTTAAACTCTACATGACTTTGGGTCTTGGGGAAAATATGATGGAAGTCCCCAGCCTTGTAAATTGGAAAGAGCTCAGGAGGCTGGGTGCACATAGTTGTTTTCCCGTCTATGCATAGGTGGCGCACATATCCCACTCATCACATCCGAACAGATAACGGTGAATGCTACTACATGTGGGGTGATACTTTCCACGAAGTGGGCCCCAAGCCACATAATCCTTCTAGGTCTTTTCCTGGGGTACGGAGTACACAGTGGTGATATTACATACTCAGTATACTCCGTATTGGACCTGTGTAATGGTCATAAATTACCGCCCGAAACCGGCTATATACCCTGTCATTTTTTTGATTGCGATGATATCAACATAGGGTCTTATCTAGTCTTATCCAATGAATGTGTCTAATCGTCTTCATCGTCCGAGCCACTACTCCATCCCGTCTCGTAGTACTCTCGAATCTCGCCAAGTCCATTTACCAAGGCCTCACGCTCATCGACTGAGACCAGGCGTGCGGCAGTTGCCGAAATAGCCTTGATCCTCTCAGCTGTCCTTGTCGACGCGGTCAATGCGGTAAACACATTTACTCCAGTACCTGTCTCCGGGGTGGGGAACATGTCGTGCGGGAAACTGTCAAGAATAGGCATACTGAGCGGCGTGTGGAAACTATAATGGTGCCATAGAATGTGAGCGTGCTGGCTGAGACAGTGAAAGTAAATGCGCGAAATGGGAAAACTACCTTTGCAGCATCGACTCCGAGTTGTATCTTCTAATTTTGCGAAGGTACCCAACGTCCCTGCCCTCGATGGACTCACTGTCCCTTTCCGGTTCGTCTCCACGGGTTACCTGAACTTGGTTAAAGATATGAGCGCCCTTGTTGTACTCGCCGTTATAGGCAAAGTCAATGTCAAATTCAATTTCGGCTTTAGTCGGCCCATCTTCATTGGTGGCTTCCTTGGTCTGACCGTCATTGACTTTGATTTTGTTGATGGAAGACTGTAATTCGAAGATGGTGTGCGTGCCATCTTCCCCAGCGAGAGAGGCCTCGAAATGCTGATATGGCCGCAATCGGGACGGCAGTGTGACCGTCTCAATAGCTGAGGCTAGCAGGGCAGTTTTCTGCCATTCTGATTGGCGATCGACATTGAGATAGCCGGGCAGCTTCTGCGGAATATCGATAATTGGAGAATAGAGCGAGGCCAGTGGGGAGATCGAGCAGAGTGACCTGGCCTTGTTCGTATCCTTCTTGAACTGGTGATGCTATATAAAGTTCGAAACTTAGCCAACCGAGCTCACGATTCTTCAAAATGCCACCACTGTGTCACTTACCCGCTGCGTCCTTGTGCCGTCTTCAATAGCCCACATCCAGATACTTTTCTTTCCGAATTCGTCTCTCAGTCTTTCCATATACTGCGCAGCAAACCCGCCCCAGGCATCATCTGACCCGGAGAACAGTTGCAGCGCCCGCAAGTGGTCACATTCTTCAAGGAGAGGTCTCAGGTCACGGTCCAGCAGGTCATGCTCCTTATCAAGGTCTTTGAATAACTCTTCTCCGACATTCCAATCCTCAAAGGGCATGGTCTGGGAGTTTAGGTCGTATTCATTTAGCTGAACAATAGACCTTGGATGATAGTACACTCTGTTGTAGTCTGACCAGTAGCGAACGGACTCTGAGGTCAGCCGAGGGGCTGGAGTGCCCAAATCCAAGCTTTTCTGATATTCACTTTGTTGAATTGGAGTTTGCTTTTGGACTATCTCTTGTCCATCCCTGCCAGGTGTTAGTTTGAAAGACGGATCTATCGATTTGAGCCGCATACCATAATCCTTGGCCTGCTGTGGAGTCTTCGCTCAGCTCGTAAAGTGCATTGTATCTGCGCAATGTTCCAAATCCGCCCTTCAAATCATAGATTACTGTGCGTGGAGTGTAAGTTTCAGAGCCATCTGCTCCAACACCCGGTCGGAAGTGAACATCATGATCAACATCAGACTGTTCTCCATCGTATGTAAAGTAAGATTCCTAGTTATATATCAGATCGAAGTTCACGTCTGACTGTAGATGACAGTACCTGCAGATTCCAAAAATGTGTTGCTAGATAGTTAGCCCGCTGGCCAAGCTGAAGTGTAACAATTTCATGCATATTGATGGATGAAAATGGTAACTTGCATTGTAGCCCCTCAGTTAATATTTGATATCGACAATGCCCGCCTAAAGACGCACAGACATAACCAAAAGATGACGCTAGGCCTGATGTGGGGGAGTACCGCACGTGAGTGTCTAACCACATGTGGGAAGGTGCAGCAAGTCACCAGGGCAACAGTCACATGATCATTCCAAAGAGGGCAATAAACATGTTTCTGTGGGTGCGTCACCACCCTAACTCCACAACGGTGATTTTCCCTCGTGAATCTCCTTAGTCCTGTGATGATTCTTTGAACCTGTGATCTTCATCGGCTGGATCCATTACTTGTCACGAAGCAGCTGCGATGGAGTCTCCGACACGTCCCATTCTGAGCCCCTCAAAAGCGCTGCATCCGGTTTCACCGGAACGCATGAATCAACAAACCATACCCGCCTCTCCCTCGCTACCTTCCGATCTCCTCACACTACACCACAAGAGCACCCGAGGTGTTTCGGAAGTCCAAGCTAAAGTGGCGTTTCTAAACGGCCTCTCTCGAGGAGGTAACCCTGCCAACTCTGCCGCAAATAATGCCGCCTTACAACGGGCTATCATGGGCCGCGAGGAAGCAGAGTCCGCCCTAGCCACCGCACAAGAGGATTTATCCGAAGCACAAACACGAGAACGCCGGATCAGTGAACGCCTCGAGTCATTGCTGGAAGAGCTACATGGAACGAAAGAACGCCAGGCCCACGAACGATCGATTTTCGAAAAGGAAATCCGGAAAGCCCGCAAAGAAGCTTTTCGGGCGGGATCAACCTTGGTCAAACTTCAAGAAGAATTGAAACACGCGAAATCAGAGGTCAGAGCGCTGAAAGACGACGTGGGAGCAGAACGTGAGGCGAAGGACAAGGCCAAACAGGAGGCATTCGAACGCGCCTATGCTCTTGCTGGTCTTACAGAGGAACTCGAAGTTTTGAAAGAGAAATTCCGTGCCCTCGAAACAGACAACCACTCGAGCACCCTCGAAGTCCGCGCCCATGAGATTCGGAAAGAAGACTTCGGAAGACTCTCAATAGCAGAGGGCGACCTCGCGTTTTTGACCACCCCACGCAGACCGAAACGAGCCGCTGCGGGATCTGTTCGATCCCCAGCTCCGGTACGCGAAGAAGATCACGCCGAAGCCACTCCTCCCAAACGCCCACGTTTGTCGGACTGTGCCCCAAAGACGGAGAATGAACAACCCGAATCCGAAATGGCTGCTGAAGTGGACGAGGATTTGTTGGAAGAGATTAAAGAAGAGCTAGTATTTGAGCGTCGTCGCAGAGTCGCAGCCGAAGATATGGTGCATTTCCTGAACATCGAGTGCCAGTTTGAACGCTGCTCTTGCAGGCTTGCTGAGAGCCAAGGTCGTCGCTACATTTATGACGCTGATTACTATAACAAATTCCAAAAGCCTCAGATTGAGGCGGAAGAGAAAGCTCGTGCTCAGCAAGCCAGTATTAAGCAAGCCAGTATTCAACAAGCCCATCCTCACCGAGCCAGCACCCCCGAGGCCAGCCCTCCCCCTCCTCCCCCTCCCGTCCATCGCTCTCCTGTTCACCAGGCCACCACTCCCCTGGTGAGATCTCCTCAGCATAGCGTCCACCAGGAAGAACCCGAGCCAAGTCGTACACCGCTGGCTGCACCGCCTGTTCCTGTCCACCAGCACACCGCGCCTACTGTGAAGGCCGAACCTACGGATCTCCCCAAGATGCAGATGCCAGCCGAGCCCCTGGTTATATTTTCTCCAGAGACCGGGACATTCACGAAATTCCCATCTCCTCTCCGAGATAATATCAGGCCTCTGCGGTTGGATTTCTTCGACACACCTGATCTCGCCGAGCCCCAACCGGATGTCCACAAAGGCCATGCTGATGCCTCTGTACCACCCGACCAACAGGTCGACTCGTTCACCCCCTCTGGGGAGCCGGCTCGGGCTAGAATGCCTCGTCCCATCCCATCAGATGGTGTCGCCGAACACTCGCGTGCACCACTGTCCGTGGAGGCAAGACCATCGAGACGCGTCGAGAGAGATCCCCATGGATATCGCCAGCCCATCAACCCCCCAAAGAGAGCTCCGTCCCGACAAGAGCCACAGTCACAGCGCACTTCGCACCCTGGCGTTCCCGATACACCTATCGACCGCGAACAAGCACTCGCACAAATCAGGGCGCGACGGGGCCGTACCCATAGCAAGCAGCGATCAGTCAGTGCCAGCGAGCCTGGCCGCGCAGCCCGCGCCTCGGCGGGATCCAACCCGACCCCCGCTCGGGGACCTCGACGTCTTCCCAACCCCAATCTTCGGGCTGATTCGAGGACTGAGAAAGAACTTGGTGAACGCCGAGATATGAGTGCTCCTGTTCGGATGTTCCGACGTTAATGAATGCGCTGGGATGTATATCTCATGATGCATATTTATGTCTTTCTTTTGCATGGTCTGCCGGTGCTTGTCGTTTCCTCTAATACCCCCCGGCGCTGCATCAATTTGTCTTTATTTCATTTGCATGGCGATTGGAAGCAATATGTTTTGTTTGTTTTGTGTTTGGATCTTTTAGCTCCGATGTCATGAGCCTCAGTATACTACGGATTTAATTCCCCAACTGTCTGTCCTTCCTTTGATTCCACTTTCGGCTTTACTGTCTGTCATTCTTTTCACATTTCCTATGTCTGTCTCATTTTTCTTCTTCTGTACATAGATTTTGATTGATGAGAGAGAATTCCACTCTTTAAATTTCTTTCGAATGTCTTTTTCCACAAGATATTTTGCCCACCTTCGCAGTTTCATACATGAACGACAAGAAAAGGTTGGAATGGCCTAGTCAATTTGTGAAATCGACTTTTCTATGTATAACCAGGGATAGTATACTAAGGCTTATCACATCAAAGCTAAAAGATCCAAACACAGAATAAACGAAACAATTGCTTCTGATCGCTAGACAGCTAGAATATAGACAACTTGATGTACTCCATAGCGCCGGGGGGTATTAGAGCAAACAAAAAGCACCGGCAGACCACGCAGAAGAAAAGACATAATATCGCTCATTGTGACAGATGGTCCAAGGCGTTCAGTCTTGGGTTCTGATTTTCCGTTCCTTGTGGTCTTTGTCGTCGTTTTGAACCGTATCGCAACATGAACTTAAAACCGATAGTCCACTCGCGGAAAGCAAACTGCTGATGTCTGTGCTTCCGTCTTTTGCCAGTAGGGGGTCAGCATTATCATAATCTTGTAGCAGCTTTTGGATAATTTTGGCACGGCCGCTAGCATTCAGAATGTTCCCGATGGCCGCATGTACCGCTAGAAACTCTGGGTTTGGATCTCTGAAGCGGGCGTCATGGTTTGTAAGGGTGATTAATGTTTCCATTGGGTATTTTAGAAGGTAGGAATGATTTGGGAATTTCTTCAATCGATACCGGTTTGGTACTGTGGTTGCCTGAAGAATGAAACGAAATTTGCGGAATTCTTCATGAAACACAGAAGCCATCATCAGTATATTGTCTTCGCGATTAACATCCCCAAACATTAGGTCAAGATGGGAGCGTAAGCTTGGAAAGAATTGAAAAATGTTGGCCCATACTTCAGGCATTCTATGGTTGTCGTTTCGAAAACTCCCGAGGGAGAATGGAAGAATGTCAACTGCCTGCAACGAGTGCACAACTCGTCCAGGGGGGTATGGAGTAGTTCCAATATCCTAGCATTTTGTCAACACACATTGATAACCATCACGAGCTAAGCAATTCTCACGGAGTCGCTGTTGGTCAATGTGTCACCGCAAAATGTCACACTCATCAGACAATCAGAGGGAGATATAGTTGTTGGATTGCAGTTTTTGGTTCAAGCAAATCTTTTGAACACTGGAAAGACCGACGATGAGTTTAGGTAAGACATTTGTTTGTTGGTTACTGCTGTAGCCAAAACCTTTACTAATTTTCCTAGGTTCGCCGATCGAGTCCTCACCAATACGGGGAGAGGAAGTGATTTCCGGTGTTTTCCCACCGATGGACAACATAGGGCGCAGAAGACCTGTGTCTAGGCTCTCAGCATGTTGTCTAATTTCATTGTCATCTTGATATCCAGATAAGTCTTCTGTGAGAATACGCTGCCCATCTGAGGGCAGGTACTCGAAGACAATCTGGAGAAATGAGCGTGTGTCGTCTGCTGAATGTAAAGGCTGGTAGCTCTCTAAAATATTATTCAGAGATACTTGGCGTTCGATGAAGGTGGATAGGTCCGACATTGTAATACGAGGCAAACAAGCATCAAGAGAAGGCTTGCTGAACTTGGGTAAGGGGTTTGTGGGTCTTTGCTCGACGAGTCAATAGGGAGACAACAGCGAAAGGAAGTTGTACTATGGAGTATGTAGTATGTAGGTACCTTGTTGTAGGCTTGAGATGGTTGGAGGAGAGATGGACGAAAGAGGGGCCCAGCTGTCATATTCATGTGACATCTACGGAGTACAGAGTACAGCAAAAAGAATTAATTTCCCAACTAGGTACGGACGTACTCCGTGCATGTCCTCATGTCCTTCCTTTGATGCAATTCGGCTTTAGTTACATTTCCGCTGTTAAAAGAGTGAATCATATCTTACCATACAGTCCAGCCAGATCTAGAATCAAACGATCCATACGAAAATATGTGTATTGACATACAATATATAGTTAATATATGCCTAACAAGAAAGAAAATCCACCCACGAGGATTTTCACAAGAGAGATCTCAAAGATAGAACAGAGAACCAGCCCCTACAAAACCGAGATCCCACAACATCTAATCCTCGCACTATCAACCTTCGCACCACGACCCCACCACAAAGAAACCAACTCCTCAACAAACACCCGGTCCGTCGCACTCCAAACATCGAGCCCCATCTCCGCCATATCTGCCACCGTAATCGTGACAGTTTCATGCGTACTGCCGTCTCGGTGACCAGCTCTCGACTCATGACTCGCAGACCCGCTCACACTCGACCGCTGTCGGAGCAAAGGTGAACTCCCCTCGTCGCCGTGGATAGACTGGCGAGACATGGAGAGCGAGGCATCGGCATCATCATCGTCATCGATGTACGGCGCATCATTATACGCATCGTCGTCGAGGTCGCTATCATAGCGCGCGATGGCGCCAGCCAACGTCACGAAGATCTGCGACGTCAGACGACGGAAGTATGCGACCAACGCGACTTCGAGCGGCTGCTGGTCTTCGGTGAGGGGGTTGCGGGGTGGGTCGGGCTGGGAGGTTGAGTTGTAGGGGGAGCGGGAGAGACTCTCGACGCTTGCCAGAAGGCGGGAGTCTTGTTCTATCTGCTGTTCTTCTTCTTCCTCTGATAGGCCATCGCGGTTCTCACCAGCGGATGCCCACCATATGAAGGAGGTGTAGGCCAACCGGGTCCAGGAAATAGGCTCGACGACGGCGCTGGAGGAGTAGGTTGAGTCCGAGTCTGAGGGCCCTTGTTCTGGGGATGTGGGGCGGTCGTTCGAGAATTGGCGGAGTCCGCGGCGGAGCATCGAGTAGCGGCGAGCGTCACGCTGGGTTGCTTTGAGCTCGATTTGTTGGGTTTGGTTGGGTTTGCCGCCTGTTTTATGGACTAGAGAGATTTTGGGGAAGGCTCGCTCCGCGGTTTGTTGTGAGTATGGTGGGGGAAGAGTGACGAGGACGTCGAAGAGATCGGGTTTCATGGTTAAAACGGTGTCGGTGGAGCAGGCGATCCAGCTTGGATCTGTTTCGAGATCTATGATGCTGCGCGAGGGATCGAAGGAGGAGAGGTAGGGGATATCATGGATGCCGACGTTGAAGAGGGGACGGGGGCGTAGTGGTGGTATACGATCGTTGGGGAGTAGCTGCAGGAGGGAGTTTGGCAATGATGCTAAGAGAGATAGGTCATATACTGAATCTGAATTAGCAGTAGATCAAATACAATGCGCATAGAGGCGTACCGTAGTTGCAGGATGTGTGCACAGGAGCTTCCCCCATGAAGAGAATCCGTTTGCGCAGCAAAGCTGCTCTGTGGAGGGGGAAGATCAAAGGTCCGAAGCACTCCGTGAAGCTCGGAAGCGATGAAGCAGGGTGGAAGGGTGTCAGGGCCGGCCTGAATGTTTCCAATACCATTGCATCGCTGAAGGCGCGGTTGTGGCTGGAGTGATCTAGTCGCTCACCGGGTCGGAATCGAAGACTAAGAGGTGAATCGAGGGGGGAGTCAGGCGTTGAGGGATCGGTCCCTCCTATCCTATATGTGTCCCAATAATCGCACAGATGCTGCATATCCGACATGTTCTCGGCGTATTTTCTATCGAGCACCAGTGTCAGTCGGGATCTGGTCCATTGCGGGTGCCTGGAGATACGAACAGCGTCAGTTCCTTGAGTCTTGGAGCGTGGCGCCAGCTCTTCCCAAGTCGTCCGGTGCTCAGGGGCACCAGAACACCGATCGCAAACATATTCGCATTGCGTTCGGCCTCGGTGGCGGGATGGTTGAGGAACGCGCTGATACCAGCATACTGTTCATGGACGAAGTACCTAGAGGAGCGCGTCAGCAAATCTCAGATCCAAAGCTTTTGCAGACGTTGAAAAACATACACCAGGTCTTCAGTCACATTGTGCAACCCCGAGGGCAGTGATTTGTATTCTACAACCCCTTCGACCTCAACTATTCAATCCGGAGTCAGTATCGCGCGTCGGAGTGATTGTAGCCTCGACTGGATAATTGATTGCTCACCCCCCGGCACAGTTCGCTTCCATGAGACGACATATCTATTGTCGCAGAATATCAGTGATAGGTTCCTGACCTTGAGAGCTGCGATGCCCAGGGGAAGGTGTAATACGTACCCGGCTCTGATGTCGAAGCTGATGACGAACAAGGCGGCAATGGCTGGCGGTGACTCCATAGTGGAACGTGAGACATCAATGCCCAAAGGCCTAGGAGATTCAGATACCATTATTAAGGAGAATCATGGGGTGCGACGCCATTCGAGCAGTGTCGGGGAATCACGGTAAGTTGAGGGGTGCGCCTCGTAAGGGGACCTTGGCTATGCGGAGTTAGTGCCTGAGGCAGCATCCCGGGATCTATACCGACATCGGGCAAACTGTCCATTCACCGTTTCTCATCGCATGCTCTCTCGGTACAGAATATACCTCGATGGCTTCAGTGCCACTCTGGGAATACTCTTTAATGTAATTGTGGAATCCTCACTCCGTTTGTTCTCCCTCAAACATCCCTCACTCAGCTTCGATCGCCCCCTGATTGACGATCCCTAGAGGACCAACGCCATCATCCATCCTCCAGCTCTTCTGACAGATAGATTCCTCGCGCATAGTTGTAGCCTGGTGAGATACAGATGTTACCTGAGCATCACCAGTGTTTGAGGGAAGTCCTCCTGGAATTCGTTGTAGACTAACCAACCGGAATTGATGCTCGCGTGATAATGCTTAGGCTTCGCATTATCCATTCATCTAGCCAGAAGTCATAGACCTCTCCTTGGGATAGAATTCTCACCATCTCCTCATGTAGCACCTCAAGCTCTCATTCTGGTAGTCGAATGGCAGCATGTGTCGGGGTGCTTGAGGATAGGAAGGAAGTGACAAGCACTCATTGTCATCAAGTGAGCTTATTTGATGATGATCATTGATTTTATTGTCAGCTTTAACATTTTCCATAAGATAGAAGATCTATCTATAGATTGGTTGCCAATATTCTCGAAAACAGGACTTGAAAGTGAACATTAGAAGGAAAAACCTTCCAAGATCTTCAGTAAATTATACTTGAGGTTGCATAGATCTAGTAGCTTCGTTGTGTTTTCTAGGCTTCGTTGAATGGTCATAAATGACTGCCAAGGTTCTTCTGGTGCTTGATAAAAAAAACAGTAGCAGCCCCGATATCAAAGAGGGCAATTTTATGTTTTAGGAGAAAAATGTGTTGCTTTCATGGATTATAAGGGTTGTCCAAAGGACCCATTGATTATATCAAACAATTCAATAAATGTGTATATCTACCATACAGATGGCCTTCCTATCCTTCATACTTAATTAGGCGTTCTCCTCACGAAGACGTGCCAATTTCTCTTGGTCAAAGATACCAGGACCTGTGAGCTCGTTCTCCAGCGTTGAGATAGAAGGCACGAAGAAATATTCTCCTCCTCTTTGAACAACCCAGCTGTCCAATGGCATGCGTGCCTCGGTTGGATATTTGCCATCAGGGAGACCGATAGACCGAGGGGGGTGGTGGTCTAGTCTCTGGCCCACAAACGCATCAATACCCGGACCCTCACCACCAACAAAGTTGCTCTTGCGGTCGGGGAAGTGGTGGTTGCTTGCCCAGCCTAGAAAAATCAAATTAGCTAGGGGCCCTTCGTCACGCATTATGCATGAGTTAAAGTTTTGAGCTGCTTACGGGTAGTCAGGAAGTTGAATCCGTTTCGGATGTCACTCTGGTAACAGACAAACAGAAGCCCACGTTCCTTTTCCTCAGATGACTTTCGATCAGTCATCTCTTCAGCCGAGACTTCGTCGCCATATGGAATGCCACGACGGATAATAACAGCATGATCGTGCTCTAGGTCAGCTCGTGGTCTCATTTTGCGGGTGTGTGCTGCGAAGGGGCACTTTTTGTGCTCCTCGATGGGGTGGTAGTCAAAGTTGTTTGATGAAAAGAGGCTTTCGTCCGAGTCATCATGAGGAGACTCGTCCACGGGGGTTCCTTAATATTGTTTGAATCAGCAAATTGCCGTAGTAGGCTTTGAGATGCCACTAACCGTTCTTCCATCTTCCCATCAAGTATGCAGCAAGCTTCTCGGCTGGCTTGGGGTGGTCTTGAGTGAAAGGTGCATGCTTCGCATTTTCCTCCATGAACCTATATACTTGTTCAATACCAAACAGGATAAATTGAAGCAGCCAGATGTCACTCACTCGTCAAATTCAGGAACAAGTTGCTGAAGGTCGCGGAAAACAAGGAAACTGCCATCTTTGGCCCATGCTGGTTGGCCCATTGGGTCCCCCTCATGCCCGCAAACAATTAATCTGCATTTGATCAGTCTGAGAATCGTTTATTCAATGACGATGAGCACATTTACCCTGACTTGGTGGCTTTGGGTTCCTTTCCTACGGGTTGTCTTTCATCCCAGCCCTCAATTATAGGCTGACTGATTCCATCCTTGAATCCGAAGCTGAACATAAATGTAAGTTTGGCCCAAAATGGCTGCCAGGGGTTTGATAAGTACTTACTGCTCTTTTCCTTTCATAGCGCCTGGGCGAACCTTTCCTTCTCTGACCAGGGTCAACTCTATAGAAGGGTTCTGGCTGAGGACATAGGTGTCTGGGTTGAGAGGTACTCCCTCCTCGGCTAGGAAATGTTGCTTCACCTCACTGATCTTGGAATCCAGATCACGCTTCAGGCTTGCGGTGACCATAATCACACCATCAATGAGTCTCTCGTTATCACTGGTGGGCTGGTATTCCTTTCGAAGCTCCTGGGGATTGTCCCATCCCTCGCCCACAAGATCCGCGTACATGCCCTTTTCGAACAGTCCACCACGAAGTTGTTGCTTTCGGAAGACAGTAGATAGCTGTCTGTCCTTTTTAACAAGAGTCTGATCATTGGCATTCACAAATGCTCCAAGCTATGAGCGGCGGGTTATCAGTATTTGTTCAATGCCAGTGCAAACAGTTGGGATGACAACTCACTGCTTCAAGACCGGTGGAGGTAAAGGCAATGTTAATTCCCGGTAAACCTTGAAGCTTGGCTGATCGCTTTGCTAGTTCGGCCTCCTTCTTTGCCTTTTTAATGGCCTCTCCCATCTCACAGGCATCTTGGCCCGTGGTGATCTTGGGGATAAATGTCTTTAGTCGGTTCTTGAAATCAACTTGGTTGCGAACGCGGAAAAAGAGGAACGATTGAAATCGTTTGGGGAGACCGGGCCTAATGGAAATAAGTATGTTTGAAAGATCATTCAGATATATGATTGTTCGGTAGCACGGGAAACTTACCAAACATCTCCCTGAATATTTGACTTGATTGCTGAAGTAAGACTCATGATGGAAAGTTGAACTCTCCAAGAGTGTACGATCCAATGTCAATGAAGGCTACTGTCGAAAACACATAGCTCGACCTGAGGGGATGGGATAATTATATGAAAAAGAAGGGTGGCACGCCATGACCTGACCCAGCAACAATTTTATTTTCTGACAAAAAAAAAAACAAAAACACGAAGGAAGGAGGGGGGCAGGGCAGGTCTGCGATTGAACCGCACATGGCGTCCAGCTACTGGATCAGATCGCCCATTGGATATGGGCCTATTCGACACCGACATTAGAACTGACTGGAGTCTAATGATAATGATCGATCACTGCCGCATTCAGATGTACGGATATCTCTGGAGCGAGAGGGGAAGGCCGTACTGTACTCCATGTTACGCCTTGACTACCATTGACTTGAGTTTGCGAACTCTTTGCCCCACAGGCCATTAATCGAATGAATCCCTAATTCAGAGATGATCATAGGGTCGCGTTACTTCCGATGCCACAGATCAACATAGCCCACTTTCCAGTCCCATTTGACGGGTGGGTCACCTTTAGGCAAATGAGATAGCACATTTTATAATATCTCGAACATCGCGGTTTCGGCAGGCTAGTATGTAACACACTAATTGTAGGAGTGGAGATCTCGGAAGATCCATATTTGGTAATGTAAGGTGTACATCGATGTACATCGCACAGATCTCTACATATGTAGGCTTCAGCTACGATCTACCTACCTGCATTTGAATGACGGGGCCATTGATGTTAGCTCAACATTCTAGTCTATGAGGGGAGATGTAGCAATTAACAGTGATCAATTATTCGGTTATTGTTGTAACATCGTATGTAGGGCGTACTGACCGAACAGTCTGAAATAATCGCAGGAAAATCATGAGGAAGGATGTGGGGCGGACAGCTTTCAGCTTTCCACTTTCCATTTGACAAATTATGGGTCCTTATTGGGCGGAGTTCTCCGTATGTACGGAGTACATAGCTCATTTCTGTGCCGGCCCACATATATAGCTCACATATAGGTTATAATAAGCGCTAATAATGGCTAGAGATATAGACTCAGCTGAACTGCACTTCCACATACGTGATGTTACGATTGAGATAGCTAGATTCCCTCAAGATTAGCATTATGAATCCATGGATGTCTCAGCGGAAGCGGGCCGGGTTCCACTCAATTGCCGCTAGCACGAACTATCTATCCGAGGGCATGGGCCATCACATAATGTGGTTCCTCTCTCACCCATGATCGACATGTAGTAATTCTCCAACACCAAATCGCCAATCGTTAATTGGTCAATCTTCGATGGTTGAGCCATGGTGACAAGTTCTGGGCCTTACAATCTTGGAAGCCCCACCTGTGAAATGCAAGCTAATAATAACCTCACACAGCTGAACTGCATATCCAGTTTGGAGTGGGCTTGCATGCCGTGTTTTCGATAGAAGATGCCGATCTTTGACCTGGGGCCGAGCATCGCCGATCGGGTCCAACTTTGGGAAGGGAGGGAGTTTTCTTCACCGATCTAAAAAGGAGTGACCAGTCACGACTTATTACACAAGGTGGGCCCAGACAATCACTGACGTCTATCTCTCAAGCCGATCTTTAGCAATGCCGAGATAGGCCTCGACTGGTGGAAAGAACCTCCACCTTCCACCAAAGACAACGGCTAAAATGTCATAGTTTGCGTAATATTGGCATAGGTTATTGCCGGTTACTCCGTGCTGAAAATCACTTAGATCCTGAATGACAGTAGCGCTCCGTCTGAGGTGGAGTATGCCGAGTACTGCACTTATATGTATGTTCCCTCCGTCACGTCAAAATTTCTTTTCCCACGGGTAAAGTGAGCTTTCTTTTTTCTACTTCTTCACATTCTCTTCGCTCTCCGACAAATTTCGCCCATAATGAGACTTCAATGGGCCGGGCTCCTCCTCGGGGCTTCCATTGGGGGAGTCAATGGTATGGCCGAATACATGCACGAAGCTATGAGAGGAGAGCGTGTTTCTGGCTATGGCAAATCTGACAACCCCTCCTTCGTACCGGAATTCAAAGATGAATCTCGTCCGTATCAAGGCCATCGAATCCCCCGTCAAGACTGGACCTTGACATGCAGCAGCTCCGCTCGTGGCTTCCCTTGCAAAAATGCCATCGACGGCAAGAGCGCTACTGCCTGGCGCAGTGACCCTTCCGACAAGGGACACACTTTCATTGTTGATCTTGGAGCTTGGTACCAAGTGGGTGCCGTCGTTGTCCTTCCTCCAACTGATACAGATACGGAAGGCCTCATTACCCAACACAAGATCTGGGCCAGCGAAGATCATGAAACCTGGAAGGGGCCTGTCGCATATGGAATGTGGCCAGAGTCAAACAGACAGAGAATGTCTGCGTTCGAGCCATCATCTACCCGATACTTGAGAATCACAACCGAAGCCGATGAGAAAAATCCCTGGATCGGTATCGCCGAACTGAACATTTATGGAACGTTGTACACCATTCCTCGTGACCCTGCTCTCGGTGTCTGGGGGCCAACTCTTGACTTCCCTATTGTGCCTGTCTCTGGTGCTCAGGAGGGATCTGGCATGCTTGCCCTTTGGTCCTCGTGGGCTGATGATCAATTCCACTCGACGCCTGGAGGCAAGACAGTTATGACCCGATGGAACCCATTGACTGGCGAGGTCTCTAAGCGCACTGTCAGCAACACCCACCATGACATGTTCTGCCCCGGCATTTCTTATGACGGCACTGGCATGATGGTTGTGACCGGTGGAAATGACGCCTCGGAGACTAGTCTCTACGATTCTGTCAATGACGAGTGGGTCCGCGCAACCGAAATGAAGCTCCGTCGTGGATACCAGGCGTCTACAACTCTCTCCGATGGACGTGTGTTCGTCATTGGAGGTTCATGGGCTGGAGCTTCAAACGTTGACAAGGATGCCGAAGTCTACGACCCTGCTACCCGAAACTGGACCATGCTTCCTGAAGCAAAGGTCAGCAATATGTTGACTGAGGATATGGAAGGTCCTTGGCGAGCGGACAACCATGGCTGGCTCTTCGGCTGGAAGGATCTGAGTATCTTCCAAGCCGGGCCTAGCAAGCAGATGAACTGGTACTCTGCTCATGGCAATGGAAGTGTTGTAGCGGCGGGACGTCGTATGGATGACGAGGATTCCATGTCCGGTAATGCAATCATGTTTGATGCCGTGAAGGGAAAGATCCTCACGCTCGGTGGCTCCCCTGACTATGATAAATCGTGGTCCACCAACGCCGCCCATATTATCACGATCGGTGAACCGGGTCAGAAGCCTAAGGTTCAACCAGCCGGAGGAGGCACTATGCACCATGAGCGTGTGTTTCACACTACGGTCGTTCTCCCCGATGGAAAAGTCGCCATCTTCGGCGGCCAGCAGTTTGGAATTGCCTTTAACGAGGAAAATGTCCAATTTGTTCCTGAAATCTATGACCCTGAAACCGATACTTTCACAAAGTTGCAGCAGAACAATGTTGTGCGAGTTTACCATACCGTGTCAATCCTCCTCCCAGACGCTCGGGTATTGAATGCAGGCGGTGGCCTCTGTGGAAATTGCACAGCCAACCACTATGATGGCCAGATCTTTACCCCTCCCTACCTCCTTACTCCTTCAGGCCAGCCCCGCCCCCGTCCTGAGATCATCTCAGGCCTGCAAGACCATGCCGTGGTGGGTAGCACCCTGAGATTCAGAACCTCCGGCCCTATCTCGACAGCTTCCCTGATCCGTCTGGGCACTGCCACCCACACTGTCAACACTGATCAACGCCGCATTCCACTTGATGTTACTGCTACAACATTCTTCGGGAATACATGGAAGACTACCCTGCCAAAGGATTCGGGTATTCTGATTCCTGGATACTGGATGCTGTTTGTTATGGACCGGGATGGTGTGCCTAGTATCGCCAAGATCATGATGATTGGCTTAGACAACAGACAGACTATCCAGCCTGCAGAGGAGCAGTCAAGCGCGATAGATGAACAAAAATGTGAGCATTAATCACCCCAAACCTTTCAGCAACCTTGGAAACTAACCTTAACTGTACAGACATTGGTTCGTTTATGAGAATTGAGCTGCTGAAAAGAAAGTGGTTTTGAGCAAAGACAGCATGTTCGAAGAGTTAGAAAGCTGATATAGTGTCACGTTGGGCTTTTACAGCAAATAACATTCTCCCATGGCCATAAAGAGAAGAATCTGAAAAGTTACCTCAAAAGTCCACTCAAGCTTGAAACATGGGTTTGCCGTAGTTCTAAGCGGAGATCACCACATAAGTAGTCTACCTGGAAATTTTTGTCGGGTGGCCTTAGGCTACTGATAGAAATTGTCCCACTATCTATTGATTTACTCTGGGCTGATAAATCAAAAAGTCACCGGTCTCCTTAGGCAGTCAAACAGTGAAGTAGTTGATGCAGTCTGGTCATTGACAATACTTAGGAATGATCCATGAATATTACACGAATGCCCAGGGGGTGTGTAAATAGCGTTTTTTCAAATTAAATCAACCATAGAAACATGAACCGATGCTCCCAAACCGTGCGATTCGTCTACCAACCGACGAAGTGATGCGCTTCCTGCAGTTACCCACGCTCTGTATGGAATTCGCAACATCGATGGGCTTTCAAGAGGAGAACTTTTATGGTACGATGTTGGCAAAAGTTGTAATAATATACAGCAACACTTGACGATATCAAATGTGGTGCCTGGTCTTAACAGGTATAGAAGGCATGTTCTCACTAGTCACCCCATAACTAGGCCTTCGATCCTCATAAGATATCCTCACCTCATTTACCTGATAGATACCAGTTGAATGAGGAAGTGGATGTTGCAGAATATGTCTTGTGTCTGTATCGTCTCCTTGCTCTTCATTCCTCCCACTGCCGCCAGACATGTTGTCAAAATCTTTGCCATGCACGGTAGTCGTTGTCACTGTATCCATGGCAAAGGTCGGCTTTGCGCTTCGTCCGCCGCTGCGTCCACCGCTGCGTCCACCACTGCTTTTTCCATATGGGGGGAGATCATTGTAGTTTGAGGCGTCATTGGATGATAGGTTGCCGCGGATGGAGCGGTAGAGAGGTCGAAGGGCGGGAATGCTGACACAAACGATGGTGGTGGTAAGCTCAGACATGGTCCACATCACCGAGTCGGTTGTTGCGTCTATTCTGCAATTAGCTTGTTTCCTCGGCAAGCATATAATGGACTAAAAAACGCACAGAGATAGTCGGTTGATTGAGTCAAAGCATCGAGACCTGTTGTTCGGATTACACCGCAAATTCCGGCACTGTGATACTTCGTCAGTATGATAGAAGGGAAAGAATGTCTCTCAGCAATTGAAGAGCCAACAATCAGGTACTAACAAGATACCTAAACTCAAGGAGAGGCAAATGGTGTATTTCTCCTTTTTCTTCATGTTCAAATTCCACAGGGCCACCCATGGGAAGAGAGCGAGAACAAAGTCAAGGACGGCAGACCATGCTAAATATATGTTAAAACCAACTGGAGGGAAATGTTGTACTTGGAAGGAGAAAAGTAAAGCATACCGCACATAATTGTGGCCATGATCGTGAGATTCAAAGAACAGCCATTACTTGGTACTCGTGAGTCCCAGATCGACTGAACTGGTGTGCATTGTGCAAAAACAGTGATAGCCAGGAGAATGCTGAGAGCCATTATGCTGATATTCCAAAACCAGAGGAAGAGTTTGTGCCTACCACTCACTAGTCAGTCAAGCTTCTTAGTTTAAGTTCGTTGGATAAGAAAGGATACCATTTTTTGACAACAATCCGCATGAGGAAAGCAGCGACAGCGCACTTGCTCAAACCCATAGAAATTGCTATAACACTTTGCCCAACCAAGAGCAGTAACATTCCCTGGGTTGTGTCCTCGACTCCAAGTTCACCTGCATGTACACCCATGCCATGATGCGCGGATGCTGTACAGAGGGCGGCAAAGGCAACCATCAAAACCTACAACCCAACATAAAGAGTTAGCACAGTAGTCAAGATGTATGGATGTTTCAGAAAAGCACATACCCAAGTGACGATAAGCAGTAAGTCATCCCAACCAGTACTGCGGCGGATCACAGTCCGTGTGTAAATTCGCAGTGCAAGCACAATCATACACAAGATTGTTTCAAACCAAAGTACTCCAACTAAAGTTGGACCCTTACCACGAAGAGTCATGTTGGATGTGGAGTCAGGATTAAGGTGACAGACACAATGTCATTCAACATTGATTCCTATTGTCACTTAATATAATCAAGCACCAGAAGAAAGCACAGTAATAGGACCAAAATAATAGGGGCCGGGCTAAGAATCTTGAATTATGATCTATTCTGACAGCGATGATCACACTACACTTACAGCTAGGCCTAACGTCCGAACACATCCTTGGGAACTTTAGGGCATGAAAAGAAAAAGAACAAAATTAAAAAGATTTTGCCGATAGAAGGTAACACAGTAATTGCTTCTAGCGACTAAGTAGGATCTAATAGCTAGTCAACCATAGTGGTGGGGATAAATGGGTCGATTTTATGCTACATCGCACAGGGTTGGAAATATAATGCTTTCGGCTCTAACGTTCTCTATTTTTTTTTTCAAGTTCTTGTACTCTCATGAATTTTGAAGTCTTTCGTTTTTTTTTGTAGATATTTTGGTCACAAAATTTCATCCTTGTCACATCATGTATTGCTACGATGTAATGGAAATTTGAAGTTATGTTAAATACTAAGGAAGCCTGCTCCTATCCGTATTAGTGAAAGGAGCGAAAATCAAACGATAAATCACACAGTACCTTTGTAAACGAGAGTATGGAGTATGTTTACATATATCTTAGCATGTGACTAGAGTTTTTAGCCCTACGATTGGTTCGCTTTCAGCGGGAAAAGAGCATTGTGCTTTCGCCTAGCCTTGTGCTGGTCTGGGGCCATTCATGGGGCGACATTTCCGGCCTTTTAGGTACACGTATAAGCCAGTCCTACATCAAGGCAGTGGATCAGACTATCCCATCCACATGTGTGTTTATCGGAAAGAGTCCGAGTCATTGACAACAGCTGGAAGTTTAACTCTACTTGGCACTCGTTGATCTGGTATGAAAAGGAAAGCTTCGGTGGGAAAGTTATATCAATACGAAGAGAGAGGCATGTCAAATGCGAGATAAAAAAAAGTGGAGAGTTAGTTAACGAATTAGATACCAAGCTAGTCTTCTCCGTACTTTGTCCCAGTCTGGCCCTGACCTGATCGACAGCGCCAGCCGCCTCGGGCAAGCCGCGAGCCGTCCCAAACGTGCGGGCGGGATGGGCTCCACTACTTACTTCGTAGGTACTCCGTATACTCCGTACGTTTCCAAATATTTCGTAATGAGGCAAAAGTACGTCTTAGGGAAATGATTTGTGTGAATCAGAAAATTGTGTGACAAATGACTACTGACTCAGTCAGTATATCGTAGATGTTGGTAGAAATTATATAGCTACATCAGCGACAGAAACCTTCAACTAAATATAATTCACATAATACCCTTCTGAATTAATGCACTAGTGCTGGAATACGTGCACTTTTGGTTCAGACTGTGCCTTGCGAACTGGTATCCTCAACACCAAGCGCATCCAGAAGCTCCACCTCGACCTTGTCGCCGAACTTGCCATTGATTTCCTCAAGACTCGACCCCATGGTCTGTGAAAGGAAAGGACTTGTCAGTTGAGAGTATAACGGTGTATGGAAAGAAATCAAAACATACCTCGGGGAAATAGAACATGATGACAATAGTACTTGCAACAGTGACAGCAACAAAAACCATATAGAACTTCCATCCAATATTGGCGAGAGCGAGTGTAACAGGCGCGCTGTATGCAACCGCATTTCCAAAGAAACTGACCAATGCAATCGTTGCTCCCTCGCTGCGCAGGTGCGTCGGCCAAATTTCCGAACCATAAACGTATGCGGTACATTCAATCGTGGAGGTGAAGAAGGCACCGAAGATGAAATATATGGCCACGGCGCCGTTGATGCCGGGTGTATAGGTTGTTTTGAGGTAGAACTTTTCGAGAGCGGCCATGACACTGATGATAGCAGCGGAGCCAAACCCGCCGATAACTGTGAATTTCATGGTTAGCATAAAATAAGGCAGGCCAGAGGCAAAAGAATCTCAAACTCACCCAACAGTTTGACTCGTCCAACTCTGTCCAGGAGAAAAACATTAATTCCACAACCAATTACCGCACACACGGTCCACACAACGCCAAGCCCAAGTTGCATTGTGGTACCAAAGCCCAGCGCGCCCATCAGCGTGGGAATCAAATTGGCGATGGCAGTGATACCCGTTCCCTGTCCCATAGTCCACAGCAAGATGGAGCAAAGAGCGCGCTTGCGATGAGACGCCGTGCGCATAATATAGAGATAGCCGCTGGGGGTATTCTTCTCTGCGTCGACCTGAGCCTTGATTTGTACTGCCTCAGCATGGGCAAAAGCAGCTCTAGGATCTCGTTTGGTACGATGCAGATACTGCAAGACCTGTTTAGCCTCGTCATCGCGTCCCTGTTGCATGAGCCATCGAGGTGACTCGGGTATGAAGTAAAGTGTCACCAAGTAGATAACACCCACAGCGGTCAGAACAATGAAGATAAACCGCCACTGCATTTGAGTGGTGACAAAACTGAAGGCCAGCGCACAAACAGCAGCCAGGGTATATGCTACCACCGTTCCGACGCCGTGCAGACCGACTAGCATTCCACGTGTATGCGGAGGCGAAATTTCACTCATATACACGGGGGTATTCGAGAATACCATACCCGCTCCGATGCCGCAAATGACACGCGCAACGATGAACATGGTAGCATCGACGGCACCAGCCTGCAAAGCACCTGAGATAATGACGATGAGGGCGGCAACCGCGTTGGCAATTCGGCGGCCGAACTTATTGGATAGGGGTGCCTGCAAGATAGCCCCAACCAGGGCGCCTCCGAGGAAACTGGAGAACATTCTTAGCTAAAGATGCTTTTGTCTGAAATCCAAGTCCAACATACCCTCCAAGCATACCATCTTGTCGAGATGTTGCATCAGGCGTTGATAGGAACTTTGCAATGAAGGTTGTTTGGGAGAGGGACCCAGATAGAGCGTTGGCCGCAAAGCCATATAAAAATCCTCCTAGGCATGCAGTAGAAACGACCTATCAAGTCAACACAGAAATTGGAAGCAGAGAGAGCTGGAAAAAGTACCAAGATATTGACGAGACTAGTCTCTGGTGTATCTCCGCCTTTGGCACTTTGCGTGCGTGTGACAGACTGATCTTTCTCGGGATCCTGAGTTGAACTTTGTGATTCACTCATTTTGGCTGTCGGAGTAAGACTGGCAACGAGGAACAGCGAGATGAAAAAGAGATGCCCACAAATTCAACAGAGAGGGACTCAAGAGACTTTCATCGCCCCGGAAATCACCCCTATTCAAGTCTTAGCAAGTATTGTGGCTGCCACGCTACCTTCACAGCTGTTCTGCTTAATGCTGCGGATACTTGAAAAGCGGGTCTTTCAAAAAAAAACTCTTTCTTGAGCCAGGCTGGACAAAGTTCTAGGCATTCCGTATATGCTGAAGAGATACTAGTGGCTGGCACTCCGTGTACAGGGTAACTATAGCGAGGAGGAAGAAGATCCTTAGCCGTAAGTTTGACTGGGGATTGCGAGCATCAAAGTCGGATGCTTCCACTATTACGAGGCCATGTCTAACGTGCGGCGCACATAGTTAGTTGACCTGCCTTTGGGGGCAGAGGTATGTGTCGTTATCCATGATGAGATCGGCATCTAGATATACTAAGAGAGGAATAGAGCGGCAGGAAAGAAAATCTCTCTGCTGCATGTGTAAATCAAGTACTTATGTACTTTGTACTCAGTGCATGAATGGCACTAATGCGGTCGACAAAGTGTGCCACGCGGTACTCGGGTCGTATTAGACTTACTGCTTTTCTTTAACTTTTAAATTCACATACGGATTATCAGTATATTGATTATGTTAATTTACAACGTGGACATATGATCTATCCCTTGTTTTCTTTTTTTTTTCTTTTAGATTTGTAGACTATATTCATAATCTATCCATTAATCGACAGAGATATATTTTTCGGCTAGAATATGTTAAAAAGCTTTATACATACTATAGGGTCAATAGGAGGGGCATTCCTAACTTAGGTGGTACAAAGTAGGCCGAGTTCACCCTCGGGGCTCTGGCGCCCTGGCAGACGAGTTCTCAGCTATGAGATGGGGGTAATCATTTGCCGGTAGTAATAGCCAATATGGCTCAAGTACTCCATACCTTGTGACACACTTAGTCGCCCGTACAACATGACCCAAACCTGTTTCATTGCATTGTTCTCAAAGAAGACACACATAGGGCGATCACAGTGCGCTAGGGTTTGACGGCCCCGACACTTACTGGCATTTCCCAAGCCCGGGGCTTCGGAAAGTGGATCATACCCCACCACTTAAAAGGTATTGACAGAATAACGGTCGTTTTCAGGGAATGGGCTAGATTATAGTCTATCCAGACGGGCCAATTCGAGATGATATGAGATGGTATGATACCAAGAACAGGGGGGCAATGCCGATCGACAAATTCAAAGGATTGGCACACTAAACCCAAACAAAACTCATTGCTTCGCCCCCTGTTCTTCAAATATCCATAGTCATCTTTTTTGCCTACAACATAACCTATTATCTGCAAAATGAATGTCCCAGAAGCGCCTGTATTTCCCCTTCTTGAAGGCAAGGTGGCCATTGTCACAGGCGCCGCCCAAGGCATGGGCAAGGCTACCGCTTCTGTCTTTCTCCGAGCGGGGGCTAAGGTAGTCATTGCCGATGTGAAGGTAGAGCAAGGAGCTAAGGTTGCTGACGAGCTTTCTACTTTGGGAGAAGTTCGTTTCGTGGAGACTGACATCTCCAAGTCAGAGGATGTACAAAACCTCATTAAGCAGACAGTCAGCGCCTTCGGCAGATTAGATGTGGCGATCAACAATGCGGCCATGTCTCCGGATCAGACTCCCCTGATTGACTTTGACGAGTCATATTGGCGCAGATTGATGGATGTCAGTTTGACTGGTACCGCGCTGTGCTGTAAATATCAGATGCAGCAGATGGAAAAGCAAGGCTCAAGGGGCTCTATTGTCAATATTGCTTCGATCAACGCCTATTCACCGCAGCCAAATATGCCTGCATACACGGCGGCTAAGCATGCACTGCTGGGCTTGACCAAGCATGCAGCAACTGAAGGTGGTCCCAAGGGTATTCGAGTTAACGCTATTGCACCTGGAGCGATATTTGTATGTTTTCTCCACCTTTAATCCAGAGAGGATCTAATAAGAGCAGAGTGAAATGTCTGTCGCAGCGTTGGAAATTATGGGCACCACCCATGATGAGTTTGCGCCCAAGGTTAGCAGCTTAAACAGGTTTGGACAGGCCCATGAGGTAGCCCAGGGGTCACTTTGGCTTGCATCTGAGTGTTCGTCATACATAAACGGAATTTGTCTACCCATCGATGGAGGATTCCTGGCCAAATGGTAGTTAGCTTTTCATTGCACTGTTGATACATACATAATATAACTACGCAGTTTATACATCTTGTCATCTGTGGATACACGTGGCAGGCTCAGCTAAGCGCGGGGTCAACCCATGGACATCGGGGGCCGTGGACGCCACTTGCGGAGCCTCTTTTTTCTCCCGTTCCACTGTACCCTTTTCCAATATCTTTGGAGGATTTGCCTCTGCTAATTACTGGTACTAACTAACCAGTGTATTGATACAAATGAACCATGGCCGTCGGGACCCAATCGCTGTGGATGGCTGCGAGAGCTAAACTAGACAGTGCTGACCAAGAGCTTCTCGCCTTCGATATCGACAACGGAATCAAGAGGACTGGACAGAATGACCTTGATATATTAGAGAGTCTCGAGCAAACCACTCGGGATGCGTACAATACGTGCGTTCAAAAGAGATGGAAAATCACCATCCCGGGAAAAGGGAAGAAAATCATCATCCGTGACCTTTTGAGCAAAGTCGTGCACTGGATCGAGCTATTCAAATCAGTTGGCGATCAAGCTGTGTCGTGTGACCCGGGGCACGCCGCCTTACCATGGGCCGGGGCTCGATTTTTGTTGCAGATTGCTATCAACGATTTCAGCAAATTCGATTTCGTGGTGCAGGGGGCTGAAAGAATCGCCAAAATGACGGCGCGATATAAAATGATCGGGAAGATTTACATCCAAAAGGAATCGGCTGCGACGAAGCAGCTTGAACAGGCTGTTGTGGGTGTGTATGGGTCGATCCTCAAATATCTTGTTGAAGCCAAGCGCTATTTTGAACATAAAACAGGGGGTGAGTTTATAATGTTTATTTCTATTGTAGCTGAGGAAAGCTCACAGCCTCTAGTGCGAATTTTGAAAAGTGGGCTTCTTGGCCAGGATGATTTCCAGGGACTTTTGGACAAAATGGAAGCGGACGAGAGATTGGTGGACCGATGCACGAGTTTGGTTCAAAGTGAGAGTAAGTATTCCATTCACCTTGTTTTGGTTGAGCCAAATGATTGATCACTAGGGAATAATAGTGAACAACGACATTGCCTCTCATCTTGCAAGCTTGTCGTTAAGTAAAGAGACCGCTCAAACCACGAGCTGAAATGACCGCCACTAATGATTCTGTAGAGATGAAGTCATTTCCTTCTCTGCGATATACGCTTAGTCGGATGGAACAGCCAATATCACAGGTGTTCTTCCACTTCAACAAGGTTGAAGATCATTTGAACAGTAAGTTTCCGCGTTGAGCCGATTGCCGCAATCTCACCTATCTTCCAGGTATACAGCGACGAGAAGTGTTGAACTGGTTATCCTCTCAACCGTATCTTGACCACCACACCACGATCAAATCTAGAGTGCTGGACGGAACATGCCAATGGGTTCTACAACATACAAGCTTCACTAAATGGCAAGGCGAAAGCACAAACTCGCTGCTCTGGCTTTATGGCGCTCAAGGTGCGGGCAAAAGCTGCTTAGCATCGACAGTCATTGAGGACGGCATAAAAGTCTCCAGCCAGATTGAAGATTTCGCCCACGCCTACTTTTATTGTTCTCGCAACACTGCCGAGCCCCAACGTGCAAATGCACAGAGTATTCTCGGTTGTATTGCGCGTCAGCTTTCCAGCCCATCTTCAAACCAGCCCATCGCTCCTGCAACAATTTCTCTTTACAGTAAAATACACTTGGCAGATGGTTCAACAAGAGCTCCTAATCTGGTTGAATCCCGTGACTTGATCGTTGAATTGACCGAAGCCCATCCCCGCACCACCATTGTGATAGACGCTCTGGATGAGAGTCCTAGGGAGGAGCGAGCCGACCTAGTCGAAGCACTAGAGTATATTATCGACAACTCGACTAGTCTCGTCAAGATCTTTGTCACTTCGCGTGAAGAGGGTGACTTGAGGTTATCGATTCAGGCGCATTCCGGTGTTCAGGTGACGTGGGTAGAGAATGGGTCCGATATCGAGAAATTTGTGAATTTTGAAACGAACAGGCTTGTTGCAAAGAACCAGCTCCTTGCATATATCCGAGTCAAAACAACAAAAGAGGATCTAAAGACACTGATCAAGGAAGATACTATTTCCAAAGCTAACGGGATGTGAGTTAGAATATTTCCGAGTCTTCTACCATTACGCAAAGGCTTACAAGCTTTAGGTTCCGTTGGGCCCAATTGCAGCTCCAGAGCCTTCGTTGGATTCGTACGGAGAAGGACATTCGATTGGCCATGTCAAAAATCCCACGCCTACTCAGCGAGCTATACGAGGACCTCTACAGGACGGCACTCGAAAGCACTGAAGAAACAGATCGGGCTTTGTTCCGCAACACATTGAGATGGATGTTGTGCACGACGCGGGTTTTTGGCTGGGAAGACTTCTCCCAGGCTATCACGAGCTTTGTGGATATTGAGATTGACGAAATTGACGAAGACTTCATCTTGGATCTTCTCGGCAATTTTGTGGTCTCTCAGACAACCCAAGAAGGAAGCCGGACCTTTCGCTTCGCCCACCTCTCAGTACGAGAGTTTTTAGAGACCAAACCTGAATACTCTATAAGATCTAGCAACACCTTTGGTGCGGAGGTATGCTTATTGAAATTGCTCGGGGCTTCCGGGTCGCCCAATGCACAACAATTTCTCAGCGGACTAGGCCTCAGTGATAAAGATACAGTCACCTTGTCTGAGATAGGCCCTCACAGGAAAGGCATACATGACTACTCCTTGCAATATTGGAACGAACACTGTGTGCGTGCTGGGAAAGTAAATCGATCAGACGAGGAACTACTCCTTTTTCACCTCCTGCGCTATTTTCTCTTTGATAATTCGGATCCAAACTGTCCACTGAAGGGCTGGGTACATGCTCTTCAACGCCGCAAAATGGGAACCTACCTTAAATGGTATCTGCTCGATCTGTTGCGAAATTATCATCAATCCCGGGACCGAGCATTTTTGCTTTCTTGCGTCTTCGGCTTCCATGAACTTCTTCGTATCGATCACTATCACGAACTCCATGATGACCTCAAAGAAGCATGTATGCTCGCAGCTGCGAAGCACCGCCAGTATGATATCTTGATATATTTGACGCAAGAAACAAAAAGCAGATTAGTGCAGAAGCGCGTTCTAAAGGCAATAGTCAGAAACAATGACGTTGAACCGCTCGAATGGTTCTTGACTGTCAGTAATCCTGATCTAATTACAGGGTCAGTCATTATCGATGCGACTTGGGCAGATACAAAAATCCTTGAGCTGTTGCTTGATCGCAATAAGAATATCCACATTACGACGGAGTTCATTGAAGAAAATGCACGGTCTTACACGGTCATTGAAGCACTCCTCAGCCGAGCCCCCGATGTCGTAATCAACTCTGCGATACTCAATAATTCTATAGCGGACATTCCCATTGAACGTCTCAGAGAACTCCTTGGCAGGAATGATGGACTGATCATTACAAGTGACAATGTCGCCTATGCTGCATGTTTTGCGGGTTATGAATATCCTATGAGAGCGAAAATAGATTTTTTGTTGGAACGTGCTGGGGAGAGCAAAGGGACCGAGGAGAATATGATGCGTGTCATTGGCATGTGCGGAAACCCATACGTGATCCAGAGTCTTCTTGACCATGGGTGGCCGGTAACAGAAAGAGTTATGGAGCTAGCTGCGATACATTCATGGGTCGAACTTTTCGAGCGCCTCGTCAGGGCCGGAGGTCCAATCACGTCCCAAGCCATTGTTAATGGAACTGTGAACCGTTGTGATGGAGCTCGGATGGTCAAACTCCTTGTATCTTTGATGGACCGACCGTTAGATGATGACTTATGGGTCCAGATGATGGTGTTATACGCTCAGAGTTTATCATCTGAAAAAACTATCCATGCGCTCCTAGGGATAAAACCTGGTGCCAAGGTTTCAGAGGAGGTTTTAATTGCTTTGACGAGAACTTCCATGAACGGGAACATCATTCTGGATGCTATTCTGGACGATGACCGAGAGATGCAGATCACCGATGCGGTGATCGTGAATGCATTAAGAAATTTGGACTATGGCAATACCATAGCTAAACTTCTCAATCGACAGGGCTCAACAAATATTTCAAGCGAGATGCTACTTGGAGCTGCTCAAAACCCTCGATTCGCCAATATGATGACAAAGCTTCTATTGCAGCAAACTGCAACGATCGAGAAACCATCCTCTATGGTCATTGACGCAGTCATCGGTAATCAGATTTCAGGTTGTGAGACCTTGCAGATGCTGGAGCGTCATTTCGGACGTTTTAATCTCAGCGAGGAGCATATGGAAATAGCGGCCAAGTCCGGCAACCACGTTATGTTGCTCTTGGTATTGGTTCGATGTTCAATCACCGAGGCCACGACACCTGTTTTGTTGGCCGCCGCGAGCAATGGGAGCCTGGAGGTGATGGAGCAGGTTTTGAAGCTAGACAATGCTGTTGTTACCAAAGAGATTTTGATTGCTGCATCAAACAATTACCACTGCAGAATTGAAATGCTCGGGTTGCTTTGGAACTTTGCCCCACACATCAAAGTGTCTCCCGAGATGTTTCTGAATGCTTGGGATTATACGGGAGCCGAGTTTCTTTTTTTTCGAGTGGAAGATTCCAAATTGTGCCAGGATATTCTGAACGCAGTGTTGACGGCAAAAAGGAGTCCGGTCGATTGGATATCTGAGCATCTTTTGGATCTTATCCTCGAGAGCAAGTTTGAAATTCAAGTGACCGATGAGCTTGTGATGGGCGCCCTGAAGGCAGGCCAGGGATGGCTTTTGGGGGCTTTCTTTGACCACGGCATAGATATAGAACTATCACAGGATATGGTGAACAAGGCAGTTGAGCTGGAGGACCATCAGGCCCTGGAGGTGTTGGTCAAGCACGGGAACTCTCTTGAACTGAACCTGCACCATGCAAGAAGTATTCTCGATTATGATTCACCGTGGGATTCTGGCAAGGGTGAAGATTAAGCTCTTTCATTGGGGCAGTCAATTAGTTGAAGAAAGAAAGTAATTTCCTGCATAATTAATCAATCTAGCCGCACATCAAGCTTCGTCTATTCCCAATGCCTCATGAACTAAGATTTCTAGATCAAATTCATACTCCCAAATATACGCATTTCCCGATGGACGCTGTATTGAAGATATTGCGTACCAGAACTGAAAATTTCAAGAACGCTGATACGCCAGGAAATTGGAAGAAATCCCAAAATTTAGGGTCAGCCATAGGTAGAATCCTGAATGACGCGAAGTCGGCGAGTGTGCTTTAGCGTTTGACCAAACAGAATGAGAATTCGATGCCTTGCTCGTGACAGCATTGGTGCTCCAGGGCTTCCGGCAAATTGTGGATACATTCCTGGTTCCCAGTTTTAGTTCCGCGGATTCGGAGCTACACATCCTTTTTGCTTAGCTGGTTTGGCATACATAGAACACGGCACAGTTTATGCGCTAGGATCCACATATTCGTGGGCGAAATTTATTTGTACAAAGTACTCCCTAGAAGTTCCTTTCATAGGTAGAGTCCACTCACGGGGTGCTAGGGCCCCGGCACACCAGTCTCCAGTTAGAAGATGGGGGTGAATACATGCAGTACCTAAATAATCTTGTATCGGGAGTAATGGCTAATAGGACTAAATTCTCTGGTGGCACGCTTCATCCCCCGTAACTGTAGATCATAAAACGGTTGTATAACAATACATCGTACTTTGTACACATTAGTTAATTCGTACTCCGCACTAAGTCAGGGATTAATCTTCCATTTCCGTCGTGCTTGTAGCCAGGCCAATAATATAACTGTCCCGTTCCATTAATACTGGAGCGAGACATACCAGCATCTCTGATAAATAAAAGTACCCGACTTAGCTTCTTCGCTACCTGGGTTCAATCGTGATCCTCGCTCAAGCATATATCTGTCAATATGGGTAGTTATCAAGGCTCGTTCCCTCGCATATACGAGCACAAGCTCGCTCTAGTAACAGGATCCGCACGAAGTAAGTCCGAAATTGGCTCCTCAGATATCCTATACTCATTGTCTCTTAGGTATTGGAGCCGCAATAGTCCAAAACCTGGCCAGCAAAGGCTGCAATGTGATCATCAATTATGCAACTGAGGCCTCCGACGCACCTGCAGCAGCACTCGCCGCCAATCTCGAAAAGGAATACTCTGTGCGCGCACTGCCCATCCGAGCAGACATTACCTCGCGGGAGGAATGCGCACGAATTGTGTCAAGTGCAAAAGAACACTTCACAAACTTGCAAACAGGATCCTTCCAAATCGACATCATCGTTCACAACGCCGCGGTGCTATACCTCGGCCCACTGGAATCAGTCAAAGAATCCGAGTTCCATCGAATCTATGAAGTAAACGTCCTTGGACCACTTCTACTCACCGGTGCATGCAAAGAGTATCTTCCAACCGATCGCTCGGGACGTATTGTGATGTTATCGAGTATTGCCTCGAAAACGGGAACGGAGAATACTTCGCTATATTCGGGGACCAAGGGTGCCATTGAAGCCATGACACGTGTGTGGTGTCGTGAGCTGGCTGAGAGAGCCACTGTCAACTCAATCAATCCTGGTCCTGTCATGACGGATATGTATATGTCGGCACCTGATGTGGTCAAGGACGGGCTTGCGTTGTGGAATCCTCTCACGCCGTTGGTGGCTGTTAGGGAGACTGATAGCCCGGAGGTGAAAGAGTTGGGGAAGAAGTTTGGCGGAAGAGCGGCGTATGCCGAGGAGATTGCTGGGTTGGTTGCGACGATCTGTAATCCGGAGTTTGGGTGGTGTACTGGAAGTGTTATTTCTGCAAATGGAGGGTTGACCTTTAGTACCTGAGGATACTTCGCTTGAATTGTGTGGCTTCTCAGACGGTCAAATTAGGAAGTGAAGTAGTCAACTTATTGTATACAAACAATCTACAGCATCACATGTTGATTCGACGCGTTGTGAACTGGACTGGATGCCTCAGGCATTACTTGTCGCCTGAGGCATCCAAACACGCGAGGACGATGCTAAAAGAAAAACACAAGGTGCAAGCATTTTGAAGCTTGTGTGACTGTCCATTTATTTATGCTTAATTAATCTGATCACTGATCTTTATATTCTCTCAAATTGAAGCTTCACCTGTAGATCCAATTAAGCTTGTTATTGGCCAAACTCAAATCCACCCCCTTCGCAAAAAGCCAAGGAAACATTCCGACGTCTCATTGTCCATTGGCCTTTCTATACTGTATTCTTTTCTATATTTGAGTTTCCAAGACACTGGGATATCAACAGTCTAATCCAAGGTTTTAATTCTCAGGGGTACTGCAAATATGCCCAGTTCTCCATCCCACCCATATTACCCCCTTGATGCCAACGTTGTGGGTTATGAGCCCAACCAGACCCCAGTGTTGGAGCTTCTCGTTTCTGCTGGTGGGGCATGTACTATTCTTCTCGGTATGACTTTTGCGCTGGCCAGCTATGTGAAACCGACACTGCGCATGGCGGATCGAATCGCTATCTTGTGGTTTGTACTCTGTAAGACGCCAAAAAAAATATCAATTTGAAGGTTGAAAGTTGACAACATGGATACATATAGCTGGAACTCTGCACTGTTTCTTCGAGGGCTATTTTATGCTCCACCATAACCACATGGCTTCTGCCCAAGATCTTTTTGGGCAACTATGGAAAGAATATGCTCTATCGGATTCCCGGTATATGACCTCGGACACATTGGTTTTATGTATGGAGACCATGACCGTGGTAAGTTCCACAACTATATAGGCCAACTCGAGTATTCACCGCTGATTCCCACTAAGCTTCTGTGGGGACCATTGTGCTTTGTTGTTGCATACTTGACCGCAACCAGGCATTCCCTGCGCCACCCGATCCAGGTCATTGTGTGCATGAGCCATCTGTACGGCGACATGTTGTATTATGCGACCAGTTTGTTTGACGAATATGTCCACGAGCGACCATATTCCCGACCGGAGCCGTATTATTTTTGGCTGTATTACTTCCTGATGAACTTCATCTGGATTGTTGTTCCCGCTTGTATGTCCTGCAATTCCCGAGCTGTTCGTTATAAGCTGACTTTTTATAGACTATCTCTACCACAGTATCTCCACCATCTCGGCTGCACTCAAATGCCAGTCGGAAAAAGAAAAGACAAAAGAAAAGAGTAAGTAACACCTCGTTCGTCATAGCTGGTTTAGTGGGGGGGTCGAGGCGTAGTGGAGCATTGGGCTAGAACTGTGTCGGTACGAAATCTTAAGAGGATTCAGTGTTGGGATGGAGGAGATGGAAAGGTCATAAGGGGGGAAATTGGTCACTGTATAGTATCTAAGATCATATGATAGCCCTACAAGATGATTAGATGAGGGCTATCTCCAATTAATTCATTCATATTCTCGGATTCCAATAGGTTTAATAGGTTGAATGGGTTTAATATCTCCAACCACACGCTAAGTACCCTATGACGCTCATGCACAGGGGGCCACCTGACGCGCAACCCGGCGATATTAGCCAAAATATTACCTGTCTCCCCATAAGTGATTTCTTCTTTACTTTTAAGATTGAGGTCATTTCCAATAAAGACTCACCAGATCAAATCACGGGGGGATTCTCCATTCAAGAAGAACTTCGAAGGTTCACACCCAACTTGGTTTCCCGGCAACCAATTTAGTGCGGGAGGGGGAGGCTTATCGAACTTGTCAGCCCCAACTTCCAAGCCTAATATTGTTTATCCCTGAAGGATTTTTCTTGAGATCGTCCAGCAAATGCTCCAAATTTGTTAATCTTTGGGGGCTTTGGTAAGTACAGACTACTGTGACTGTTGAAGTCAACAAACCCCGTGTTTTGGTCGGGTACTTGCTTTGACAACAAAACCTCGAGAGAGCTCCCTACTAAATGTCGCCTTCTATTTTGCTCTACAGGTACCGATGCCATCTCCTGTGACGACACAACGTCCCTCCAATCGTGGAGGAACTACAAAACCAACCTCAAAACCACTGGACATCGGAGAACCGCTGGGCGCGCACGACACGAACACGGTGCGCTCTAGAGTGCGAAAATGGCAGCAACAAGGCGGCGGAGTTGTGACGGTGGACGACCCCTATGCCGATGACGAGGAAAATAAAGCGAAGCCAACACCGAAACCTGCCAAGGTCAAGGTAGAGAAGCTGGAGAAGGCGGAGAAGCCAAAGGGCAACCCCCCGACCACAAGGAAGCGCAGCCACAGCACACCCCGCAAACGTGTCGTGAGCGACGAGCATTGGAAGCGAACGCGAAATCGAGCATCAACCCAGTCCTCGTCGCGTAATCTACCTGCACCAAAGCGCATAGCCGAATATACCACAAATGAAGGGCCCAGGTCTTCACGGGGGAAACACGACGATAGCGAAGATGAAGACGGGAAAGGTCGCGACCCTCCTCGCTCTCAGGCAAAACGCGGCACCGGAGTGGGGTCTAAATCTCCTATCCGAGACACTAAGTCCGCGGGTGCACGACAGAACATCGATACCATCACAGAGAGCGACTATGAAACCGACCATCCTAAATCAGTCGAACCTTCGGAGCTCTCAGACAGGCTCAAGACGCGCTCGCCTCCTCCAGAGGATGTATGGGCAGCAAGCGAGGCGGATTTCTCTGAGCTGTCTAGGAGACGCAAGCGCGGCCCAGCGAAACCTCCCAAAGGTGGCATATTCGCGCACATGATCGATGAGTCCAGAAAAATGTTTGGGATCCCCGAGCCTGAACCACCGAGACCTACACCCACGCCGACTACGGGCCGTGGCGCTAAAATCGAGGCATGGCTTTCTGACACACCGGATCCTTTCATGGATGAAGCCGGATCCAAGAATGATATACCCGCTCCTCTCGATCTGAAGTCAGGCCGAGCAAGGCGATCTCAAAAGCTTGCAGACGGAGATCTACAACCCGGTACCAAGTCCGAACCATCAACGATCAGCGAGCGTCCGAAGAGCTCCGATCGTCCAAAGAGCGCTGTGAGTAAGCACTCCAAAGGAAAGGACAGTTCTTCTTCGGTCGACAAAACACCAAAGGTACAAGATCGCGAGAAAACCCCAGAGTCGAAGCAATCTAGTATAGATAGGACCTCCAAGTCATCTGTCAAGAGCAAAGAGGACAATAAAGTCCAAGACAAGCCTTACGAGGATAGTCTCGCGCCCTCGGAGTCAGAGTTACAGCCATTTTCCGACGGCGGCTCTGAAGTATCGGGACATAATGCACCTGTACCGCTTGGCCTTAAAAAGCCATTCCCGGCCACCGGCTACCATCGTTTATCAACGATTGCTTCTACGGACACCTTGAGCACCACTCTGACTGATGGAACCGAACACGTACCGAAGTCTACCTCCACCGAAAAACGTCAATCGAAACTTGTCGAAGAAGCAGAAGAAGCAGAAAAGGATGACCAGTTCGATCCAGACTCGCTACCAGTGGTCTCCTCGCAACTGAAAAGACGGCTTACCACTCACAATGACCTCATGTCTGTGCTATCTGTTTCAGCCTCGCGGAGCAGAAGCATCCGGTCGAATCGGAGTATTCGCACCAACAAAAGTCGCCTGGCCCACGCAACAGTTGACGATTTGCTTTATGAGCTTTCCGGTGACGAGACGAAGTATATGCGCGAGCTGAAGACACTGGTTGGAGGTGTGATCCCGGTCCTCTTGACTTGCGTGCTATCCCGTTCTGATTCGGCTATTGCCGCAGGCCTGTTTCGGCCGTCTTTGGACCCTGAAGACGACGTTAACTTCTCAAAGCCAATTGTTAATATGGGAGTGGCGATCGAGCGCCTCAAGAACCTGCACAAGCGAATCCCGCAGGACAACGTGGATGCATTGCTTACATGGGCGCAAGGTGCCCAGAGAGTCTACCGCGAGTACTTGAAGGCGTGGCGCCTGGGATTCAAGGATGTCATTGTCAACCTGGCTCCTCTGGATGAGGATGAAGTTACGAATGATGCTGATACGAAGAGCCTGGATGAAGGCTTGGAGCGAGACGAAAATGGCGACATCGTAGACAGCGACGGGGAGAAGGTCGATGTGGCCTATCTATTGAAGCGGCCGTTAGTACGTCTCAAGTACTTGGCCAAGAGTTTTAAGGGGATAAATATGCTGGAGCCGTCGCCAAAGGCTGAAGAAACCGCCACCGCCTATCAAAGTCTTGTTATCGATGCCCGGAAACGCGTCCGAGATGAAAGAGCGAGGTTGGAAGATGACTCTGCTGCCAGTATCGACCCAACACGCACAAGAGACCCGATGACCTTGGGTGTCCTCCGCGGGATCGGCATTGATCAGACTCGCCACGTCCGGGCTCGCGATTTCTTCAATCTATCGTTGTATCACTCAAGTGGGCAACTTGTGGATTGTCGAGCTGAGCTTTTGTATCGAGACAACGCCTCGAGCAAAGGGCCTGGAGGTGATCTTTTGATTTGTGAAATCGATCATTCAGATCGCTGGCTTCTCTTCCCTCCCATGGACTTGAGATGTGTTTCAGCCCGCAGGGGAGAGTCGAAACATGAGATCGTGGTCATGCTGCGCAGCGCTCCCGGAGATGAAACCAAGTACTGGCAAGAATTGATCTCCCTCCGCATTGACGAAGAAGAGGTTGGGTCTGAGTGGATCTCATTGCTTGGATCTGACCCAATTCCGCCATCAATTTGTCGAAGTCAAAGCTTCATCAGCCGAGCCAAACAGAACAAGGCTCGCAAGCCCTCTGCTATTAGCTCTCCGCCCAGGCCACACCCAAATGACATCGATATTCCCATCGGCGAGAAGGCGACCGGTAAACGACGCTCGTGGACCCCCAAAGAGCACTCTTCTGAGCCAAGTACGGTCAGCTCTGTCACCGATTCCAGGAGCTCTTTGTCAATTGCCACTCGGGAGACTGACTACACTACTGGAGGATCCGAGCTATCTGCAAAGCCCGCCCGCGTTGACCTACCTTTCCTTCCTTCTACGGCTCCCAAGAGCTCACCAAGTAGCCCAGAAAAGACTCCCACTGGGCTCAAACGATCCAAGGCTAAGAGACTTTCTCGCTATGGGGACAGCCCGGCTTCTGAGACTGCCTCTCAGCAAAATATTTTATCCGATAAAGTACCTGACCACAACAGGTCCGCAATTGCCTCTCCTCCTCCAAGTACGCCAACGGGGGGTAGATTCTATGGCGAAACAGAGCAATCCCCAGCCAGAGGATCGCCCAGAGAAAAGTCGCGTTCGAGGATTCCCCAACCTCAGAAGACGCCTGTTAGGGAACTCGAGCCGGAATCTCCTAGGGTCTCATCTGTGCCCTCAGCAACTCTCCCATTGATTCCCAAAATCCGAACTCCCAGCAGCCAAACTCACCTTTCTACTCCGACAACCATCGGCCCCGAAGATGAGGAAGACTACCCTCCACTTGAATTCCTCCCAAAGCAAGAAATTCCGGAAACACCAACAAGAACTAGGAGAAGGAAGTCTCGAAGACGGCCAAAGGACGACGATAGCCCCCCGCCTCCCCCGCCTCATCGTTCGCCTAGCCCTGCTAATGGCAAGCGCTCAACTCCTCCGGTCCTCACATCCAGTAGTGGTAGACTCAAGCGCCGTGGCTCTTCTCCCCTGAAGCACGAATATGAACCCTCAACAGCTTCAGATTACTCGGAGAGCGACTCGGACGCGTCAACAGTGCGCCACTATTCCTATTCATCATCTGAATACTCAAGATCGGGCGGCTTTTCTGACTCAGACGAGGACTATTCCTCGGTATCTGAAGACGAAGAATATGTTACTCCCAAGCCAAGAGCGCTCGACGTGATTACGGACGCCAGTTCTCTGTCGCCTTCTAATTCTGTGTCGCAGAGCGGCTACCGTGCTGTGCCACTGCAGCCCACTAAGACTAACAAGGCCATTGCATCTGTCTTTGCCTGGTCCGACAAGGGTAACTGGGAGCCTTTGCTTCCCGACGAATGTAGCATCGTCATTAGTCCTGGTCTGATTGAGGCCTTCGCGATGGGCTCTGAACCTGATGAAAACTCCGAATCCATGTCATCAAGACCCCTCATCTCTCTTGAATTGACACCACTCGTTCCTATTCGCCGTGGCACCGCCATTGACATCAGTATTCGCTCTCCTCCCACCGAGCGGTCCCAGATCACATCCAGCAACAACATCATGTTCCGGTCAGGCAACCCTGATGAATGCGACGCCCTATATGGTCTAATCAACCAATCAAGAATCAACAACCCAACATATATCGCGCTCCAAAACGCCCGCGGCTCATTCAACGGCCATGTCTCTACCTTTGAACCTACCCCGAAATCCGGCGGGGGCTTATTTGGTTGGCCCCGTCGCAGAAAGAGCTATCGCGCATCGAGCTCCCCGCGCTCTTTAGCCGAAGGATCCGAAAGTAGCGTGGGGACCATGAGCAGTGCTTTCTCAGCCCTCAAACGCTTCGGCACGGGCAGCAGAATGTTCAACATTTCCCGCTCAACCATCGAATCCCGCACCGGCCGAGAAGGCAGCATCCACTCCGGCTCTGGCGATTCCGGCAACGACCCATCCCCGAACTCCGGCATAAGCCGCATCGCCGCAGCAGTCAAAGGGGCCGACGGCATCGGTCTCTCAAACGCCAAGGTCCGCCTGTACGCACGGGAATCCGCCTCCAAGTGGTGCGATATGGGGGCCGCCCGTATGACCATCATGCCCGCACCACCCAAGAACCCCTCCCGCCCCGGTACTGGCGTTAGTGGCCGGAGTGACAGCAGTTCCCCGCAAGGCGACAACGCCGACACTTCACCTCCAGGATCGGGGTCCGCCTCCCCGCGCGGCGCTATCTCATCTGAGAAGCGCATCGTCATCCGCGGCAAGACACGTGGCGAGACTCTCCTCGACGTCTGTCTGGGGGAGAGCGCCTTTGAGCGCATTGCTCGTACTGGTATTGCGGTGTCCATCCGCGAGGAGAATGAAGATGCTTCCATCGCGAAGAAGGGTGGCGTTGCTACTGGATCTGGCAAAATATTTATGATTCAAATGAAGAGCGAGGCTGAGGCGGCATATACCTTTGGGCTTGTTGGTAAGCTCAGATATTAATGAGTGATGTGATGAGCTGATGTTGATGTTGATGTTGGGTTTGGGATCGGGTGTACGTCCACAGGTGTGAACGAGGTCTAGATATGGGGGGTATGGGGGGTCTAATTTTTTTTCTTCTTACTTATTTTTCCTTCTTATTTTTTGGAATATCTTCAATCATTAGCTCTGTTCTTTTGTACATTTAGATTTAGCTGAATGATATCCTGGCCGTGGAATAATGCAATATTGCCTACTTTCTTTCTTTCTTCTTCTTCTTCTTCTTCTTTTTCTTCTTTTATACAGTAACATGTCATGATGCAGAATCCATGGAACCGATATCGTGCCCTTCATTTGCATTCTATTACTTTACACGTTTTCTATATGTCGGGGTTGAGGTACTTCTATGTCTGCCATTCTAGCATTATATATAGTATAGTCCAAATAAATGAACATGTATTACAATACATCATCCCAAAGGGCAGATCAATCTAACTCCTGATTTCCGCCCCATTAGTCTTCTTGAAAACATATCCAATCAAGTTACACTCATCCTTCAGCATAGAAACGAGCACATCGTCATCAATGGCAGCTTCAAGCTCCTCATCTTCAACCTCAGCCGCGGCATTAGGATCAGACTCAGTGGCAAGCAGAGTTGGGTCAATGTGTGAGTACTGGGCCAAAGACTGGTGCATCTTATCTTTCTGACTCTTGGTATCACCTTCCTTCTCTTTCGTACCCTTCTTCCCCCTCCCAGCCATCTTAGCACGATAAGTGCCGTCACGGATAAACTGTTCTTGTTTCTCCATATCGACCTCAGAAGCTTTAACAAGAGTATGAGGTTTCGGCAGTGACTCATCCGAATCATAATCCTCATCCCCATCGTCAAAGTCCGAAGGCGGATCCGACAAATCCTCATCAGAACCACCCCCACCATCAATAGTAGCAGGTGTCGCAGCCCCAGACGAAACCTCAGAATCAGCCTGAACACCACGTCCACCACACTGACAACCCAACAATTCATGCGTCTGACACGCCCTGTCCTCATCAAGCCTGAACAAATCTCTCAGCTCAGCAGCCGAGAACTGCGCACCACCATTACTGGTACTCTTCTCCTGCATAACACTATCCGCAAGACCAAGCTTGGTAACCTGTCTCTGCCAGATCTTCTCCTCAAGACTACCCTTGAGCAGAACACGGTAGATGCGACAAGGCCGTTTTTGGCCGTCGCGGTGAATACGTGCCATAGCCTGGATATCCGTTGCCGGGTTCCAGTCTACATCGAAGAGGATGAGACGACTAGCGCCGATCAGATTGAGACCCGTGCCGCCTGCTTTAGCGGATAGCAGGAAGGCGAAACAGGAAGATGCTGGGAGACGGTTGAAGTCGTCTACCAGGCCTTGTCGTTTCTGCGCTGGGGTGCTGCCATCGAGACGGAGGTAGGGGAGGCCGAGGGATGTGAGGAGGGTTGCGAGGAGGGAGAGGGTTGAGGTGTAGTTTGAGACGAGGACTATTTTCTCGTCTGTTTTGTTGCGCATTGTGTCGAGGAGTTGGTCGAGGACGCGAATCTTTGCGCTCGAGGAGGGTGATAGGTGGCGGTGGAGGGGTTGGGGAATGGATTCAATGAGGGCAGTCATTGTTTCGTTAGGGGTGTTGTTGTTGTTTTTAGCTGTTAGGAGGGAAGGGCTGTTGCTGAGCTTTTTCAGGATTGTTATTAGCTGCAGGGCGCTTTCGGCGTTGCCCATTGCTGTTTGGAAGATCGGGGAGGCGAGGACAGCTTTGTAAATATTTGCCTGAGGGCGGGTTGGTTTGCAGAAGAGGACATATTCGGTCTTTGGGGGGAGGTATTTGGCCAAGATGTCTGCTGTTCGGCGGAGCATAAATTTGGAGGTGAGTTCCCGCAGCTCTTCGCCTCTGGACTCTCCTTTCTCAATCTCCTTTCTTGTTGCTTCTGGTTGTCTGCTGCGAACGATTGGGGTTTCGAATTCTCGAATAAAGGACTTGAAATTGCCCAGTATCCCTGGATTAACAAGGTCCACGGCTGCAAAGAACTCTTTCAGGTCATTTTGAATTGGCGTGCCAGAGAGAATGACCCTCTTCACGGCGCTGAGAGACTGGATCGCTTGACCACTCTTGTTCTGCAATGTCTTAAGCCTGTGGCCTTCGTCTGCGATAATGATATCGACTCCAGAACTATTCGCCAAAGCTTCCTGGACAGTTCTGAGCTTTTCATATCCAACAATCATGATGCTATAAGCCCGGCCCTTGGTGAAATCAGTAAGACGTTTACTCTTATCGTCAAACACAAACACTCCAATGCGCTCATTTCCGAGCCACTTGCGGAACTCCTTCCGCCAGTTATTGATAAGAGTGACAGGGCACACAATCAAAGCCTTCTTAATAACAGGCGGGGCTTCAAAGACAGGGTTCTGCTTAAGCAAAGTCCAAAGCAGCGCAATAGTCTGCAAAGTCTTTCCCAACCCCATGTCATCTGCGAGAATGGCACCTTCACCATTGAACGACCGCATACCCATGACACACTCATACAAGAACTTCACACCCTCACGCTGATGCGGCCGCAAGTTCTTGGTCAGGATAGGATCAACGACAACATCCACAACCTGTTTCCCCTTCGGCACAGACTTCGGCCGCGGCATAACCAATGCACCAACCGCCTTAGGGTCATGGCGTGGGACAACCTTCCCAATGACCTTGGGAGTAACCGTATTTACAAGCAGCGGCGCCTTGTAAGCCGCAAACGCCGCTGGTGCAGTCCCAGGGTTCGCAGTAGGGTTGGTAACTAGGGCCAGCGAACGCTTGAGGGACTGTGTCCGCTCTGCAGCCGTAGGTTTGCGTACTTCACCCTTCTTTCGAGGGGGGAGGGCGTCTTTTTTCGGTGTGGGCACCGGGTCCGGCGTGGAGGTAGGTGCTGGCTTCGTGCTTTCCAAGAACCTTCTGCCAGAGAGGTATTCCTTGCGTGATATTTCAGAGTCTATTTCAACCTCTTTCCCGGATATAGACAATGTTGTTCCCGGCTCGAGGCAGGCTTCGTGCACCTTCCGTCCCATCTCCTTCCCGGCAGTATCTCGTAGATACACAAATCCTCCGCGAATAGAGAGAATCCCATCCCCGTCCCACGTTTTGTGCTTTTTGGCGCTTGGTTTGCGCCTGTCTGGGTTAGCTGGTTGGGTGTAATTGGTACGCCCTGTGAGGGATCAATGTTCCGAGGACCTACCAGAGAACATTGAAGTATTTTTCATCGGATGTATCATCTTTGGTCAATTCATTAGATAGCGAGTGTGTCACACTGTCTGATCCTCGATTGTTGACTTGTAGGAGTGGCTTTCGACTGGCTGTTGGTGTCGATTGCACATCCTTGGGCGTTGGTTCGTCTTCGAGGCGGGGCTTTTTGGTAGGACGACTGGACTCTTCGAGGGTGTCGTTAGATGATGTAGCCGGGTTCCTGATTAAAGGGGACTTGAAGGGTTTGAAGACCATGACTGTGTTGGTCTTTTTTCCTTGATCAAGATGGCGTTGGGATGAGGACGCGACATGGGCGCGGGACGCGTAGTCACGTGAGATAGCATATCAATTTTGTGCATTAAAGAACTGGGTCTAGAATCAGCACACAGTTGACTCTATTTCAACATTTATGTAACTATCAATACTGGCATGGAAAGTGGACGTATTCGAGAAAGGTGTTTGGAAAAATAAAAATAAATTATACTTTTACAGCAGCTATATATTGTCGGAAGAAGTCCAACGCGGATAGAAATGTACAAAAGGTGTATATAAAGTGAAGTCGCATCATGAAAAAGAGCATTTTATAGCCACACAGTGGAGAAAAACGCTGTGGCAAGCAACATGGTATACGCAGGATAGTCCTTCCAAAATCCCCAAGAAGATTTACCGAGCATCATCAGCCAGGGCCTTGTCAGTCAACGGGACATGCTTTGGGCCCACGTAAGAGCCCTGATGAATGAACCACCAGATGGTAACGAAGATAGAAAGACCGCCGGTCATCAGACTGGCATAGTTCATCGCCGCGGCGCTAGTAGGGATGGCGTAAGGGAAGCAGAAGATGATAGCGAAGACGATGATGTAGGCACAGGACAGGGCATTGACGATGTAGCCAATTGTGTGGTTCATGAAGAAGTATCCAGGGACGAAGGAAGAACGGCGGGTCAAGATGTGAGGGAAGATGGCCATGAAGTACGAAAGACTGGATAGCTGCACGAAGCATCCGACAAAGGCGCTGAAGGCGGTGCTCGAGCCAAGGTAGATGCACGCTAGCACGGTGATTAAGCCACAGCAGGCCAGGGTGGCGTTGAAGGGATTCTTGAACCTGGGGCTGATAGTTCCAAGCCATCCCGAGAATGGAGTGGCGCCATCACGAGCAATGGTCCAAAGCGTACGGCCGGCAGTGATGTAGCAACCGCAGGCAGTGATAAAGGTAGGCAGGAAAGCGACGACTAGAAGACCCACAGAGCCCGCATGGGAGCCGGTGGCTTGGCGGTAGATCTCAGCAAGGGGGAAGAAGGTGCTCGGGTCGGACACCAAGGCGAGATCGTTGATAGAATAGAAGATTGCGATCATGTAACAGATACCGGTGACGAAACCGACAGCCATCTGGGCCAAGATAGCCTTGGGAATATTCCGGCTCGGCCTGTAAGTTCAAGTCAGCATTAATAAATGGGAATAGGAAAGGAAGAAGACTGACTTGGGGATCTCCTCAGCCAAGTGAGATGAGCAGTCAGGGGTGCCAACACTGTAAGCACCGTTGAGCATACCAGCCACAAAGACGAATCCTTGTTGGGAATAACCAGTTCCGTTCTCCCAAGTGGCCCACACAAGCTTATCGGTGGCATATCCAGAGCCGGTCACATGAGGCATCACAGCGCACACGACGATGGTAACGAACACACCAGCGAGAATGAAGAACAATCCGAGGTTTCCAATGTGAGGCAGGAAGCGGTTCATGAACAGCACGACGCAGCAGCAAGTCCAGGTGCAGAGCAGGAAGCTGACAAAGACGTTCCATTGCGAGGGCACAAAGTCGGGATGCATCTGCACATACATAGCCACGGTCTGCTGAGCCAGAATCAAAGACATGGATGCGGCGCCGAGAATCCAAGCCAGACAGTTCCACCATCCGGCGTAAAATCCACACACGCGACCGTACTTGCTTCCCGCAGTGATAGTTGCCCAGTGGTAGACACCACTGGATGAGGGCATACCCGATGCCAATTCGGCAATTGATGCGGCGACTAACCAGTAACAGATAGACACAGCTATGCTAAATCAGGGGGTCAGCTTTAAGTTTGATAGACTGGTAAGGGAGGGTGATATACAATTCATAGATAGTTCCTGCAAGTCCACCGTTGCTCAGGGCTACAACGACACTACCACCTTGGGCAATCCATGTGTTTCCGGTAGTCACGGCCACAGCACAAATACTGATGAGGCCAAAGTTGCGCTCTAGTTCTTGGCGATGACCGGAGGCGTTGACCAACTCTCCATCGATTGGGCCATCGTGGGTATAATCCGGCGAAGATGCGACCTCCTTCTCGGGGACGTAGCTGACCTCCTTCTCCGGCGAATAATTGACCTCACTCATATTCGACGTATTTTGGGGAATTTCCCTATAACAACAGAATCCTCCTTTGGCGTATAAGTTCCGGAATGCACCTCCCAGGGGTATAGAACGAAGTGGGAAGAATGGATGTGAACAACAGATGTTAAGAAAAAGTGAACAAAAGTAGGCATCCAACGTATATTATCAATGTCACGGCTGGGCCGATCATATAAGGTCGGCTTCGACAATCCTATGAATTCCCTCTCGGACCCCACTCCTACTTTCTCAATCTTGAGCCAATCAGAGTTCATAACAGCACATCATTCGATGGCTAATTGGTTCACTGTGGAGTCGTCCCAGAGTTGTGATTGGGCGAAATCGGAGGGAAGGGTGTTACAGTGAACTCCAACGGAAACTCTAGCAATGAACGCGGGTGCACGGCTGCATCACGCTTGACCCAGAAGGGGAGCTTCAGCAGAAAGGAAGTTTCCACCCTCCTTAGTGTTGTTGATTACCTTTATCTTTCCTCTATCTTTGGCTTCATCTCTACTTCTTTCTTATTTGGGGAGATAAGAGATAATTTGGGGCTCTTTGGCGGGTCTATTGACCCCAGACTTTTTAAAAAGATGAAGCCGTTCATCGATACTCTAATTAGATGTCCATCTGGGCGCTCCTCAGAAGTATGCATATATTACATGAACATAAAACATACCTAAGTAGTTGAAACCTCCGATATTTTCATCCATGTTACTTCGTACCCACATAGAATACCCGTAGGATGCACTATTAGACACTTTCTTCTAGGACTACCCCCCTATTATTAAAAACATATGATTTGTGAGTGAGACAAGCAGGGAAAAAAAACGACACCTATACAGCACTGTACGGCGTATTCCGTACTCCGTGCCTGGTAAACTAAAGTACAAATTCCGGCTAAATACGACCCCGAACAAATTCTTTTCAAGTAATATCAAGTGGTATTGGATGTGGGCACAAACAATCTATGTTGTATGTTCGTCAAGCTAATACGACCGTGTGTGTGTCTCATACAGGGCATATGGCGATATAAGGCTAGAGGATGGCCTTAGATCAGCCTTTATACCCACTTCAGAGCAATGCCACAATATAGAATACCCCATCTATGGAGAGTGAATTAACTGGAAACTGTCGGGAGGCAATGGGGGATCTTTTAACCTTGAGCCAGAACGTTCGGAAGTATAATGCAGCTGAGATTGGATAGCGCTGACAAGGCAAACTCGGAGTTTGCCTAGCCTCAGATCTAGTGGGCACAGTGATCTAGTCCACCGCGTGGCATAATTGGTATTTCGCCTCTAGATTAATTAAGTACTATAATTCATACCGCTAATTAAGGAGTAAAGGAATGAATTAATTTGGGCAATTCATTGCACGGCGTATGTTGTATGTATGGATTTACGAATACGGAGATACCATGTCGGCAGTGAAGAAATTAACAAAGGCACTTATTCCTTCAAGCTAGAGACTTTAGCGCAGAGTAAATATATGAGACAGGGATTACTTCCGAACATACCGAACTTTCAAACCTTACAATGTCAACCAGTTCATTCCCATAATTTTCGATGTTCAGTTATATTTTCCAGTCCATGCGAAGTTGTACTCTGTACGGAGTACATCATGTACATCATATCCTAGGACTCTTGCCTCTGGGGGTCTCCATAAAAGATTTAAGGAGACCTCCGTTCCGAGTAAGGATCCGCTCCGTTCCCACCTTCCAAAATCCCTCAAGCGGAAAAAAGTGTCGGACCAATCAGCGTCTCATCCATGCATATCGTTGGTAATCCACTCTGTACACTTGTGGTTAGTGGCAAACTCAGAATTATCTGTATGCCCCGATCTGGCAGGTCTGCGTGCTCCAGAACTATTTTGAGTGAAGTCTACGGAGTACTCCTGCTATGTATGTTGTATAAGATAAACAATTGGTCTATTACCTGGGATTTTTCTTCGACTCCAGGGCTTGGATATTGGGTTACCTAAACAATCATTCACAAAACCTTGGAATATTGGTTGATCAGCTCCTCCACTGTGGGCCTTTTCCCCCAGATAGAAAGAGCTATGTCTATCTTCGCTTGGATGTCGGTTTGCTTTGGTGATTTGGGCATGAAAAAAAATTATTGATGTGTTCATGTCCTTTTGCCTAGTCAAGCAGGTAGGTAGCAATTAAGTTCGCTATGGATCAAAGTAGTAAATTTTCTTCTATTAAAATTGGGGTGAAAGGACTACTAAACTGTAAACCAGCTAAGCCAGCTAAACTTACACACGACAGGGATTAGAAAAAATTTCCAGTAAGCAGAGGTAAAGTGGACCAATGGCAAAAATTGGCAGTTCTAAATCCAAATACAGCATTGAAATCAATTTCCCGAACTAATCCCATCCAAGGAAACACTCCCCCATCCCAAGACCCCACTGTCCAATGGTGATTCTTTGTACTCTATCTTTCAGTGATTGGCGTTTTCATCCTCTGCATCTTACCATACCTATCATACTTTCGAAGGTTCTAACATACTTCGAACCACCCCTGTCGTACGATTATCGGCATATGCAGGATCGGGACTAAGAAACTATACATAGCTCACATCCCTGCTAATTTCTTAAAATGTTGGTGCGCCTCTTTACTCTCGTTTCTCCCTTGGATCCTGTTAACCTCAAATTGAACAGGCCTGGGACAATGTCTGGCTTAGGAGGTCACTTCGCGGTGGAATTCGCCCGTGAAACATGGGCTCTATATTCCGTCGGCGTACTCGGTGCCATCTTGCGATGGTGAGTATCAATTGGATATCCCAATATACAAACACCTACTGACCAGACATCTTTGATAGGACTGCTCGTGTTCGACGTTTAGGCATTCGAAATCTGCAGTCCGATGACTATATTATGCTCTTCGCAGTATTTTGGTATACAATACTATGTGTCTCATTAAATGAAGTCGCTTCCGGTGGAGGGTCAAATCTTATGACCGACGAGGATAGGCTACACTTGACGGATTCAATTATCGCTGAACGAACGCGCGGTAGCAAATGGGTCTTTGTGTCGGAACATTCCTTTCTTCTTTGCATCTGGAGTTTGAAGGCATGCATGCTGGTGATCTATGCGCGTATCACGTATGTTGAACCTCGATTTGGAGCTTGTTCTTTTCGCTAACACCAACCAATAGTGAAGGACTGAAGCAGAAACGCTGGATTAACTATGTCGCAATTTACGTTGCACTAGGATTTGTCGGAACCGAACTGTCACTCTTTCTACTCTGTCGCCCATTATCACACTACTGGGCTGTCGACCCAGAGCCAGAATACCAATGCTTCTCCTACCAATATTACGAAATCGTGCAAGGCTGCATCTCAATCTCTGCCGACGTCTTCATGCTTCTCATCGCCATCCCGATGCTAGTCCAAGTCCGTGTCCCGCTTAAGCAAAAGATGATTCTGACGCTCCTCTTCGGCATGGGAGTCTTCGTCATCGTCGCCGCCGTTCTGAACAAGGTGTACTGCCTCGTCCCATCTCTGATTTCCTACGTCTACATGAACTGGTACTTCCGCGAAGCAACCGTCGCCATCCTAGTCACCAACCTACCGCTAGTCTGGTCACTTCTCCGCGACGTCTTCCCCGCCCTCAAGAGCTGGACCGGAGGCTCCAAGCGCGGCACCGACCGCTACAAGTCCGGTCCCTGGACCAGCAAAGGAGGCTCCCAGCTGCCTCCCTATGGCCCGCCCAGCCACGCGCGATCGGGAGACTTCGGCATGCAAGAATTCGAGGGCACCACTACGATCACTCCGACAAAGGCCACTGCTTCTGATGTCAGTATCAGCGAAGAGCGCGATGCGAGCAGTGATGACGGCTCAGCCCGCGCTTTGCGCATTCGTCAGGATATCACCGTCACGGTGCAGCGTGACTCACGGCCGGAGGATTATGATGCGAATTCTTCGCGCATTACTCGCGCCCGCGAGGAGGTTTAATTGACCCCTCTTACACACTGAGAAAAGTCTCTTTTTTTAATCTGTCTCCTTTTTTTTACGAATCCACGAAGTCCCTAAAGGGCGGATTGATACCCGGTCCTGTCTCATTGTGATTGCATTTTGTCTGTATATATTCACTTCTACACCTTACTTTTTCTTTTTGTTTCTCTGGGATTATCGAAGAGACCTGTTTTTAGACATAGAATTTTCTCCATGGAACATACATTACAATGTACTACAAGTCCAAGATCCGAGATTTCCATATGCCACTATGACTTGAATTGCGTATGCCACTAACTATAATCTCCACTACGGAGAGTCCCACCTCCAAAATTGGACTCTGCTCTCAACCACCTATTTTATATGTCCAATACCCCACGTTAACCGCTCAAAGACAGATCAAAAACTTGGAAAACAACCCATCACAACCCGTCGATCTCCCGGCACCTTGCATTGAGAGCTGCCGATCTTATCGGCATCGGACGGCGATGTTCTAAGCTGGGAAAGGATTTACCAGGGCATTGAACAGCCGAGCTTAGCCTAAGTGCTTTGATCTCCTCATGGAGGGGGTTGAGCGAACCGACAAACATGGCTCGGGCGCAATGGAGCCTTTCCAGAAAATCACGTCGATATTAATCACCCTATCCTCGGTACTGATACTCAGTGCTTACGCTCGGCATTAGTGCCTAGGCTGGATATTACGTGGCGTTTCTGGTCTGCTTATGCGGCACATTGTGTATGCAACACTAGGATGGTTCATGCCGGTAATTATCATGCATAATTAGTTTCTATCGATGTTTCAGTTAGTTGATTAAATCTGGACTCCGTACGGGGTACATTGTACCGAAATTATATACAACAAAACTATCCAATACACACCATCATCAACAGCTACAATATCGGTGACTACCCCAGAAGACTCAATGTCCGAGATCGGTGATATCGCCCAAAAAGGTAAAACGGAAAAAACAGTACGGAGCACAAACCTTAAGTCTCAACCAGTGGTTCACCCTCAAGGTTCCCGCTCCACAGTCGGCACATCAACTTTGGAAAACTCTGGTCAAAGCCAAGAGTCATACATCCAGATTCTTTGTGGATATTTTGCGGTACCATGGACAAACTCAAGCTATCTCGGGGTGAGTTGGGGTACCGGGACATTCCTCGGATTTTCGCGGGATCTACGTGGAGAGAGAGATATGACGTGGATAAGGGGGAAATGGAGTTATTACCAATTCCCGTCGGTCATATTTTGTAGGGTTCTCAACTTCATTTATGTTTGATTGATCTAGGAACTGCACTAGGTACATACCTATATTGTACGGATTATTAATCAAAGGATTTTAAGTGTGAAATCTCAAACTGTAATGGAAAGACCTCAGGAATTAGCCGCGTAAGTTCACTAAATCTGAGTTTTAACTGAGTTTCGGCGACCCATCCAGCGCGGTCTCCAACTTCCATATATGTTGTAAGTATAAAGTACACCATTTTATTCTTCTAGATCTCGCTTGTAACCCGGACCACGTGGATTTGGCCTCATTTTTGAGTAAAAAGGCGATCATCTATCCCTATTCTAGTAGATTGCACGGCTATCTCTCGGTAATATACTATGCCATGTGCTGAAGGATTCACTTGAAACGTTAGTCCAACGGGTTTGGTACTATTGTAATGACTATGTGCAGAGTACAGAGGATTATACATACGGAGTACGGAGTACTCTATAATCCTATTGTGATGATACAAAACTACGATCCTGAAGTGGGCCTCTCAAGCCGAGCACTATGTTCATAACACCAACAAGTTCATCTTTTCCTAATAAGGATGGGGTGTAATTTCCTTTTATTTTTCGCCAATGAGAATTTCTTTCTAATTTTTTTTAATCTTGTCCCTCTGACTTCGGCCGGAATAACCCCATTGACCCCACCGTCAACTCCGAACAACCTCGCTCTTCAATCGCAACTGTCACTCTGTTCTGAATTTTCGGCCCCCAATCATCTCGCTTAGGCGTTTGCTCAGGCTAGTCTAGGTGGCTACGGAATACTCGCCCGAATAGGAGTTTCGCCCGACAATTCAGTATTCAGCTACAAAATCCAATAATGTACATGTATATTTATAGCCGTTTATGTTGTTCATATGCAGGACGGCTACTGAATTTTCGATGTAACACTACTCCGTACAACACACATGGTGGCGAATAGTAGGGTTATTTGCCTTCGCTCTAGCTACATTTCGTAGGTACCCCCGAGCGAGATGCATGAGTAGTCGCTGGGCACGGTGTTTGATTCGCTGTTGCCCATAAGATGAAATATTGGAGCACCCTGTTTGGCAGTTCCGTGCAGGTCCGGAATATATACTCCGTACTTCATCCCCTTGTAAGAGGTTGCATCGCTTGAGGCTAGTAGAAAACTAAGAATGCGTTGTCTTAAATGTTTGACTCTGAAGAGCCTACCTAAACATGTTCTCTGTTAGGGAAAGATATCAAAAATATCACTGTCCATTCACTAGACAAGGTCAAGTTGTCAAATAGTTCCTACATTCCTTCTCTTCTGGTCAACATCCAAAACGTATTTATATAACAAGCAACTTGCTCGCTCAAACTATTTAATTTTAATCTCGACCCTTGGCCAATCCCAACCCTAATCTCACTTTTACGCAACACATACTCTGTACATATGTCATACTATTGAAGTTTCAAGGCAGGATTTAGTTAAGGTTTGGATCGTTTAGATGGATCTGGATCTGGTCCGCGCAGCCCTGCGGACCCTCTTTCCTCTATGTTGTACTGCACAGGAACTGTATGTTACACGGTCCTTGGACTGTAATATACTCCAGTATGAAGTAGTAGCCAACTCATTCAGGCAGATGTCGTATTTTTCAAATCCTCGGGTTGCGGTGGATGACAAGAAGCAACACTCGAATTATTTTGTACATTCATTTGCGGAGTAAAGAGGTATTTTATCAATAGATATATAATTGGATCTATTCTATATCCCACCAGATTCAAGCCCACGACTGAATAGTACTCTATTGTGCTTTTATGCTAGATCGTAAATGCGCCTTCTAGGTCCGATAGGCAAAATATAGGCTGCCCTATAGTGAAATATCCCCCGGATCCTGACTTACAACAAGCATTACTGTTAAGAGAGAATTAATGATCTCTACGCTAACCTATATACAAGGGTAATTTGGTCATAGTCTACGTTTCCAATGTTTAATATGGCGCTTCAAATTGATTGTAAGCTACTATCGAAATGCATATATATATTATTGTCGCTGGCGCGCTGGCGCTGCCGCTGGAGAGGTGGCGGAGGAATTGGGCTAGTACTTATATAACCCGTCATTAGAGACGATAGAGTCGAGTTAGAAGATACATAAAGGTAACGCAACAACATATCCCCTGGTCCTCAGAAGCATCATCGGCCGGTAACCGATTGCCTCAAGGTCACTTTATATATCAGCCAGGATAGCTAGGGTGTTACATAAAGGCTGTGCACAATCCCTCCATCATCTTCCGTGGTTTGTGTTACTGGACTTTTGGTGGTTGACCATCAACAAATACGATCAATGTGGTCTGCCAAGGGGGGTTGTGATAGCTGAGACCTTAGTTACCCGTAATTCAGCACTCCGTGTAGATAGATGTATATAACGAGGTCTTCCAGCGCAGTCCGTTTGTTAACATGGAATTTCACGAAACATCTTCCTTTCTATTAGTTTTCCCATCTTAAAAACCTAGCCACGCCTTTTTCCATCTATCCCTGAAACACAATTTCCTCCTCCTTATCAAATTTTTGCTCTTTGTAGCTCGCGGAATCCGCCTCAGTCCAATCAGATAATGATTTAAGGAACTTAGCCACGACGTGGTGGCCATTTCTTCGAGCCAGCTTGATGGCCCTGATATACCAGATCCGGCCATTCCCCTCGATCTGCAACCCCTCATTCAAGAGAAGTTGCAACATGTCCAATCGGCCATGTTCAGCGGCACCCTCAAGGGCCGTTCTTCCATATCACTCAGCACTGGGAGCTTGAACACTAGCACCAGCATCGAGCAGCTTGCGGGCAATTCCAATATTACCCTGAATTGCGGCAAACTGTAATGCTGTCGCCCCTCCCCGAGACGCCGGTGTCTGGTACACATTTGCGCCTGCTTTGAGAAACAAGTCCACAAGCTCCATGTTTCCTTGCTCTGCAGCCTGCTGTAGCGGGGTCATGCCACCACCTTCAAACGGTGGACCGTTGACATCTGCACCTGCTGTCAATACCATATTCACAACCTCAACATCCCCTCCTTTTACTGCGTGCTACAGAGTAGTATTTGGGTACTTGGGTGTCGGTACGTCATGAATCCTCGCTCTGGCTTTCAGAAGAATCTTCATCAGCTCCATGTTTCCCGATTTGCCAGCAAGATGCAGGGCTGTTACTCCAGACACAAAGCAATAGGTTGAGTCATGGGTCTCATTGACATCTACGCCTGCTTCTAAAAGCAAAGATACCATCTCGTCTTTCCGGGCTTTCGCTGCAGTCTGTAGAAGTGGCTCTTGCTTCGAGTTCTGCAGAAGCCTTTTGACAGCGCCATTAGCGTAAGCAGAATTTTGAGTTGCTCAATATTCCCAAGCCTGATTGCATATTGCATGTATGCTCGGCTATCACTATGGTCAATTATATGATCGATGCTCAGCAGAGTCTGCAACAAGGGAATATCCCCCTCGCTCAAAGCAAACTTCACGGGGTTTGAAGGCCGCTTCATGTTCGTGTCAATGAGCAAGACCTCTTGATGTATGTCTGCACCAACATCTAACAAGTCCTGGAAAACCCGTCTGTCCCAAAAGTGAAGACTTATTGATAACGCCCGTCCCTTTTCTTCCCTTGTCCAGGTAGTTGCTCGCAATAGGGCTTCTAGTATTTTTCGGTTGCCATGTATCACTGCCAGTTAGAGCACTGAATGAAGGACACCGGGCACCTTCTTGACGTAATCAAAATTCCACCAGCCCATTATCTCGTTGATATACTATGTATGGATAGCAGGCTTTGGTTCCAAAATCTCTCGATAATGACAGTCAATATACAGTTCTGGGGCACTGTGTGGGCCCACACCGGCCTCTAACAAATGATGGACTGCAGCTTCGTCATTTGAGCACACTGCCATTGCAATTGCGGTTGGAGAAGAGAGGGGAAATGGCTCAAACATGTTGATAGATCTCAGTAGAACAGAGTGATTCTGGGTCTTTCTTGTTCTCTCCATGATTGCATTTATTTCAGCCTCAGTCACCCGTCCTCCGCGGCCGATGATGATTTGAGCCAGGTTTCAATTGCTGCAGCACAATGCTGCTTCCAATGGAGGGTTAAACCTCAACTTGAATTTTTTGGGCGAATTTTCGATGGCTCGGCCCTGTTGATCGATTCTATAGCTCAGAAGAAGATTTATCAAAGGCTCATTCTGCGCAAGGATTGCCTCAGTAAATATCATCTTTCCATTGGCCCAAAGAAGTTGTGATAGCAGGTTAGTCTGCTCCGGAGACAGTGCAGTCTCAAAGCTAGCGATGAAGGGTGTTTCATGACCCACTCCCGTCACCCCTGCGCTTTGTAGCAGGGCTATCATAGTCCGATTCTCTTGGGTTATAGCCAACCCTAGTGCGCTATTAGGGAGCCCCTCACGAATATCGTTTGCTCGAGCTCCAAATCGCAGAAGGACTGCAACGGCTTCAGTGTCATTCTGTTCGACGTACTCCCACAATTGAGAATAATGATGATCTTGCATGAGCTGTGCCCCTGCGTCGGCTCCATTTTCTAGGAAAATCTGGCACATGGGCAGGTCATTTGCTTCCAAGGCTCGTTCGAATAAGCTTCTTTTGATCTCCCCCTTTGACGTGTTGTATATATCTGTAGCTTGTAGATTGGCACCTGCTTCCAGGAAAAGATTGGTGGCCTCTTTCCCTTCTTTGGTAACAGTCAACACGAGTGAATGTAGACAACATTTGGGAATTGACTGTTCGATTCACAGTGGCATGGGCTGCGAGAAGTATTTGAATCATTGGATATCTCCTTTAAACGCTACCAGTCCCAGTGCAGCGGTTTGGTACTTCCTGGGTACTTCCCACGTACCAATAGGTCCTGCCGTATCACTGGGAAGAGGACTGGGACGATCAATGTCCACCAGGTATAACGAATCGGGATTTGCTCCTCGTGAAAGCACCAATTGTGCCAATTTTTGCGTTTCCGTCGTCAACTATGTAGCCAAGTGCTGTTATAGCTTTGCTTCAGCTGGGGTGTGATCTCTCTTCGATGTCTGTACCAGCATCCATAATCATTTCGACGATGCATTTTGAACACTGAGATAAGTGGCTTTCTCTAATTGGATTGGAAAAATTTGCACGCCATTGGATAGGAGAATCTTTACCAGCTCCTCATTTCTGAGCCTGATGGCCCATTTGAGGATTTCCCGGTCTAGTTTTGATTGAGATTCGCTTTATATGATAACAACGGACGGACTATTTTGACCAAAGGCTTATTGTCGCTTAAGTGCACTGTATAGACCAGGGGGCTATGGGTTTCTCCGTTACCACTAATGAGTGATGCATCTGGAGTCATTCTGACTTCTGGCATTAATTTGGTAGCCTGGAAATAGCGAGGACGAGCTTCATAGTCACGGTCGGCGATGGAAGATGAGGCTGTGTGTTGGGCATGACTTGCTGCACCTTAGCTCATCACACCGCAAGGTGCATGCATGCAGTGTGATGCAGTGTGATACGTGGGGGTGATATTCTCTTCTCCACTCATGCGCATACCGATGTTTTCCGGGGTGATCTCTGATGTGACAATCTGACAATCGTAAGCCAATGATCTATTCAGCAAGGCTAAATTAGTGGATATTGACAACGAATCGAATGAAGTACTCAAACCAATATCTATTACACCAGTGGAAGATTTAGGTAGGATACTTGACACCTGTCGAACCCTGAGAGGATTGGGTGTTCTGCCGGGTCATGTCGGAGCGATGAGGGCAGATACTCTCTTATTGCTAGTTCTTATGGGAAATTATACCATCTCTATTTATTATTCTATCTAAAGAACCAGTATCTCAGTGTATAGAAAGGCCAGGATATAAGATCCCAAAGACAGTAAATCCGTAGACCCACCACGCCCGTCAGATCCATCGTGTGCGTGGGCTGAATACGGGTTGTGATCCACCATGTATCTACCTATAGATTCAGACCAGGCTATGTATTGAACCTGAAACTGGCTATATCAATTAAAAGAGAGAGAAAAATAAATTAGTATGGGATTATAAAGACTCTGTTTTCCTAAAGTCAAAGAAAGCAGAAAATCATCTCGTCTTCCGGACCTCGAACGACTACTCCCCTTATTACCCACGATGGCGCGGTCATCGTACAATATTTGCTTGAATAATTCAAGTTATTCTTACAGACCTAAATGGGATACCACTGGCTATACATGGAGTCGAGTCTCCCCTGCTCATTCCTTCTCTGCCCCCTCGGCTGCAGAGCCATCCATATCTCCCAATCATCTTCTATACAGCCATCATCTACAGAGTCCTTCCGCCCCACTTGACCCCAACCTTTTGATGCCCGCTGCCCCACCTGATCACTATCTATATCGTCTAAATCAGGATGTCGTACACCATGCCTCGCTCGAGGACAATGTTGCCGACATTCCTTTTCCTACGGACGAGGTCAGCCCGGAGTCTAGTACTGTTACATGTACCCCCTCGCCATCCTCTGATAGCTCTGTACAAGAGATGTCTCAGCCAAACGATAACGGCGGACGTTGTACCAGGACTAGGGCGCCATGTCGCCGTCGGGGAGCACGCAAGCAGAGTCTGAGGTAAGCGTTCCATATTTAACCTCAGTGTCAGGCTGTGGCATATCACTACCACCTTTACTGACGTTGGGGCTCTCATATAAGTGATATCCAAGGTGTTTTCCGCTGCAACTGGAAAGACTGCCCATACCCCGGCATGTTCTCCCGCAAAGGGGTCTTGATGCGCCACATTGAAACGCAGCATGTCACTCCACGCTCATTCGGTTGCGCTAAGTGTAACAGACTCTTCAGTCGGAAAGATAATATGACTGAGCACTTTGGAAGAGTGCATTTGGAAAGAGTTTGATTTAGACGCCTTGGTGAAAAACATCGACATTGGGAGAGTCTGTGTTAAGCCTAATCCAAAGCTAATCGGTATTCATTGATGTTATTGGGAGATATGAAGAAAGAATAGGTCTTGAGTGGTGAGATAGATCAATCATTCGGCAGGATTCTTTGATAATAACAATAGGATTATGCTGTTCAATTTTGGTATTAATACCGAGGCAGATAGATCTGCAATTGCATCTCTATTGGCTATTCCATACATGGCTACGTGCACATAGGCCTGCCTCAAGGTCACTTGTCCATTCTCATCGTACACATCCTGGCCAAGAATAACGCGCGAATATTCGAGGCTCCATACTCCCTCAGTCTGCACGTGTCGCAGAAACACAGTGAGCTGATAACTGCTCGAAATCCCGTATTGAAGCTAGAGCTTTCGCATCTAAAATGCCGCTTGTCCTACGTTTACATATTTTACGTTAGCATATGAAACTTCCATCTTATAAAGTTTTATATGTCCATACCTTACCTAAAATTTGACGAAAGGAATTTTCGTCGTCTCCAAGTTCGAACGACCGAATAATTGCGACCAGGTCGTGAGTCGGTAGCCAGGAAGTCTTAAGCTCTCCCACTACAGGGGAAGTCCCGTTCCCTGCCATGATCATAATATCCGGGGAATAAAGAAAAAAGGCCACCTGTCAAGTCCTTTTCTGACAGTTGTCAGAAAAGGGAGGGTAGACAAAGGGGATCAGTGAAGAGGTTAATGAAAAGTACCGAAGCGAGCAAGCCAGGTTAGGGACCCAGGAAAGCATCGTAGAACATAGTCGCTGATAGATCTGTGGGCGATGAATTACGCCTGGCAGGGCGTCTTAGGAGGGCGGCCGCTCTGGGGTAGCGACGCCGGACGCTTGGTCAAGGGAGTCGCTTTTTGCGGCGTCCGCTGAGCAGAGTTCGCTGCCATGGGGGCGCCACGGGTGTGTATTGGATGCCGTTTGCGGTCTCGCCGAGCTGCCCGAGCTCATTTTAGTCCCCCATATCGAGACAGCTTGGGACACAAGGGACGATCCCAAGTATTTCTGCAAGGAGGCCATATGTAACACGATCTATGTCGACTGTGACGTCAACCGAAGGAGGTAATAACGCACCAGCGGGACCTAGTTCAGCACCAGATAGGGGAGCGGGTATGTCAGTGGACGCGCTAGGCGAGATGGCAGTGGATTAGGGAGTCGACATAGTGGTGGACTCGGGAGTCAATTGGGCGCGGGTCTTACAGGACGATGGGGCAGGCACCTTGCGAAACCGCTTTGTTGTACCATCGGACTGGCTTGAGAGTGTGCTGGATACCGACGGAACAGGAGCAAGCGGGGCGGTGGGCAGCGGGGGCCTAGGCTGCGGTGGACTGGCCCGCAGCAGACTGGGCCACCGGGGGGG